CCTGTGCTACACCTTCAAGTAAAAACACTTGGTGCATACTGGAAAATGTATCCTCTTTTTTTCCCATCATTGCCGCCTGGTAAAGTTGATAGTTTCTCGTTATTATTCTTTCCCATCGATTCTTTGGACAACTCAATTTTTCAGACCCTTACTTTCGTGTGAACGCCTCGTGCTAGCACATTGTCGTGTGTATTATTCGTGTTCCGTATGGAAAAATTCGCTCATGTGTGTAGAACAATTGAGCAATCAATTCACGAATAAAACGAGCGAAAAGTAGGTATGCTATTCCCACAACATGAATATTTTTCAGCCAACACTGCACTATATCTCTACACCTCTACACCAAACATCCTTTTTCGAAAGGTCTGCTTGGGATATTTTCGAACGAAATGAAAAAAAAAATTTACACGACATGACGGCTGATCGCTAACGAAGGAACGTACACGAGAAGTGGCAAAAGCAAGATCATCGAGGCATCGTGACAATGGCACTCGTCGCGCGACAAAACTCATCTGTGTATACGTGTGGACGGCCGCAAGCGCGCTGAAATAGAGCGATCCACTCGATGCCAATCGCAATCATCCGCGGAGGAGGAGAAAAACGTCGTTGCACGCGAGCGCTGGCCGGGCGCCGAAAATAAAAGCGCGCACAAATCAAACGGTCGCCGCGGGTCAGTGCGCGCGCACGTGTGCGAAGCGAGAGAGCAAGGGAGAGCGAATGAAAAGCAGAAAGATCGAGTGAGCTTTCACCGTAAAAGCAGCTTCAAGAGCTTTTTATCCGTGAGAGCGAGCGAGATCATCGTAAATCGTCAGTCGAGGGAGCAGAGGTCATCTTGGCGATAATGCCACGGCTCGACGATGCTTCATTTTTTCCCGTATTGTGATAGATGTGGCAGCATCGCGGCTGGAGAATTCAAATGTAGAGAGGACACGTTACGGGGCATTCGGTGTGTAAATGCGAAGCAAAGCGCGCGTACCAGCTGCGTCGACGGACAACTGGCGGAAAGTTCTTTTCTCGTTTTTCTTTTTCGTTCCCGTGTCATCGAATTGACAGCTGCTTGCAAATAAAGCAACGCTAGTAACGCGCGCAGAAGGACTCGTTTGAATTTGCGGCCTTCTCGTTCTCTGTCCAGGTTATTTATAAAATTCGAAAGGCGATTAGCGTAAAGTCGCGAATGAAATAAGTCCAATCAATTTTGCTAGCTACTTCGAGTATCCGCGCGATGTGAGGCAACTGTGAATGCTTGCGCGATCGAAGTTTAGTGGGTAAAATAAGTTTCACGTGAAAAATATAAAATAAAAAGCACGAAGAGTAACAAAATTGTGAAAGCGTTTAAGGTAGTCGGATATTGGTGTAAAACGGTTTCCGATAAAGTGATTTAGTCTGTCGGCAGTGTCTCACGTGTCGCGCTCCACGTTTTCGAAAAAAATTATTACAAAAAAAAAACAAAAGAAAACGAACAGCTACGCTACGTCAGCTCTGGAAGTAAGTAATCGAGCTTACAATTACGATGTTGTTAAAAGACGACTTGAAGACTTGAAAAGCGGATGGGTGGAGATACCCAAGAAACATTTTCACGTGAGCGCTTTCCGCGTAAATGCAGTAGACGAGAGAGAGAGAGAGAGAGACAGAGGGAGAAAGGGGGGAGGGGAGAAGCCACCTGGTGTTCCACTACTACTGGTGCTCAAATGTTAGTTTTTTATTCTTTTTTTTTTTTGAATGAAATGAAAGAGAGCAAGCAGTGTCTGTTTTCTTCTTATTTCGTTGATGCTTCTCGCGTTGCGTAATCTTCCACTTGCCATTGCAAGTGGAAGCTTTTATTGCAGTGCTTTCTCGATATAACGAAAGTAGCGTCAAAGATCACTGAGAAAAGTATTACTTGTTTTTAATCCAACTAGATACTACGTGATATGGACAACTGTTTGTTATTATCGATCAAATTTTTTCTCAACAATGCGCGTTGGCAAGCTGAAAATCACTTGGATCATTTTAGACGGCGAACTTTGAAATTGCTTGACAAAGCAGTTTTCCGGTAGCGTTTCTTTTGTAACATACAACTGTTCCATTCAATCATGATCACATCCTTTGTAACATTTTCTCATGGAGAAAAAGGAGAACTCTTGTTATTTACTATTTTTTTTTATAAAAATAGCTGAATTTTCCGAAGAAAAGAAGTATTATCAGCGTGAATTTCATTATTCACAGACAGTATTTTATTTATGTATTGAGATTGAACTGAAGAGGAAAAGCGTGTTATGCTTCGGTAGAAAATAGAGGAATGCACTAGAACACTGGTTTTACAACCTCTCTCTTAGTGTGTCTCTCTTATACCTGTAGGAACTGTGCCCTGACGAGTCGCGGCGCATAAATATATAAGCGAAGCCGTCGAGTGACGCGCCAAAGAAGTTCCCGTAAGTTCGCGCCAACGCGACCCAGCGCGACAATCGTCAGCTCACGCGAGAAAGTAATCGCCGAATAAAAAGATTGTCGTCGGAGCGACTCGAGCGAGTAGCAAAGCGAATTAAAAGTTTGGCGAAAAGAGGCGCGAACGGCTGGCTCGGGTTTCCATCGGCGACGTCCACGCCTGAATGTACGATTAAACGCGCGTAACGTCAACCTTCGGCAAAAACTTTCCTCAGGAGGAGCGAGCGAGCAGCGACGAAGATGTTCTCCGGGGGGATAATTATAAAGGTGAGCCGTCTCTATGAATAGTCGGCTGGATGACTAATTTTCTAAATATATGCCGCGATTATGTCGTGTCCCGCTCACTCGCATACAGACAGCTCGTTATCTTTTCGTGAGCCGGGTGGGTGCATCAAGCTAAGGACACCGCGCGAATCCGATTAACGATTGTCGCGGTGATTTGTCGTTTGCCGACGGACTTTCCGCGGGCAAATTTTCGCGTGCCGTCGCACGATCGGTCTGCGCTCGCGCTTCTTTGGTTATCGAGAGTAAGCTAGCTTTTCTCTGCTAATGAGCCGGTCTTACGAGGTCTCCCAATTAATAACGCATTGCATCAAAGGAATTTTCGCTTTTCTTCCAAGTGGTACATCAACATTTACCACATGGCGGCGTTTGAAGCTCACACAGTCAAGCAACTTTAGCCAAAAGAAGCACGCTGATTAGAGGCTAAATATTTTCTCGTGAGAAATAAGCGCAAAACCAGCTTTGCTTATACATTGCAAACGTTGCCTGTCTCTCGAGGGAAAGCGCGACAAAATCACGACGTAGAGCAAGTTGCGCGCAGAACCACGTATATTTATGTCGCGCGGCGATTTAATCTTGCCACGAGTAAATTTGATTCTCGATAAAGATAGATTTTCCTACATGCTCCGCTGTTGGATTATCTTTGTAGGCCTCGAAGTGTCTCGTCGAGTCCACTCTTGCTTCTACTACCTTTTCTCTGCGACGGCCTACGTTAAGGAAATTCATACAAAGTTTGAAACATACTTCGTTAACGGATTTACGTAAGTTTTCTATTAGCGTCATACTCAAAATACAGATCAATTAAAATAGATTTCGCGTTATGAAAATAAAAAAAAAAATTTGGAAAAAACAACAATAACGCTGCCGCAACACGTTACAGAGGAAATATTTTTTCTTTCTTTTTATAATAAAAGTCAACGTAAATAGCATGTCGACAGTTGAAAACAAAGAGATCAGTGCTAAAATACTTTACACGCACAAGCGAAAGATTCGACTATTTTTCAATTTGCCGCGTAACTGTGTGGGTACGCTCTTTCGTATCTTTTGACGCCACACTTCGGCACAAATAGAAACAAACTGTGGCCAAAGAAAAAGTTTATTTTAACCCGACATCTCGCATCAAAGAGCAAAAAGGTATCGAAATGCCGATTTGTTTTTCCACTGCGCGATCAGTGCCGCACGAACCACCCTCGCTCGCACATTCGACGTCTGGCTAAGGAAAAGCATGCAGACAGGCACCCTCGTGCGCGATCTCGAGGCAATCGACTAGTGTCGAGCGCAAGCGATGCCGCCGTAACGAAATATTTCCGTGGTCCGAAAAAGGCGGAAGAGCTGGCGGTCGCGCGTTGTCTAAGATTAGTCGCGGCGGCATCGGGCCTTCGCTCCTCTTTCTCTCTCACTCTATCTCGCGAGAGGCTGTCAGTCGTCGTCGCCACCGAATCGCGAGCTTTTACGACTGCAGCTCATCTGCGGCACGGCATCGCCAATTTTCACGCGAACGATTGTGGCTTTTCCGGCAAATTGCACGCACGGCGAGTACCGCTCACGCGGATACCTCTTTGTGTGCCTCTAACAAGCTGAAATTAATGGTCTTAGCGTAATGCACAGCACTTTTTGTGTGATGTGTTTTTTTTTTTTTACGTGCGTAGTCCGATCGATTTACGAGCGAATTGGCCTCGCCGCTGACGATGGTGATACGTACTTTCAATCGTATAATTCCACGGGATTCGTGCGTTTGGTTTTCGCGCGTTGCGACGGGTTGGGATAATAGTAATGCGCGCGCGCTCGGCAACTGAGAACAGTGACAGCGCATCGAGAGAACGTTGCGCGAAAATGCAAAAAGTCTTTAATGCAAATGGGTTGTCATATCGACTTTGCGCGCGATAATACTCGCAAAAAAGGGTCGTAAACTTGCGCGCGCGTACGAACACAAAAGCAGCGGCCGTTCATTGAGTATCTCGAGCAGTCTCTTGCAGCTTATCAAGCAAAATTATCCGAGCTAAAGCGCGCGAAATTTCCTTTTACATTCATAGCGTATAGAAAAACTTGTCCATAGCTGAAAATTATTGTTTAACTTTAGCGGGTTGTTCGAAAATTGCACATAGTCCCGCTGCAGCTTTTAACGAATAAAAATAAGCTGAACGAAATCCCTGAAACTCATCTTTCGAGAAAAAGCGGAAAAATAAGAAAAAAAATAAATCTGTTAATCAATGTAGTTGGTACAGGAAACTGCTTTTATCGGGGCTTACGTAAGACTGAAAGAGATTAGGAGGTGAACGGAAACAGATGCTTACGGGTAGAAAGGCTCCGCTGTCACGTCTGCCGCATAATAGCACCGTTGTCTCACTGCTCCTTCCATGCGTTCCACATAACTGCACAATATCAATTTTTTTCTTTTTTTTTCGCGTCTTCCACCTTCCGTCGACGCTTGTCGTACTCTAGCGCATCGTTCTGCTCCTCCGCTCGACAATTCCGCGAGATTCACGCTGCGAATTTCCTTCCCGCCAATTGCCACTTGTCGAATAACGGGGCTCTACAGTTTTCGGATCGAATCAATAGCTAGACCGCGACGATCATGCACGTATACTAACAAGTCGCTCCGAATGACGACACACAGCCGCTTCTTTTATTCTGGATGCCTGCGCGTAAGGACAGTGTAGGCCTTGCGATCGCGCGCGGCTACGCTGAGCGACTGACTACTCCACTCTCACGGGCCGGCGTCGGGACGCTGAGAGAGAGAGAGAGAGACTCGACTGGCAGCGCTCGGCTCTCGGCGCGCACACGCGTGCCGCTCGCTCTAGACTTGTTCTTTTCCTTCGTGGCCGCGAGTGCGCATCTCGCGCGCGACAGTATTTGCTCGCAATCAGCATCGCGGATCGTCCCGAGCTCGGGCCTCTTCCTTGCGAGCCGAGCTGTGGATGCGAGTGTACAGCCGGCGAAAATTTCAGTCCACGGACGCGGAGCTCGCGAGCAGCTCGGAGCACAACATGCCAAAAGCCGGAAACGCGAGGGCGCGGGCGGATACAGTGTGGCGCCTGGAAGACACGCTACTGTAGTCCTCGCGATGATAACGAGTCTTTCGCCGTGCCAACGTGGTCACGAAAGTGCACAGCTGGGAACTGGTCGTGCGTGCCGCACGCGTACACGACAGGCTAGGTCCCCGTGGAAAAGAATGTCGCAATTGAGATGTCGACGAAATTTTCCCGGAGACTGAGCGGACGCGTGTCCGCGTGCACTCGTTGGGCTTTCGATCGGGCGGCGCGTCTGCCGAGCGAGATGGCATTCTCTTCTCTTCGCCGGCCTCGAGACGCCCATTACCGGGGGATTGGCGGGCGCGTTTATTCCCTCTGTCTTGCTTTTATCCTTCTCCTTTGCTTTGCGGCGCTGCTTTACCTGTGTCCTTCGGACGCCGCGCGCGTTTTTCTCGCTCTTGCCACGCCAAATCCAACGCGGCGCAGGCTCGCTCCTCTCCGCTTAGGAGCCTCTTCGCCACTTGATGTATGATCCTAGGAGCAATGCTGACAACTGCGTAGCACGTGCCCACTTCGTTTTCCAAATACCCCGCGCCGCTGCACTTGATTGCTCAGCTGGAGTGGCGCTTTTGCACGAGGCAAGCCCTTTCGTCAGGGAATTTCAGCGCTGCGGCCGATTAATGATTTCCGATCCGTAAGTGTACTTGACTTTCTTCATCCGTATTGCAGGCAAATCTTTTGTTATTTTTACGTGATTATCGGAAATCAAAGGAGTTTCTTTTGATAATGATAATCACTTTTAAATTTCACGTAAACGAAGACGTTATAATTAATTTCTGATATTAATTTCGAATAGTGTAATAAGAATATATGGCAAGTATCACAATAAGGCAATATCGGCTATATTATATCGTAAAAGGCACTCTGCACCAGCGATATGGGTCCAGATTGCGTTTAATGGTGCTCAAGCGCATTCGAATGGCAAATCTTTGATCAATATTATGGGAACGGTAGTCGCACTGTAAACAAGGCGAAAATCTCCTTGTTGCAAGCTCGGCAACCCGTAGGCAAAGGATTAATCGGATTGTCGACGATGGCGCATACGATCGCTTAATTGCGATCGAGCCACGCTACGGTGTGTTGTAAAGTAGCCTCAAACAAATCAATTATTTGCATTGATGCCCAGCTACATCGGTAGTGCGTTATTGGTGCACTCGAAGCTGGACTATTACTGCGGTGTGTAATACATTCGCGAAGGAGCGATCGGTTTTACCAATAACCGTTTTCAACCAGATTTGCTGCCAAGTTCAATTACATTTGCAAAGAAGATATCCTGGCTTGGATGTACCAAGTTAGCGTTGATAACTACTTTCCAAAATCTTGGTCCATTCGTAAACAGCATTAAAATACTTTCACGACTATTGCATTTCACATTTTCTCAAAATCTTGTCAAGTTCATTCAAATTATCGAGTTCTATCATCGACGGCAGCTAATATTATTCTAATTCTAAATATTTGTTAAACTATGTAATAAACAAACTTTTTTCTTTCATTCTATTAATGTTTGGTCTCAATTTATTACTTTACGATACTCAATACATAGGTAATTGATAGCAATATCAGCTCTGAAAAACTCGAAATTGTACTTCACAAAAGTTGACTTTGAGCCTCTTTGAGCCACATTACGGATTTCATGAAATCCCGGCGAAGGAATCGCGTCGGGCATTTCGGCAATGATTCACTGACATCTAAGCATGCCGATCCTCCCTCTCGTCAGAGGCCAACCCCTTAGCGTTCCCTTCGCCAAGCTGTTTATTGTTCGTAAGGGCGTGCGTTGGCCCCACCAGTTTTCGCTGACACGCCCGTAGTAAGGACGTTAGGCGCTGCCTGTCGCTCGTGTCGGGGCTATATATTCGGAGCGAATTGAAATTTCTTATTTGGGTTAACTGCTGATGCGGGATGAGATACGGCGTGCAAGCGACGCGGGCAGAAGGGAATTCGCATCGTTTAACCAAACTCGTCTCTTGCTCGATCGTCCCTCGGGGGCATTTTAGGCCCAAACTACTAGAAGCTCAAGCTCGGCACGCTATCGATTGCCTCGTAAACTATGGCTCTTCCGCATTGAATCAATGAGCTGTTCCAAGTAAGAACACAGCCAACAAAAGTCTATTATATGGACGTATCATTCGGGCTGCTTTCGCGCTTACAAGATAGTGACCAAGAGCTCGAGCTCTACTCCGCGGCTCGCGTTTATCTTTCTATACGTCAGCCGGTCGAACGCATTATTTTCAATTTCCTTGTAACGTAGTTGTGAGCCCTTTGCTTTATTCGCTCACGCAGTTGCTCCTTATTACGTTTATAGCGTCGTCAATTTCTTATTATGTATTTAATTGACCGCTCGATAGCTTCTTAATGGACTAGTGCCACATTGTTAGTCGAATAGATATCGTACTGCGATCATAGCAAAGATAAGCTGTCGAGTACTCGCTTTTATTTCTTTTGTTGTATAATGTTTCGGAAAAGTAGATTACTCTTCCATTTCTGTTTATGTATGCTCTATTCTCTCATTAGAGAGAGTGGGATACGTCGTTCTTTCGACAGATGGGCCAATTGACTGGCCTAATAATGCCCGAGAAATCAATACTTTTTCAAAATAATCGTTCTCGAGTCAAAGATTTAAACTCCGTGACCACACAAACCTGAACATTGTATGGGCCAGCGTTGTGGATTTTGAAAAGAAACTTCGTAAAGAGTTATTGCTCGAATTATTCATTTATCAATTGACGTGCTCGCTGCATTGCATTCAAGATTAAAAAAATAGTCATGATCAAACTTTTTGCAGGAAAACTCGTAGTTGTTTACCGCTCGCGTTTGGTGTAGTAGGTATAGTAGGCCACGCGCATCATTAAACTTCCCGAGCTCGAACACGACAAGACGCGGACGTATACTTCGAACAACAATTTGCACATTCTGGACACGCCCAGGCGAATGCGCGCGAAACGAGAGCACAAAAAAATCTTCATCGATTGGCCACATGGACGGGCAGTACGTGTATGTGGCACACGTAGGGTCGCTCGCGATTAAGATCTCTCGCGTGCAGCCGCGCGTCGGCGGCGAAACGCGGCGCGCATAACGCGAAAGCGGAATCAATCGCTGGATTCATCTCCAATTAGACACGCCGCTGTGCCGAGTCGTTGGTTCTCACGCGACGATACCGGCATCGCCCGCGCGCTCTGCATGTTAATTATAGAGATGTTTTGATGGTCAAGGTGGAGCGCAGTTTTGGTGCTCTGTCGCTCGAGCACGCGGCCACATTTATAAATAACGAGCCGCCATCCGTGTGAATCGTCGATATTCAGAGTCGTCGAGCTCGCGAGCTTACAGCTTGTTTGCCTCGTTTTTTGCGCCGAGTGAAAGCGCTGTCCAATGCGACAACGCCTAACTTACTTGGAAGGAAGCATTTACGGTCAACGTGGCTAATTCGGTGGAACTCAATTATTGCATCCATGGATAGAGAGATCAATATCAATTCATTATTGCAGCAGCAAATCCGAATTCCAAAACTGTCGGTTGCGGTCCCTCGAACGTCAATTAAAGTTGCATACTTAACAATAAACATTAATAAAGCAGCGGCAGCAGCGGCAGCAGCAGTAACCCGAGTGTACACGTGTGCGGCTGTGTATATGGCCGAGCAAATTATACGCATCCGTGAAAAATAGCAATTGGCGCGCAGTAGCAAATTGCCGGGGCGATTTCCTTCTGACAGCGCGAACAATGAGGCCTTGCAACGAGATTTTCTCGATTAATTTCCAACCTGCATTACATACAAATACTCCGTTATATTATAAATTCATTATCTCTCCAAGGTTTAATTTCAATTCCAATTTATCCACGGCCTTTGACAATTAACCTCTCTCTTACTCTCTTTTTGTGTGTGACAAGTGCTTCAATGACCCAGAGCCGAGCAGTCCTCTTCATTTTTAGCCCATTCGACATCCACAGTGAGAGACCAAAAATGCTGAACGTTGTCAGTCATTGACTCGAAGGTTGATGGCTACTCTTATCAGATGTGAATCTGTACTACCTTCTCTCATGGTAGGCTGAGATTTTTCTTGGCATTATACCTGAGCTCGGACTCCAAGGTCAAATCCATGAATACACGTACGATTCTCAGCGTATGTTTGCTTCTACCTTCTCGCTTACTTCGATCAAAATTATTCCCTTATTTGTTTCGAGAAAAACTTTTTTCTAACAAAAAAACCAATCAACTCGATTGAACGCCCTCTTCCACTCGTGATTCGGCGAGAATCACTCGCCACTTGTGATTCGCGTACCTCTATTCCAATCGCCTTAAACTTACGTAAATCTCGAAATGAACAAATTCTCATCATCATTTATCGCACAGAATTATCGAATTGAGAGTGCGCGCGGCTGCAGCGTTCCCATGGAGGCCGTCGAGACAAAAATGGAAGTTTGCGGCATAATCGTTTTTTTTTCCTCTCGTTGTCCCTCCCACAGGGCCATTTGATCGTGGGCAGCGCATAAATTTCGGTTAATGTGCGTCGTCTGCGGCGAACGTCGACAGGGTTACGCCACCGACCTTAACGTATGGATAAAAAAAACAACATTCTTGAAAATTGTGCGCTTACTTTATGCCTAGCTGGCCTCAACTGCCGCTCGCGAGAATGATCAAGCTCTCGATTTAGATCGAGCAGAGCGGACCAACAAAAGACAGCGAACAGAGCGCGATTAAAATTTAGTCGTTTCAATTTTCGAAGGCTTTTTCGGTCGGTCGATTCACGGATATTAACGCCTTTATTTTTACTTTCTCCTTTTTATTTATTTATTTTGTATTCAAAGTTGCCTACTGATCGACGTAGGCATGATGCACACGTACCTATGTATAGCGTGTCGCGATGTCTTGAGCGTACACTTTTTGCGGTGTTAGTAATGCAGCCCGCCTGGAGTACCTCGAAACTCAGCGCTCTCTACGTATGCTGTTTACGACATCTCTATCTCTATCCAGCAACCGTGTGCTTTTGAAAATTTAATTGAATTCTTCCCGGACGTTCGAGACCGCGCGACCGCCAAATCTATAAGAAGTAAAAGGGACGTAAAAAATAGAGAAAATCGAGACGAAGCGTCGACATTTTCGGGCAAATGCGCAAGACAGTTTGAGCCTAACTACCATGCGCGCCTCGCTGCGAATGGAGGGAAGAGATAGCCGTCGCAACAAGTGTGCTGCCGGGCTGTTCGCGCGCGGCAGCGTGGCGACGCGATGTGCCCCAGGCGTTGCGGCCGTCGTCGTCGGACGAAGTCGAGCGCGCGACGGTTCTGCAGGCGCGACGGCGTGAATACCGAGCGCTCGCTCGGTCCGTCTACGGCGGACCGACACGGGGATCACAGTACACTTCGACCGCGGACGCTCGGACGCGACTCTTGGTGAATTGGCGCCGACGACGTCGCGAACGAACGAGATCGGCGCGGCCGCGTTCCTACGGGAGGGGGCGACGCCCGCGTTAGTGCCCGACACTCGTATGAAAGTCGTCTCTTGCGCGCAAAGCACTCCACGCGAACGATCGCGCGTTGCCGCAGTAGGCGTATTCAGCGCGCAGAGTTCTCGAGTGGGAGCTCGGCTCGGAAAATCAGGCCCCCCGCGCAAAGCACCGTGCGCACGACGACGGTGGTTCCGCGAGGAGAGGCTCGCGTGAGCACGTACATATAATGATCATCTCGCTCGGGCCCAATCGATCGTGTCGAACGTCAGTTTCGAGAGAGGGAGAGCAGAGCTGGCGCATGCACGTGCTTCAGGTGCATTCGATTGTTTCACGGGGGAGGAGTCGCGGCGGTTATCGACCGCGAATAACAGCGTCGAGGCCTGCGTGCAAGAGCTTGTGGGTTACATTGCCAACGCAACAAAAATCTTCGGCAATCAATTTTGTATGTCAATTATGTATGTTCAATCGTGACGTACGTAAAAAAGACGGTACCTGCCTCACATCGCCGAAAGTGGTGGGCGAAACTGGCCTGCAATTCAGCTTAAACTTCCATAGCTACTTTGCGTACCTCAGCTCAGTTCAACATAAACTTAGTCCTTGAAGTTACAACATGACAACAGACAGACAGACAGACAGACAGACAGACAGAGAGAAATGCGGACGAGGCCTCGCTTACTCGCGTCCGTCGCGGATCCCTTGCCCGCTGTGATACGCGTACCTCGGCACATTACGTACGATCAGATCTCACGGCCAAAGTACTTTTCTTTCGTTCTGTTTCGGAGCGCGAACTTGATTCGCTTCGATGGGGTGGTGGAGGGACGAGGGAGGGAAAAAGATTTTGACAAAGGGATATTGCGGAGGAGTGTGGAGGCGTGTTGGAAATGCCCATGTCTGCCGTCAGCCGCGCGATCCGCAGAAGAGCGGCGCCCGAGATACTTGACGCTCGATCTTGGCCTCTTATGCCATTTGTCTTGCGCACGAGAGAAAAATTCACGGGCTACGCGCGCCGTTTGCGCCTCGTTGCTTCGATCCCGGGCCATTAATCTTCCAATTTGATTTTCTTGCTCTCGATGCACGTTACTTTCTCTCTCGCTCGCGTTTTCTTTTCCTACAGATTGGATTGGCCAAGCCATCGATAAATTATTCGTGCGTGCGCGCGCGTCCGCGCCACGCTCCGTTTTCAATTAGATTTCGAATACGAATGCCCCGGAAGCCGCCCGCACGTTTAATCCATTGTGACTTGCGTTCGGTGCAATTTGCCAGCCTTAGATGCGAGCTTGCGCTCGCCCTGCGATCGGAGTATACTGATTATTTTAGAAGATCCGACTTTTTTTCCATTTGCTACACCATTGAGGCCATCGATTTGTCTCGATCAATGGTAATAGTTCGCGAGATCTTTCAAAAACTCGACAGCGCGCGATTTTTCGCATTTTAGTATTTTACGAAGGATGCTGCGCTTTGTCACCTTCGTTTTTTATGGATGATACACGATCACGCCAGGGGAACATATATACCAATGCTACTGATATTTCAAACGTGATAAAAGTCAGGGTTTGCCATCAGCTGATTTGTTTTGGCGTGAGGAGCCGTTGAGTTTACAAATCCAATAAGATATCGTTACACGCGGAAAACAACCTGATACGACCTTTTTCATTTTATTACAAATTTTTCTAACAAAAGAAGTAAATAGTAGTGACAAATGCTCATTGACTCGTGGAATCGTGACAAAATTCCGTAATAAGTAGAACAAATCACGTTATGCCCAGTCGCAAAGCCGTATGAATTCCAAATGTTGAATGGATGAGCTTATCTCTCTCTCTTTCTTTCTCTCTCTCTCTCTCTCTCTCTCTCTCTCTCTCTCTCTCTCTCTCTCTCTCTACATATTAAAGGCTAACGAATATTTACAAATTAGCGAGTGATATAACAAAAGAATGGAGTGCCATAGGAATCGTCGGGTACTTTGGCTTCCACCCGAGGTAACTTTTAACGAAGTTCTTCGTCAAACAGCTTCATCTAATTGAATCGCCAGTACGAACGTTTGAACTTTCGTCACGGAGTTTAAATATTTTATAAGCTCTGTCTCTCGCTCTCGAGGCGTTTTCTTATCTCACCCTATCATTTTCTCACTTTTCAGAGCCATCCTACATGCAAGCTTTGTCGAGCTTGCGCCGCACGTTTTCTTTAATAAAGAGCGCCCGCTGCGCATACATGCCGAGGAGGTAGAGGCATTGGAAAATCACGTTCTCGACGAAAACTTTTCCGATTCCCTCGCTCTCGCGCTAAAAGATTACAATAGAGCAGAGGAAAGACGCGAATATTCTCCGAAGGGCATTATCGTGCAAGATGTGTACATCGCTTGTAATAAAACTTTTCTATGCGCTAGAGAAAGAGAGAAGTTCCTTTTCGCAAGTGATCGATCGCCGGAATTTTGCTTATGCCAAAGGACGACTTCTCAGTGCCCTTTTCACCGCCGTTGGCGCCGATCGATAGATTTTCGTTCTTCGGAACGATGATTACTCTTAATTTGTTCGCAGCCAACAGTCTGTTGTACAATGAAAAATTAATTTAATCATGCCGAGATATCGATCCAGCAGTCCACTTTTCAAATACTTCTTCATTGAACTTCTCGATAAACGTGCCGCGATCACAAGCAGAGTAAAATTTCTTTTCATTTTTTTTTATCCAAGGGTTTTAAAGTTTACCAATCAAGCGACAAGTTCAACAGCCCAATAACGATGTCTTTATCACCAGAGTTGAACAACAAAAAATCAAGAAGGAAAGTCATCGTTAAGATAAGCTATGTCAAAGTTTACCCGTGATGGCGTGGAAGAGGAGAGGAAAAGGGACAAGACTTAATGCTTGTTGTTCGTTCATTTTCTTAAAAACTTCTGCTTTATTAAATTCTCCGTATATTTATATCTTACACATAAAAAGAGCAGTGATGGCCAGAGTAGCGTCGCTACTTGTACTATAAATTTTCAGAAAGTAGTGCGACTGCAGTATCGCTGCTACTTTATTATCGCCGCATTATACTAGAACTACAGCAGCGACGTTACGATTGAAAAAAAATATTGTAGTTGCACTGCACTTTCCGCTGAAAGCTTACATTTCCAAGTTTATGATCCGCGATAGTAGCTCTCGCGGTTTGCAAATTGTCGTCGATGCGGATTGGGCGAGCTTAAAAACTTGAAATGAAAAAATCTATATTTCATGCTTTTTGAAAGTCACGCAACACTTTGATGCGCGCATCACCACCACTGTCCGAGAGAATCGTGCAGCACGCTGCACAACTAGCATAACCCATTTTATTCGTATAGTCACATTATTTGTCGCAATAGCGTCGGTCCGAATTCATGCGACACTGTGAAATGGCATAATAGAATAGGGTCGAGCAAAAGCAACGACGTTAAAGAAAACATCGAATCACGCGCGATTGTTGGAATCTGGTGGCGTGTAGTACATCGCATCGATGAAGGACTTGGTGATGTCACCAACGATGCTGCGGTCAGGGATACCTTGACTCTTACCGTAGATCGCGTACTGTAACAAACAACATACGGCCATGCGTGACAGCTGACAGTGTTCCAAGACAAATGTATATATTATTTTCCGCTTTTTTTTGCGGCCCGCTTGAGCTCGATCTATTCGCCGACGGCGCGACTTCGGAAGGATCAGCATTATCCTGGAATGTACTACCATTTTCGCGAGAATGGATGCGCGCGCTCTATCGATTCGCTCGACCGCGAGCTTGCAAATCTTTTCTCGCTATTTTTTTTTTGTGATTCTGTCAATAAACTGGCTCGAAGCGCGTGTGTTGATTAAAAAAACGAGTGACCGTTGCTACCAACGATAAATACTTTTCGCTTTTGAAGCTTCGTTCAAAAGTTAACTAACTATTTCATTTTTCGTTGGAATTTGCTTTAATTCATCATGCAGTTCATCAAATATTTTTTTTTATCAGACATGTGTGCGTTACAAAGCTTTCGGTTAAAAGCTTGGTTCCCAAGAATTACAATTACATGGAAGACTAAATAGGGGGAAAAAAATTCGCAGCATTCAACCGCAAACGAATATTATTTGCGCAGAGGTCAGTTGAACAATTGAGGGACGAAAGGTGCGATGCTTGGGGCAGGTTTGCTCTAAAAATAAACGACGATCAAGAGGAAAAAGGGAGGCCTCGCAACAAGCGTCCCTCTTCTATGGCGTTAGAAAAAAGTAAATATACTGACCATGCCGTCGATAGGTTTGGACGGGTCCTTAAGTAGCTCGGCGACGTCCTCGCGTACGTCGTCGATGAACTGTTGGGCGACGCCAGCTTGGGTATGTACGTGGGTAACGCAAATGTGCACAGCACTGGGGAATTGAAGGGGATTGAGCTTCCAGCCGCGGGTGTTCAGTGACTTGACCAAGTGGAAAATGTCGAAGTCTTCCGAGCCTACGGCTACCACCGACGTGACTGGGCTGCCAAACACGTACAGACCTTCCGTTTGCCTTAATCTTGCCAACGAGAAACAAAAAGAGAATCGCTTCGGTTAGAACGATATTCAGTCCCATATTCGCGCGGACAAATGTTTATCTCGAGGCCTTCGTTCGTCTTCGCCGTGGGCGTATACGATTTTTTGCGATACAGTCATCGACGATCGTCGGTCGTCCGGTATTTATATATCCTTCGCGATATCGCAAGTGGCGATGCCGTTCGCTCGACCGTCCGTCACAGAGCTTGCTTGCTATTTCCTGCGCGGCGTATTGCCATTGCAAATAGACGTTCGCAATGAATCGCAGCACGTCGCAGTGCGTTGGCGTCGTTATAGAAAGCTCGCGCTCGCGCGCGCAACGCGTCCATTTAAAAAATGAACAGCTCGCCTCTCTCCGTCGGATCGTTATCACAATTAGCGCGACTGCGTGGGGCACGGCATTTTAATCGCGATGCAAGCGCATTAACGGGCTCGTTTCATCAGCGCTAATTGTAATCCAATCACTCGCCGTTACGAGGATAAAAGGGAGAGAAAAGAACCGTAGCGCGTCAACCTCGAATTTTCATACTCACGAGCGACGCGCTTATGTATCGCAGTGTCTCGTCGATGTCTGCGCTCCACAGCACGCACATCGGTCGACTTTCGTCGGTTAGTACACTACATGCAAATAATCAAATTTGGGGAAAGTTCGCTATACTGTCGGAGATACTGCAGAAAGTTCTCAAGGAAATTGGTCGCCGAAACGCAGACGGTGAGCGAGCAAGCGAAAGTAGCCGGAGATATATGTCCATCGGTCAGCGGCGAGTGTATCGTAGTCAAAGCGCTAGCACAAGTTGGACGTACTCCCTTTCGATGAACCTGGTGGTCTCGATTATTTGCCTAGTGGCCTCGACGTATCCCCTCTCACCCAGGAACATCATCGTAGCCCAGCAGGCGGCAATGATGCCTCCGGCTCTGGAGCCATTGACGGTCGGCGAGCCGTAAATTCCGCCGGGCCAGTCGGTGGTTATGGTGAACTGATGGTGTCGGTACTTCTTGTGACGGTACATGATCACCGAGGAGCCCTTCGGGGCGTAGCCGTATTTGTGGGTATCGGCGCTGATGCTGGTCACTCCAGGTAGCCGGAAGTCGAAGTCGGCCACTTCGTAGCCAGCCTTGCGCATGAAGCAGATCAGGAAGCCGCCCAAACATGCGTCGACGTGCACCGGCACGTCGAAACGCTCGCCCAGCTCACTGATTGCCTTCACGTTGTCCATCGTGCCGTAAGGGAAGTTCGGCGCTGAGCATACCAGCTGCAATTGCGAAAAAATAGTGTCGTATCAATTTGCTGTCGAGGAATGCTTTCGCTCAGCACCTCGAGAAGCTCGACTCTATCGGATACCTCGCGAATTCCCGCCGAATTTTCGTTTATTTGCAAATGTTTTTTTTTTTTTTTTGAAACAATACTTCCATCGGTGGTCCGTAAAGTTCTATCGCGAAATATCTAAGATCTGTCATGTTAATCGCGCGGCTGTGCCGAGCAGCTTATCGAAGCGAATCCTTCAGCAATATCAAGCGCATCAAGCTGAAGGGAATAACGGAGCTCTTCAAGCTCTGCATCAAAGTAACTTCTGCTTTTCGCTATTGAACTAGCGGATGTTTATTACATCTACAGAGATTGAAGCACGATGAGAATATGCGCCACATACAAGCGGTATAAATTAGGTCACAGCTCCCCTGTAGATGCTGTAAAATTAATCACTAGTTAAAAACTATCATAATTTGCCACGGGAGTGTACTTACTAAAAACTTGAGCGCAAAACTTTCAACGTCTTTAATTCACGAGTGTGAGCGTGTCGCCTCAGTTGGAACAATGACTGTCGATAATTTACGACCTCTCATTCTATAAACTTCTTTTCTTTTACAGCCCGTAAAATTGTCATAGCACTAGGGGTATTTCGGATCGTATATTTATTGGCCTTTTTGTCACGCTAGAGTAATGCGCATCATATACGACGTTGTCGGAGAGACATCAGGAGAAAAAGAACGAGGCGGTATCAGGGGGCAACAAGAGTCGACAATAATAAGATTGCTAATAGGATAAGAGCAGCCTTTACTCCGATACATCTTTAGACACGTACAGATGCCTCCAGAGGACGGTGAACACCGAAAGAAGATACAGAAAAGTTCTGAGCGCCTGGTGTACGTCTAATGTGTCTCCGTTCATTCTTGTTGTCCCCCTCCCCCGCCATCTCAAAAGTGTGAAATCGATAAGTAACATGCTCTAGTAGGCCGCCTGGCCCGCAATAAATAGGTCGCATGGACGTCGACGTAGCTTTTTTTCCCCTCTAATTTTCTAAAATGGTACCGATGCAGATGTCATTTTTTGATCTAAGCAACTTTTCTTTTTGCTCTTTCTCGGAAACAGAGACGACGCGGTACTTTGTATCTAATACCCTTCTTGTGACACATCTTTTCACTTCTTTCTTCTTTTTTTTTCTTTTTTATAAATCTCCCCATTAATACGTGCTTTTAGATATTTGAGAAAGATGTTTTCTCTATTAGTAACCGTTGGATACGCGATGAGCATTACTTTTTTAGCCTTGAAACATCGTTCCTTAAATTTTTTTCAATGCATTACGTTCTTTTTGTGCAGGTTATTTTCATTTGTTCCTTTGCAGAGTCCATCCTTACGTCAATACTGAGTTTCAGATAGTATTTCAAACGTAAACGTATCTCTTGTCAGTGAGTTTGTTCAATTGGCGCGTTATATGATTGCTCATCGGATGTGTCCCTTTTTTAATAAAAACTAGTGCGATCAACTATTGATTCAGTCAGTGAACGTTATCGAAGAATGATAAGGATATACAAAGAAAATATGTTTTTATATTGATATTTCTGTGTGGTCAGAGTGGTAATTAAAATGCAAGAGGAAGGGGAACTTTCTATTTTGTCAAAATAAAAATTATGTTAAGTCATTATCGGTAAATGATATCCCGGCGATTTATATTGTTCTCCGTTACTCTTGCAGCTCATCAATAAAAAAATAAAATAAATAAATAAAATAAATAAAAATAAAATAAGAGAAAATTAATCGTCTTTGCAAGTTGGAATTTCTATGGACTCACCAAAACAGTATTCCTGTTGATGGCTCGTTTGACGGCATTAATACTAGCGGTATGGCTATCCGGATTGACAGGTACGCTACGAATTCTAATTCCAAGGAATTGTGCAGCCTTGTCAAAGGCCGAATGGGCAGTGGTGGGTACAACCATCTCTGGACGAGTGATGCCCTTATCCGCTCGCGCGTAATCGCGAAACGCCTTGCAGGCCAGCATAATTGACTCGGTGCCACCTGCCGTCATCTAAAGCAAATAAAAATATACGTATACGAACAGACGAAAAGCAGTTGGATGAAAACGGCTGTTGCCAAGTAGTCAAGCAGCGAAAGAAACACAGTTGAGTAGTATACGTATGCAACTCACGGTGCCGCAGGAGTCTTTGTCGCCGTTGAACAGCCGACAGGTAATGCGGACGATCTCTGCTTCCATCTTGCACACTCCCGGAAAGATATCAGGATGCAAGGGATTGGTGAGCAAGGCTAATCCGTAGACTTCCTTTACGAGGCTCGCAAGCTCGGGCTCGGCCACTCGGTACACGCAGCCCGATACTCGGCCTTTCTTCCAGTCGCAGTCGCCTAAGGGCGGCGCAGAAAAGCGAACGTGCAACCAAAAGAAAAACGAGAGCTTCGTCTTTTCTCCTCTCCCGAGGTATTGCGAGTGGTGTAGCTGACGTTTACGCGCGCGGACAAGGTTAGAGAGAGAAAGTCCCCTTTTCAGCTTGTTGAGTTTAATTTAATGGCTTTCTTTTGCCGAATTACGGCACGCTCCCGTGATTAGGACAAGCGGGCGCGCGCGGACGAAATTGCATTTTTCGCTGACGCTTCTCGAAGTAGATGTAGATCCGCGTGAACGCGCGCGCCCACGTCTATTCGGCCAAAACGACCTCTCGGCATTCTAATTCGTGTTTTCGCAAGGAATTAAAGCTCAACGGTCGACTATAAAGAACAATCCTCGTCGTCTCGGCTCGCCGATCGAGATGCAAGTATCCGCGAAGAGTAACCCGTCGAGTCGATCGGTCGCGTATTCTGTATACAAGATCCCCTCCGACCGTCGAAAAGTAAGAGGCTGCCCAATTTCCAATGGCCGTGTGGCGCAGCATTTCCATACGGTATAAGGTTGCTAAAAGTGGAATTTACCGCAACGCGCACGCGAGCGGAATACAAGAAAGAGAACAATTGAGAGTGCGCGCGCGGCCCGTAGGAATAAAGCGAATAAGGAAACGGCCACGCGAGGATAAAGCGAGGAAATGCTCCGCGCGGGGATGCCTTTCGGCATAATAAACTCGGGGGTGTCTCTCACTTACCTGAATAAACGCATCGCTGGACAAGCTCGAGGACGTGGTCGCGCTGCATGCCGCTGTCGGGCAGAGTAGTGATGTAGGATAAGCCCTTTGTCCTTTCAATCGCTTCGGCTTCAAATTCCTCGTTGAGCTTTTTCATCTCGCTATCGATTTTCGCACGCACGGCTGGCAGCAATCTCACCATCCTCATCGCCAACTTCCTCGCTCGCAAGGATATACCTGCGGAAGTTTCTTTTATCTCTCTCTCTCTCTCGCTCTCTCTCTCTCTCTCTCTCTCTCTCTTTCCTTCTCACTGCTTGTTCTCCTTTTCGAAGGTTCGCTCCTTTGTCTCTCGAGATAATTATTAGAAGCGTTCAGAACGAGCGCAATGCCAGAGACAAATGCCGAGCGATTGCTGGCTTAGCCGTCATTAGCCAAGATTTTACCGATTTTTTGGAGGTCGTCACGTAACGCGCTACTACTCGACCGATTAATGAATAATTCTTTTCACCTCTTTGCGAATAATTCAGTTGCAAGAATGTCCTCGGGGTCGTCTAATGATTTATCCAGCTTGTGAGATTCAATAGGGAAGTTCTCAAAGCGCGTGACTCGCTCATTACGCGCAGCGTTGCTCTCGTCACTAAGGTATTTAACGTAATCAAATTTCAAGGGTTTGCAACATTTAGTTACGACAATGATTAATACCCTATAGGGAATGGGAGAGGCCTCAGCGCCTTGATACCCGTTGTAATACTATACACGTCGACGAGCGTAATAGGATACCGCCAAGGTACTTCTACTTCGAACGAGATGATATCTCCATATCCTTTGCTTATCGTTATCGAAAACTTCCCGATAGTGTACGTTATGATTATTTGCAGTGAAATTAAGTCACCCTACGAGGCGCGCAAAAGGAAACTCCCAGCGGTTGTAAATTAGATTGCCGAGCACGCGCGTTCTGCCCCCGCCGTCAAGAGAAAAAAAAAAAAGAAAAGAGAGTAGATAGAGGGATTCTTACTTACTCTCGTCCTGGAAGATGAAGTTGTAGAGCCAGACACTGGCGAGGATAGTAGTAGAGGTCATGCCCACGATTTGCCATGGCTCCTTGCCTTTAAATGTCTCGTTGATGGCACTTTTCGTGGGCGACCCGATCAGGCTTATCACGTTCATGGTGGCACCCTCACTCCTCTTCTAGCTCTTTACCTCTCTGAATCAAATAAATTTAGTCGTTTGCTTCTCTTTTACAATCGTCATCTCAGCCAATCTTCAGTTATATCAGATCGTTTTACACCGAGGATGCGTATGTCTCGTACTTTTCATAGTTGCGCAATAATCGCCAAATCATCTTGTAATATCGCGACTCGCTAATATTGACAGCAGCGTTGGAGATAAAGGTGTGCGAATGTCAGATTGTCCGCGAATACATTGTCCATATCGCTGTGGTCTCCAATTTATTTTTAAATGCATTCTAACGATAAATTTGTTGCTTGCAGTAAAACGAATTGTTTCGCAATATTCACGATAAATTTTCGAAATATCTGAAAATATACTATGAAGTCATTTTCGATATCGATTGGCCCATTTCGTTATCGAATATCGAATATAAATTGCGCCATTATCCTCAAAGAAGAATGGCTCTCGGAGACGATCTCGAAATCACAAAAAATCACAGAGCTCGATAATAAGCAAGCAAGAGCTACAGTACGTCGATTAGACTGACAAGCGTCAGCTGGTTTTAAGTTCATTATCATAAATGGCTGTACCGTCGATTTGACTGCCATTGTCGAGATCGAGTATGCAATAAAAAGTGGCCTGAAAATATGCTTGTATACTATAAAGACGGCGACGTCAACGTAACTCGATAAAACGTCGGCTTTTCAGCCGGAACACCATGACGATCATACAATTAGTCTATTTGAGCTGCAAGTGCGTTTATTAGTACAAAAGCAGTTAAAATAAACTGAATTTCGGATGCTTCCTGTCCCTCTCTGTCGATCTCTTTACTATGCTTCGCGAACAATATAACGCTCTTGTTTCGCCAACAGAAAGCCGCAGTTCCAGTGCGACAATGAACAATTCAAGTGTTTTTCAATATTTATTAATCGATCTAATATCGACATCGAAGATAAAAAAATGTTCATATATTTTCAAAAACAATGTAATGATTTATCAAGCAACTGCAATTTAAACTTATCGGGCATCTCGTAAAGATCTCAACTTCGATTTGTAACTTTAATTATAAAACAAATATAGATGTTCGCTGCGAGAGAGTTCATGTGTACGTCAGCTGGTGAAAAAGAATAAAGGAAAAAGGTCAAATGAAAATCGACGCAAGTATCTAACAGGGATTCGCCAAGTCCCAAGCGAACTTGAATTGCTGAAGCATGTAATGTAAAACGCGTGGGTGCGCATCCTTGCTGGTCGATAGCGCTGACTCGGCGTTACGCCTCTGCGTTTCACTTATAACATATATCTACGGATCGGCAGCGTTCGCAGTCTTTCTCAGGGCGGCAATTCGAACGCGCACGCGAGCGTCGCTCGCGCGGCGCCGATGCTCTTGCTTTCCGCGGCAGCGAGCGCGACCGACGACACTCGCGCTACCAGCGTGGCATCTTTAGCTGCGGAATGTACACACGCGACCTGCGTTTTCCTCTCTGCCGTGGAATCTTTCTACATAGCGACGCGCGGCAACGAGCGATCGCCGATTGCCGTGACGAGAAATCGGGTCGCGCCGCGCTCGTGGGCAATCTGACAGCCAGCGCGCTTCGGCCATGAAAATACGCCGCGCGCAGAGGTGTTTACGCCAAAGCTATGAAAGCAGACTCTCTCGCGTGCCAAGGCGCCTGATGCACTCGGCGGGAACCCGACGAGTGCGACGATAAACACGCCGATACACAACGCTCGGCTTATCGAGGCGCGGTGAGGCCAGCGAGAGCCCCAAGACTTTCACGTTCGTCGTCGACGTGAGAATCTCGCGACGCTGGTCGTGCAGCTCTGCGCGCGTCGCGCAACAACGGCGAGCTGGCGCGATCAACAAGTGGTAACCAGGAGCGAACGAATTTTCCACTCACCTGTAGTCCTGCGCAGCGTGTAACACGCGTGCCCTTATCTTTCCCCCTTCGGTTTCGCCTTGCTCTCGCGGCAGAGTAGTAACAGGCGAGCACGACGAATCGGCGCGCACTGTATATCGCTAACGGTGGCACGGGCTCGCGAGCGATTCCGGCAGAGTGGGAGAGTGGAAAATTGAGTTCGAGAAATGCGGAGAGTGCCAAAAGAATTGAGTCACGCACGGAGATAAGGCGGAGGTTGCGCGCTGCAGAGGTGGTCAAACGCGTGACTCTGCTTGCGAGTAGGAGGGCGCCAGCGATCAGTCGTCAGCTGAGAGCGCGATTTCAGGGACCGTTCTCGGGATTCTCGGGAATCTCGGGACTAGGCTTGTCCAACGAATTTCGGAGACAACGGTCGCGTGACCTGCCTGCTGCTGATGATAGATGGAGCGAGTGTCACCCTCCTCGTAGCTGCCTTACCTGAAATCACTGAATGAACGTGACATTCGAAACTACCGTGCTGCTTTCGTTGTCTTTTACGACCATGAATCATTCATTGTCCATTAACAGCAGCTTCTCAAAAATATAAGGTAGTTAAATTTGGTCAGATGACTTTTCAAAACTACGCTGATCCGCGATGATATATTATTAATAGTTTAATTCGCACTATTATTTCTCCATTTAGTCTGCGATCGCAGTAACGCCAAATTTCAAAGTATAATGACGCGCAAAGTAATTTATACAATAGAAATTTGAATAATGAACTGCGAAAATAGAGCAAACTTGCTTAGTTTCAACTCTATTCAAAGCTCCGTTTCACTTTGACGCTTTCGACAAAACTTTTCTCACTGGCAAGAGCTTATCATTCAACGAGAAACAACTATTTAGTACACGTGAAATCGTCTTAAAGAATCATCATTTATTATTAAATTGAATTCAAGTCACATGACTTTCTTTGACTTGAATTTTTACATGCATTCATAGCAAAATAATGCATGTTTACGTTTACATATTCAACAATTTAAAACATAATAGCATTAAAGGTCGTAAACAATATCGTTGTATACATTCAAGCGTAATACTTCAGCACAAAAATATAATAAGATCTTATACTTTACCCAAAAACGGCAGCTAATAGTACAACGTGAGCATCGCATCGTTTGAAAATCAGCGCGCTTGGCATACCAATCTGGCCAACCCACCTGGCAGTTGGCATTAACCGCACTACAGCAGCGGCAGTGTTGCCGCTGGAAAAGTTGCTCTCAGGGACCCTAGAAATTTCGGCACTAGATTTCTGAATGTTGGGTTGCGTCGGCTACTCGGCCAGTATCGTATTCACCTTCAATGAAAACTTGCCGAAAAACGTACGAGCAATGGCACCGGTAAATTTTCAGTTGAAGGTGAATACGATATTGACCGATCAGCCGACGCAACTCAAGCATTCAGAAATCTAGTGCCGGAATTCCTAGGGTCCCTGAGAGCAATTGTTCCAGCGGCAACACTGGGCCAATCAGTAATTACTAGTCTGTATGGGTAGAGTGGTAGTACTGGCAGTGACAGCTGGCACGCATTGATTGATTTAACCCGAGCCGCAGCTGTTGCGCTGCGTTGTGCCGCGTTTCTGTGTGAAAACTCCGAATCGGCAGAGCTCCTAATCGTTCGCATTATTTCCCACGTAGTTCGTTCTTTTCATTGAGCGCGAAAAATTGTCGGTCATTCGCGTACCGGTATGACCAGTCGATAAAATTATCGAAGTTTCTAATTAACATTGTAGCTTCTTGATCGTTCGTTCAGTGTGAACATGGATAAGTCATTGCCGCTTTCGGTACCGGTTCTTCCCGAGCAAAGCTTCTTCGAGAAGCATATCCTCGCTGAGCTCGTCATAATATCCTGGTTACTATGCCTTTGGGAAAGGTATCTTGCCTTGCGTCAGGTTTGTTTTACTTTGTTTACTACTCCCGGTTGCGAGAGCAGTTGTCTTAGAGGTTAGATGATGAACCATTTTAGCTCGTGAAATTATAGATGATAAGACTTGAATTTTGTCAGAGTTTAATTATATAACATGAATATTATCTATTGAATTACATGTTGGTCATAAATTTATTGCTTTTATAATTTAAGTGTCATTGTTGAGAGGTTAGTTTCTTCCAAATTTCGTACTCAGTGTGACTATGATGAAAACTATAGTCACTCGTTTTCACGATTACTAGAATGAGTTCAGTGTAATTGTTATTGAAATATATTCTACTCCTCAAAATAATTTCAAAATAATTAATGTAACAACATTTTTATTTGAATATAACGAGGCACGTTAGCGTAGGAAATGTTTTTTTTAATTATCGTTGACAATAATTTTTAACGTAGCACAATTAGTGAATATGAAGTGAATAATTATAATAAATGACATAATACTTTACAGAGGAAATTGATGCAAAAACTGAAAGATCCACCGCAACTTTTAGACGGTCTGATATCAGAAGATGTCTACAGAAAATCAAGAACTTATGCATTGGATAATAATACTTTTGGACATTTTCAAGACTTTTACACCAACGTTTTGAGCAGCGTGAGTAAATATTTAAATACTATATTATATATACTTTTTTTAATTATTTCAAATCATTTTTATAAGTAAGTTCATTTTATTATTTTTAACTTATTGCTGGAATAACTTGAGTAACAAGCCACGTTGCTTTTGTGCAGCCTATGTCAATGTACGAAGCGCATTTATCTTTAGACCGATGAAGTTACGCGTGATAATATTTTTTATTCGGATTCTATTTTTACCGATCTTTTTTAAGCGTAGTTGGGATAGAACGGTTTTTTTATATAATAAACCATACAATAAACATTAACTCTAAAAATATGACTTTCATATTTTTAGTCATATCAGTTGCAGTCATTGAACTTTATTGATTTGTTATTATTGTTGATAAATAAGTAGTTTTTTTTAAAGTTTTCTTTAAATTGTCTATTCATACGTGTTACTTAATTTTCTTCAAATCTTTCTTTGTTATTAATAGTTGTACATGATCTATTATGGATTCTACTATTCCTGGACATGGGGTGAGGATCTCGTGAGATGGATCGGTTTAAATCCAAAGAATGAGATTTACACAACCGCGGGTTGTCTTACGGTTTTGCGAATTTATTGGTTGATTATTTGTGACCTGCCGTTCGACATCTACAGCACTTTTGTACTCGAGCAAAAGCACAAGTTCAACAACGAAACGCCACTGTTCTTCATCAAGGACAGGATTCTGAAATTCTTTGTAGCTCAAGTGAGTATTTCGAATAATGTATTAAGATTGCGTATTGATGGTTAATGATTTTGTTTAGGTATTGCTAGTGCCTCTGACATGCATGACGATCTGGATAATAAAGAACGGCGGCGATTACTTCTACTTGTACCTCTGGATCTTCACAGTAGTAATAAGCTTAATCCTGATGATCATCTATCCAGAGTTCATAGCTCCGTTGTTCGACAAATACACGCCGCTCCCCGAAGGCGAGCTAAGGAAGAAAATCGAGGAATTGGCTTCCAGCGTTGGATTCCCTCTTTATAAACTTTACATTGTCGAGGGCTCGAAACGCTCGTCCCATAGCAACGCCTATCTCTATGGCTTCCACAAGCACAAAAGGATCGTGCTTTTCGATACGCTTGTCGCCGAGTACCAGAGGAAAAAATTGGAGACCGACCAGCAAGAGAAGCCTGAGAATGCTGAGTGAGTCATTTAAAAAATCTTGTAGTAAACTGTGAAGTAACACTTCTTGTGGAAACATTTTTTCGATCAATTTTCATTGCCAATTGGAAACGTAAATAATGCTGATTTCAAATGTCTTAATGAAATTTGAAAAAAAAATGAAAAAGAAACAAAAATGGCAGAAACGTCGATTTCAAAAAATTGAAATCAATCAATTGCAATTTCAAAATATCGCTGAGCGCGGCCTCTTACACTCAATTATGTGTTCAAAACACAACACAGTGACATTAGTGACCCTAATATTATGTATCAATATTTAAATACAGTGTTGATTTTGCGTTCTCATGCAAATGTAAAAGAAGTTCAAAAATTAAAAACTTGGCCATTCATTCGAGAATATGTTAATTAAGAGCTGGTATGTAAACGTTTTTCACTCATTTTTCCAGCGATGAAGAGAAGAAGACGAAGGAGGAGAAAGAAATCCGAGGCTGCGAAACCGATGAGATCATAGCCGTTCTTGCTCACGAGCTTGGTCACTGGCACCATAGCCATGCTATTTTGAATTTTCTTCTCTCTGAGGTACAAACTTCTTTCTTTCTGAGTGTATATTGTATGTTTTGTGTTTCGAGAAGCAAAGGCAGAGAGAGAGAGAGAGAGAGAGAGAGAGAGATCTCAAATGCCTTGTTCGGTCACGTACTTCCATTGCGAAGTTTTCTACTACTGAATGAAACTGCATAATAGATCCGCAGTTCATTCACGAGCAAGAATTCAGATTTTTTTTAAATACTTTGAGTTGCAAATAAGGCAGATGCCTGTCTGACAAATTGCAAAAGAAAACCTTGTGTTTTATAATAATTTGTCAACTGTAATATTAAAAAAAAATAATTTTAAACGAAAATAAGAATTTGTCTGTTGTATCTTCAATTGATCCAAGTAAAAGAAAAGCTAGTAGAGCAATAATGTTTAATTACAGGTGATCATGCTCGGCAATTTCATCCTATTTGCACAACTAATGAACTATTCGCCAGTTTACGAGGCCTTTGAATTCCACGATAGCAAGCCCATTCTTATAGGACTTATGATTATTACATCACACGTCCTTGCGCCGGTAAATAAGGTAAGAAATCAATCACAATTTCAAATCCATTTACGCATGCATTTTAATTTCTCGTTGCGCGGATGAATAATAATAAGATTAGATTTGAAGACTAGTTAATAAGTATCCACCGATCATACCATATCCGATGAGACAATAGATTGTATACACTCACAAGTTGAAATCATTCTTATTCGTGGGATTACAATATCACAAGAAAAAAGCAAAACAAACATTCGGAGTGCCACCATATAGAGCAAATCGAAAAGAAAAAAGAAAGAATATTTGTAGCATGAGTTGTGTGATTTCGTTATAGACATTCGCGTTGGTTATGCAAATTGAAAACGCGGGCTAGAATGTCGCGTAGGAGTCGTTAGATGGAAATTAATCAAAGTTGCCTGCTCAATTATGACACTTTAAAAATGAATTTTCATACATCAAACTTTCTAATCGGCGTGATGAAACACTTGATCTTGGACGAGCGGAGTAAACACGCGAGCCTTAGGGCGTGTAAGAAAATGAGATAATTGCCGGAGATGCCAGTCAACAGGCAATGCCAATTGATTCGTCACAAAGGTTGATGTTGGAGCAGTTTCCGGCCTCGTCTCTCAAATTAACTCGAAGTAAACTCGAGCGCGCGTCTGTACGTTTTCTCTTTTCTGTTTCTCTCGACAGCTGCTGATCTGGATGATGACGGCGATGTCGCGTCGTTTCGAGTTCCAAGCCGACACTTATGCGGTGAAACTTGGCTATTCGGAACCATTGGCTCGAGCTCTGATCAAGCTGCACAAGGATAACTTGGGATATCCCCTCTTCGACAGGCTCTACTCCAACTGGCATCACAGTCATCCGCCTCTCCTCGAACGGCTGGATGCCCTCAAGAAGGACGATTAAAGTGAAAAGTAGCACACGCACGCGTGGTACACGACGCCCACGCGCAATCGCCCAATTCAGAATGCGAAACCTTCGCTTATTTTTCATTTTTGTCCTCTAGTCTGCTCGTTCGGTCCAACAATTGTCTCATAGTGCGTGCGATCATTGTGATAAATTTTCCGTATTTCTCAACAATCAGCATCGTTATTTTTACGCAGTTAAAGTTTTATTTCAAGTATTAGCAAGTCTTCGAAGCTAAGCTGCATAATTCAAAACTGTTGATAAATAATGCGACTTTATTCAAATTTAGTATTTAAGGTCAACTGTTAGACGGCCGTCCGTCTTCTTCGGAAAAAAGCCTTACTGTAGCTGGTTTAGTGAAGATCGGTTGACTGCGCAATTATACCGACGCGGCAAGGCAAAACTCATGCCTCGGCGTGCACAAAAACAGCATCAACTGCTGCCCAGTTTCAATGCCGAGGAGAAAAGAAAAATAGCAGCGAGAGAAACGCCACGGGCGAACTAATCCCCGTCGCGAGTCCAAATATTAGTTGAGTTAGAAATATCCGTGGCTGAGTGCAGCAGCACGTGCACACGCGTGACAAAAAGAACATCAAAGGTGGCGAGGCGAGCGCGCGACGATGAGCGCCGCGCTATTTCGACGACGACGATGGAGAACAATAAAAAGTACAGCCTAATTCTGTCCCACGCGGTGAACGAGAGTGGGAGAAGACGCGCGAGTCCTTAACTATTCTATTACGGTACAGCGGCGCGCAGCCGATGCCCTCGCGCGAGCCAGAGCGGCGCGTGCACAAGACGCACAGGCACACGAGGGACAGACAGCCTGCCGATTTTAGATCGAATCTCCCACGTCGCCGTCGAGAGCAGAGAAGGGTGCGGAAGCAGGAATGGGCCAAACAATAGCCCACATCGGATTCGGCGCTTACTCCGAAATGCTCTGCCTGGCCTGTGGGAAGAAGCCGGATGTGCGATTAGGAGAGCTCCGGCCGTTAAAACTGCATAAGCCGTTTGGGCTGCGCTAAAACGAGTGTGAGAGAGTGGGGAAGAGGCAGCGAGCCGATGGTGTTACTCTGCTCCGCCGAGAGAGAGAGAGAGAGAGAGAGAGAGAGAGAGAGAGCGAAGAAGGTGTAGTAGTGGGAGGTGTGTCCGTGCACCTCCGTGAGAGGCGCGCGTTCACCGCGGCGGCCAGTCCAGTCGGTCTCCTGAGCACGCGAGAGATAGTAGTACGCGGCCTAGCGGCCCGTGTCGCCGGTCGCTGGACCGCCGCCGCTGAGCGCGCGTTATTGTTACCAAACAAGGCGACTCTCGGATCGTACCTGCCTACGCTCTCTGCTTGCTCTCACCGCTCGCGGACTGTCTCGCGCGCGCACGCCGGAGATGGCGGCGATGGCGTGCAGTCGCGCGCAAATCTTCAGCGACGCCGAGACAGGTAAATGCGAACGAGCGTGGCGCGCCGATTTTCATCGACGATCGCTTGCTGTATCCCGCGTCTTGATGCGAGCGCGCGACTTTGCGTGCCCGCTCGTGTGAATCTGTTGAGCGCAGCGAGTACCTGCAAGAAAGCATTGTTAACGATTCGGAATAGCGCGCGCTCCTCTTTTTTTTTCTTTCGTTTTCGTAAGAGGCCGAACGTGAGACGACGCAAAGGTTTCTTTTTTCGATGCCCAAGCGAGTTTCTATCCCAAGGCCGACGCGTTCCTCGCTCGCTGCTTTTTTTCTCTCTTTTACTCCGATGCTGCGCAGCTACGGGTTCGATTGAGGTGTGAAAGTGCGCTCGTTTACCTTTTTTCGATGATGCTGACTTGACTGTCGCGTCTGCGAGTGTGATTCGACGAATGTATGTTTTTTTTCATCAATAAAGAATAAGAAATATTAAAAAAAACAATAGGCGAGTGTTGGATTTATTTATTATCGGCCGGTTATCTTTTGACTTATCGGCTTGTTGAGCTAGGAGTTGCATGTGGTTTTGTTTAACGGGCAAACAAGTTTCATTATTTTGCGCGAGCATGCAATAAATTACGCGTCATCTGGCGAACAATCACGGTTGTAATTTAGCTGCGTGTTCTTATTGTGCAATGGGTAATACGGACTTTAATGAATATTAAATAACGCAAATAAAAATATTTGAACTTCAAGCGACATTCAGAACGTTTTACTTGAAAGGATACAAATTGATAATATAACGAAGTGTATGCATCATCATGCGGAGGATCCAATGCAGTGAATAGATTAATCTTGATTGGTATGAAGCCGCACTCAGACTGTTTTCATTATCGATTTCTTTTACTATTCTGCTATCGTTTTACCTGAATAGAACTGCTATCGTATATTGTATTGATCTGTAGGTGGTTTACGAGAAAATAAAATTGACAGCGCTTAAGAGGAAACTTCTGTTATTCAACAAGTGTTCTTTTTTTTACGATGACAACCTCATAGAAAGTTTTTTTTTAATCAAAAATGTTGATGTGTTATAGAGACGGTTATTCTCGAATAAGTTGAAGCGTTGAGATTTTAATGTTAGGAAATATTTTGATAAGAAAATTTAAAAGAAAAATGAATGACGTGATCAGATACTGCATAAAAAATTCAGTGTTCACAAGCTGTGAATCTGTCGACTACCAAATAGTACAAAGAGATCTTTTGCATGAATTTATTTGCAAAGCTAGGTGATAAACCAAGGGCGCACACCTGTCGGTGAAAGTTGAGAAATCACTTTTTTTAATTACACTTGAATGTTCGAGAAGCGTCGCACACGCGTGTAAAAACGAAATGTTGTCTAGGACCCTACAACGCACTACCACACGCCGGTCGCGAGTACAGCTACGACAGCGATGACTACGGGAGCAAATGTTTCTGTTGTCCGTACGGCTACCACATCGACCTGGATTTCGTGCGCTACTGCGAGACATGGCAAGCAGACGCGAGCGATCGTCTTCAACACGAGCGTCGTCGTCGACGTGCGCGCCACAAGCAGCGCCAGTCCATGGAGTTCCTGCTCGGTTTACCCGACGAGGTGAGAGTCCAGACATGCCACAGAACTCGGTGAACTACTTGCGCAATTGCCGTTATCGCGTGCTGGCGCTCTGTCGGTGATAACATAACTCTCTCTCTCTGTCTGGCTTGCTCGACGTGGGCCGATTTCCACGCGCCGTACAGCACAGAGACAGAGCGAAACGTCAGTCGCGCGCCGATCGCTGCCTCGCTAGCAGCTGGCCGTTTGCACGGACAAACAGCGGCGAATAATAACCCGTGGATCTGAACGATGCCTTGTTGGCGAAGCCCCAGCTGGAGGAGTCGCACGAAAAAGTTCTTTTGCAAGGACGATCATCGCGATGAGGTACTTTTCCAGCGCCAATCGTTGCGCATACGCGCATCTGTTCGCCCGTTTCGCGCGCTAATGTCAGGCAGATAAGGGGGATTATACGCAGACAACGGCAATTTTTACGTCTTCTCCGCGAGCGACACGATTGTACGCTTATCGCTCGGTTGCGCATATTGTATACGCGACCGAAAACTACAGCAATGATCGATCGTTTTGTCGTTCTCCGCAAAATAGAACAAGGCCGCGGTGTACCAACCGCCTGCGGAGCCGTCGAAGAAGCCAGTGCCACCGAAGCCACCACCTAAACCTAGTCTCGACAGTATTCGGCTTAATCAAGACTGGCAGGATTCCCTGAGTAATTTCGAGGAAGCTCTGTCGCAGTCGTATTCCGGACCAAGCAGTAGTGCCTGTTCCACGCCCATCAACAATGTCTATTTGAGGTAAGTCTGAGAAAAAAGCTTTTTGCGACAAGTGAGCAAATCTAGTACTATGCGATTCGACAATTCGTTTGGGAATTGGTTTCTTCTTTCCGATCTCTCTCTCTCTCTCTCTCTCGCTCCCTATCTCTCTCTCTCTATCTTTTTCTTTCGTTGTCATTGGAAGTAGTCGCAAAGAAACCGCGTCGAAATTTCACCAGAACTTTCTGCTCGATGTCCCAAATGGAAAAAAAGGTCTTTCTCCCGTTGCAATACCTACCTTTCATTTTGATCGCTAATGAAAACTAAAAAGTGAAAAAAAATTTCCCACGCAGCAGCACCGCTGTCGACAGTAGTCCACCGGTGCAGAACGGCGTGGACTGCGTCAGCAGTCCAAGCAGCAGGACGGAAATGGTAGCACCGGTACCGCCTCAACGCAACGAGAGCCATTCGTACCTGCGAAAAGCCGAAGCAACCGGCGCCGCCGCTGCCGCTGCGCCAACGTCGAGTCGGCTGGTGTTGGAGTCAGCGAGCCGTGTCGAGAACGAGAGCAACCGGCCATGCTTGCAGAGCATACGCGAGCAGATGGCTGCGGCCCTCGAGCGCATGAAGCAGCTCGAGGAGCAGGTCAAGGAGATACCGCTGCTGCACGTACAGATGTCCGTCCTGAGGGAGGAGCGGCGAATTCTACTGAGGCAGCTTGCCAGCCAAAAGAAGCTCAATCATCAGCAGCCCCAGCAGACTCCCGTTTCCAAGAGGGACGCCGCAACCTCGTGCGCTGTGGTTACCAGGGACGTGGGCGTCACGCATCAGCCGGTGAGTGCCGATGCCTCTTTGTGGCATGCTTCAACAGTCAACGGTTTTCAAACGGCGACTCTGCGCGTTCTCGTGAAATCCGCTGCGAGTTTGCGCTTGCGGTTGGTGGCTCGCCGTGAAAGACGCGACGCCACCTGTCGCTGCCGGTTCTCGCACCTCCGTTTGCCAACAACGCATTCGCGTCGCTCTGCGAAATCCGCCTCGCCGTGAAGAAAAGGTCTCGGTCGGGCCCGCGGCGCCAATCGTTGAGCTCGCTAGTCGAGCAAGCCAAGCCCAGCAAATCCTAACGCGTGTGCGTGTGTGCTGATCCACAGATGAAGTTGCGCGACTCGTCGACGAGCACGCTGCGGGTGCTTAGTGCTCACGCGACCGAGGTGACTTCGATCGCGCCGGAAGCCAAGCCTCCGAGCTCGACGCAGTCGACGCAGTCGACGCAGTGCTCGCCCCAGGCCCGACTCGCCAAGGCCGTGCAGTCCGAGTCACCGGGGCTCGTTGCGCTCGCCACCAAATCCACGCAGTACGAGAGTGAGTGCTCGACGGAGCGGTCGAACCTCACCGCCAAGGGAACGCAGTGCAGCGTGGAGACGAGGGAGCGGGGCACGTCGAGCCTCCAACAGCCGATCGAGATCAGCAGGCCGAGCGTCGCCAGGAGAAACAAGGAGGTGCAAGCTACCGAGAGTCAGCCCTGGTAAGGCGGATTCTTTTTACGAGGTTTACTTTTTCCTACTAATAAACACTCATCATCGAGGAAACGCGGTCGTAAGCGCGACGTGCCGCTCGTTTTATTCGATTCAAATGCGCAATGCTCTTTTTCAAGTGCCTCTTTCTCTCTCTCTCTCTCTCTCTCTCTCTCTCTCTCTCTCTCTCTCTCTCTCTCTCGCGTGCGCTCAAGTGCTCGTTAAAGCGAACTCATTACGACTCGTGGGAGTGATACGCGCACGCGAATGGAATTCATTTGGCGGTGGTCTTTTCTCCTTCTCTTCTGGCTTTGGCAAATTAAGAGTGTTCGCTGTCGTCCGACGACGCGCGGGCGGCTTCTCGTTTTCCAGGGTGAAGCTGAAATTGAACGCAGGAGTGAGCGCGAAGCCGAGCGTGTGCGACGTCGCCACCGAAACGTGCGACACGTCGATCAGCCTCTCAGCGCTACGCCGTCAACAGACACTGGGCGGGGGCAAGTCCGTGAGCACGAGCGTAGGACGCGACCTGGTGCGCACGGTTAGTCGAAGTACCGAAACTTTGACGCCGCGCAGTCGTGACTTCGGCACGTCGCCACGGCGCAAGCTTCTGGTGGACGTATCGGTGGGCGGCTCTCTGCCGTTCATAGCTACAAGCACCAATTACTGCGACGAGTGCAAGCAGATTAATAAGAACAAGCAGCAGCAGCAGCAACAGCAACAACAGCACTCCAAGACTGACAAGGGTAAAGGTTACAGTATGAGGACGAGGATACCCGTTATGAGTGCTGACGCGAAAAACGAAAGGCGATCCAATCTTATCAGGCAGGACACGTGGACCGAGAGTTTGGACAAACTTGGTGACGGGTGAGTTTGATCGAGTTTCCGTTACCTTAGTGGCACGGTTTCATTTCCGAGAGATCGCGTTCGACTTGTCGCGCCGACAACGAAATTCTCATTACTCTGGTGATTTGTCGATCGCCTGTTAAACATTTCACTCGCCACCTGCATATGTCCCGTGCGAATTTTCCTCTGAGCGGCCACTGAAATCAGCGACAAGTGGCAGCGTCGAAATGTCGAATTGCCCACGAAACGTGAAGTTGTCCTTTCGTTAACGAGCGACCCATACTGTTAGCCCGCGCGCAAGCATATCGTGGCTTTCATCAATTAAAAAAATAAATCCGCCAAAAGTGATATGCGCTGTCGGTCAACTGATTAAGCACTCCGTCGAGTGCACCGCGAGTTGCGGTGGAAGAGCCGACTGGAGCCGAGCCAATAAATATAGAATGCTTATGGCTAAAATTCGACTGCCGAGGCGAAAGGGCCGCGGCGCGCAGACTGCCTTTTAATAAACTGGCAATACGATCCGTTAATGGAGAGCCCCGGCCGCAGTCTTGCGCTCTTTTTCTCTTGAGATTTATTATTTCGTAAAAACGCTCGCAGATAGCTTCTCCCAAGACTTTTACCAACGCGCTCGGCCGTTTCTGCTTGCTTGCTAACTATTTTTGTGGTACCGCCTTGTGCTCGTAGAGAGGCTTCATTCACGTCTTTCCTGCGCGCGGCTGCTTTATAACCAGACGGGATGTCAAGTTCTTACAGGCTACAATCGCCAGTTTTTTTATGCCCTTCCCCTATATAGATAAAGTATTGATTTTTTTTTCAGTCGTTCGGTGCACCTGTACTGTAAGACTAAAGACCGTACACTATAACGTAACGGCTGTCGAAAATTCAAATTTTTTTTCCAGCAAAATCTATTGTCCTGCGATCGATACGTTTTTTTTCTCAAATCGACGCGAATAAACAATTTTCGCATTCACGCATTAAAATCCGTTGAGCGAATTATCGAGTGATTCTTTAATCATAGAAATTCGTATTTTTCCGCCAATCGAACGAATGCAGCTTCGAAAAAACCGAAAGATCAATGCCCGATAAAAAACAAATAATCAGGACACGAAAATCTCGCGCACCCTAAACAGAGGTACGGAAGGGAGTACGTAAACGTGCGCGCGTGTATATCAAACGCGACCCCCCTTGGCAGTTGGAGCGATGTCGATAAGTGCGCGCGCAGCTTTCACGGGCAACGAGCGGACTGGCAGCCCTTGCTTCGAGTAAAAATAAAAAAAAAAAGACAGAGAAAAATACGACGACTAGGTAGGCAAGCGCCTCGCGTGTACAGACGCATGAATCGATAACATAGAATGCCAAAATAAGAGAATGGAGTTGAGTCGAGATCCGTGAGTTTTCGGGCGCCAAGACGACGACAAGCTGCATGTAAGCATCGTACTTGTTACTATGTGTGCGTTGGCGTCGCGAGTGCTATGGTCGGAAGATTGACGTACGTAATTTACGATGTGTTTGTGCGCAGTTACGCATGGGAGATCGCTGCGATGAGCCGCGCGAGATGCCTACGTCGCCGTCTCGGATGTCGCAGTTGGCAATCTACGTTCGGCTTGATGATCTAAGACAATCTGGCGAGTCCGCGCCCCGACGTTTCTTTCACGGCCGAAGTTTGAGTGTCGATTGGATGTTTGATTCAGAGCAAAACGATATCCTCGTCACTCGGATAATTGCGTTTAGCCGGCATTGAATAGGTTTTCCGCCACGGTCAATTGCGAAACGTTGGTTCATGAATGCGACTCGAGAATGGAATGGAAAGCACTGATTCGCGCAACGAGTTGATTACCCGGGCGCCGAGTTTGCAATGGCTCTCTCTCTCTCTCTCTCTCTCTCAAGTCAAACAGTACCGAGACTAAAGCGTCGGGAATGTACTTCTCTTTGACTGCGTGGCGCGTCCATCAAAGCCTTTTTATTAGCGAGCTCGCTCGCGGCGCGAACGCCCGTGCGATCACACACGCGCCGGCTGCGAGCGACACGAGTCCCGTGAGCTTGCGCAATTTGAGCTTGCGATTCCGATGAACTAGCTGCCTCACGTGCACGTACGTGCTGATCAACAGGTCCCAGAGTTTGAACAAGCATGCCGATCGCCAGCAGCAGCAGCAACAGCAGCAGGAACAGCAGTTGACTGCTTCCTCGAAGAAGCGCGATGGGCAGGTGTCGCAGGACAGCCTTGCTGCTGAGCCCCAATCCAAGGCGAAAGAGGAAGAAGAGGGCAAGGCCGAAGAACTCGATGACGCTCTCGTGCGAAGCGTCGTTCTCGACACGCCAAAAGTACCTGCCAATAAGCCGCCCATGGATCTCTCCAAGGAGATGCGGGCTGCGCTCAAAGTTCTCGATGACAATCTCAGGTGACGCTTTTGCATCTACTCGGCGAGTTCTCCGAGGGTTCGCTCTCCCGCGAGGATCCTATTTCGTGCGCTGCTAACTCGCGGTTCTTTTCGAACATTGTCGAACGGCCGCGTGATTTCTGTTTCTTTTTCCTTTTCATTTGCAAAGCGATTGTCTTAACTTGACGTTGAGTCCTCAAAAACAGCTTTCTGAAAGCTCATTGAGAGATACTTGAAAAGTTATGAAATTCAAATTAGCCTCGTAACAAAAATATAGTAGTCCTTGGTTTGTGTAACTAACCTGTCAACGCTAAGTCTTTTCGAAAACAAAAAAAATAGACGTATTACTAAAACGCGTCATTGAGAAATCCGTACAAATAACGAATGCACGCGTGACTTTTTTTTATAAGTCGTAAAGTTTCGACGGAAGGTCGCTGTAGTCATTCGCAAAACGCTCACGGAACGCCAACGTTAAACACAAGTGCGAATAAGTTGACGCTCGTAGAGCGATCCCGCGAAAGTGCCCGCAGGCAATACCCCGGACGATGGACGTAAGACGAGAGCAGCTGGCATCGTGCAATCGAACGTTGAATCTTGCAGGAAAGTGAGCGCGGGCGGTACGCTGCCGAGCAGCGTGAAGAACGCGAGCAACATCGTGCAGCACGAGTGGTTCAAAGTGTCGAGTACCGCCCAAGCCGATCCACACAGCGTGGAGTACTATCTGGACCAATTCGAGCAGCACTGTTCGTCGCTGCTCGACCACGTGGTCAATCTAAGGGACTCCAACGGCAACACCGCCATGCACTACGCGGTCTCGCACGGCAATTTCGACGTGGTCTCGATACTGCTGGACTCGAAGGTGTGCGACGTCAACGGCACCAATCACGCCGGCTACACTCCGGTTATGCTCGCCGCCCTCGTGCAGCTCAGAAATTCCACCCACGCGAGTGTCGTCAAGAGGTTGTTCCAGTTGGCCGACGTCAATGTCCGCGCGAAGCTGGTAGGCTTCTTTTTCTTATCTTATCTGCCGTTTTAATGAGGAATGATGGACGAGGCTTCCACGATCAGCGAGTACGTTGAAAATTAATAGCAGACTGATTGGACCGGTTTGGCCGTCGTCGCGCTTAACCAATTGTAACTCAATCATTCGGAATGGCATGGATTTTGAGTTGCCGCCGTTGTGTAGGCGAAATACTATTCGCTACGCCAGATTGAAATTACACCTCGAGCAAAATTTAAAACAGCAGGTCGACGACGGCAAAACTGCTCCCGAAGGCTATTACGTGTCGCGGCTGTTAGACTTCGTTATGAATAGATTTTTCTCTCGAGAATTTTGCACAACGCGAAATATCTATCGTCGTCATTCGATTGCGAATAAAAGCAAGCAACGATTATCTGTTTACAGCACGGTCAAACGGCCCTAATGCTCGCGGTGTCGCACGGTCGCAAGGACATGTCGAAGCTGTTGTTGGACGCGGGGGCGGCGGTGAATCTGCAGGACGAGGACGGCAGCACGGCTCTGATGTGCGCCGCGGAGCACGGCCACGCCGACATCGTGCGGCTGTTGCTGGCGCACTCGGACTGCGACTCGAGCATCGTCGACGTGGACGGCAGCACGGCATTGAAGATCGCGGTCGAAGCCGGCCACGCAGAGGTCGGCATGCTGCTGTACGCGCACCAGCGCGCCAGCCGTGCGAGCCCCATGCCGCCGACCGCGCCGAAACTCGGCAGAAGACAGCGAACCATCTCGGCTCATCATAACCATCACGCGGCGCAGCAGTACTCGGTGCTGTCGATGTCCGCGCCAGCCAGTCCCGTCGCGACCGCCTCCAGAAAGTTTCACTCGTCGAGCTTGTCGCTCGTCGAAGCGCCCAAGTACTCTCTGTAAAACGGACTTCGTGCGTAATACGTGCGTGTGTGCCTGAGCGCATGCGTCTTCGTTGTTTAAATGTATGCAAGTCTGCATGTTTTTTCTCTTGTAGATAATTTGTCACGTACAAAGCAATGCAAAACGGGTTTTATAGCCTTTTATCGACGCAATGGAAAGACACTCAGATGGTCAATTTTTTATATTCTCGAAATTTTCACTGCAGTTTACGATCAAACAGCACTTGGCACTTTGCCTTTGGAGATTAAAAATAGTGCAAGACTGTTCATTGTTTTGTTGAATCACGGTGTCTACTATATATTTTTCACTTTAGTTTATTCAATTCTGATGATAAAATACTGATGATTGAACAATATTAACATACAAATTATTTACTCATCTTGCGAGCGGTACAATGTCAATATGTAAATCAATGTGTAGCGAGAACTGTTGTGTGTAAGTTGTTAAACTTCTCAACATTTATCTTTGTAAATTTCAAATAGTTTAATTGTCGCGTGAAAAAAAAATTTTAATTTACTAAGTGGATTTCTAAGCAATAATACACTTGCGCATCAATAGTTTTAAAAAATTTCACAAATTCTTTTCGTCCTTTCTACGATGTTAATTGGGTTCACTCCTCGACAATTTATCGGTGCTGTACAATTTGTACCAGTTTTATAGGACTCGTTATTTTGAGTATAAAATATTTTTTGATATAATGTATAATGTAGAGAAATTGCGTAAAATTTTCACGTGATATTTAGATAATATTTTACATCACGTTAATTAAATTATTACTTTGCAATGCATCACATTATATTATATTCTTGCATGTACTTAACGGTTAATTAGATAAAATATTGTTCGGTGTGATAAACGGTATAACTGTGGGTACAACATATAAAACGAATAGATTTAAAATATTAAAAATGTGAGAGAACTGTCCTATAATTGATCATCTTGTAAATTTTGGAATTTTCGTTTGTTTATTATCTAATTTTGAGTGCAATTTATCTCTTGGCTCTGATGCGCTAACAATGAATTATTTATTTTTATCGCAAATAACACGAAACGGTGAATGAATCTGAAAATGATCGATTGTGATGACAATAAGTTTTAATCAATTTTGGTAATGCTCCATTCCTCTGTAATTTAATAATTGAATGCGATTAACTCCACGACGATGGCACCTATTTTAGTTGTAATATATTTTTATCCAGCCAGGGTATATACATACGTAGCTCGTGTACCTTTTTTTAGTCTTCTAAGATACATATTAAGAGTGTTAATACAAATACCTAGTTGTGTCATAATAAAGCGGAATCATATATTCCGCTATCTGAAACAAATTATTATCGTATTTTTTATCTAAGTTTACACAATGGAAATCGATTACATTTTTTCGACTTTTATTCTATCATTCTGAGGAACATATTAATACGGTGCATATTGTGATATATGCCAATATCATGCATTTATATACACTATACATACTAAAAAATATAAAACACGATGAACAAATAAATTTGTATTTTTAATTTTACAATTACATTTTTTCAATCATGATTTTGATAATAATCGAACAAAAAACTAAATTCGGTGCTAATGTTGGCGCTAAAGCTCGACACTGACGCATGCGCATTTCAACCGAACTGCGCGGGAATGGAATGTTGACAATTAATCAGCTGCGGATCAGTGCGACTGGCGCTTTTGACTTGTATGTGCATTGTTATTTCGGAGTTTTTGACAATGAGCTTCAATATAACATCATTGAAGAAAATATGATATTTGTTTTTTGATGAAAATCTTTTTTGCAAGCACTATACATTATGGCGAATTTGGGCAATCGCATTATAGTTTTAATTGATATGGATTGTTTTTATTGCCAAGTTGAGACCAGATTGAAACCGGAATGGGCCGGTAAGCCATTGGCTGTAGTACAATACAATTTGTGGAAAGGTGGTGGGTAAGTATTTTTCAAAATCTTTTAACTAAGTTCTGAAATAATTTTCCTTAACGTTGCGATAGTATTATTGCGGTAAATTACGAAGCTAGAGATTTTGGTGTTACGCGTCATATGCGTGGAGATGAAGCAAAAGAAAAATGTCCAGATATAAATTTAGCAATTGTTCCTGCTCTTCGAGGCAAAGCTGACACATCAAAGTAAGGACATTAATTATATACTGGAGATAGTATTATTGTGCAAATAAATACTAACTGGTTTTTATCATGTAGGTATAGAAGTGCTGGGCGAGAAGTAATTGCTGTTCTTAAAAAGCATTGCAATTTGGTAGAAAGAGCCAGTATAGATGAAGCTTATTTAGATATTACTCAAATTATTGATGATCAACTTGCACAAGGAATGTTTGAAAATGAAGATCTACAAAATGAGTTACAAAATACATATGTAGTAGGATATTCAGAAAATGGTGTTAATAATGAAGGTTTGCTAAAGAGTTATTTATTATTTTATACAAAATAAAATAGCACTCTTATCTTATAGTAAGATATTTTAGAACAAAGAACCAAAGGTATTGACTGTTGGTTGTCACTATCATCTGAAGATGTTCAAATTCAACGTCTGGCACTTGCTGGTGCATTTGTAGAAAAATTGAGGAAAGATATCTGTGAAGTGACCACTTTTAAGTGTTCAGCGGGAATTTCATTTAATAAAGTATAATCGATATCTCAGTTGTTTATTTATTGCAGATAAATGACTTGTAACAAATAGATAAATTATATTTAAAGATTTTAGCAAAATTAGCATGTGGTCTTCATAAACCAAACAGACAAACTATTTTGCCTGCATCATCTGTACCTGAATTATATGGATCATTACCTGTAAAAAAAGTTAGAAATCTTGGAGGAAAATTTGGTGATATTGTTATTGATTCCTTGAAGTGCAATGTCATGGTAGATCTGTTACCTTATTCTCTGCAGTATTTAAAAAATCGCTTTGATGAGAAAACAGGGTACAATATGTTTGTTAAATATTTGTAATATATACATTGCAAAAACTATATAATTAATGAATTTAGCTTATGGCTGTATAATATTGCACGAGGCATTGATAATGAACCTGTAACTCCTAGACTGGTCTCAAAATCCATTGGAGCTTGCAAAAGATTTCCGGGAAAACAGGCAATAGTGGATATAGATACTGTGAGTATATTTTGCTATGAAAATAATTGTAATAAACTCATAATAAATTGTAATAAAATCATTGTAATAAAAAAAGTAGTCAATCCATCAAACTAAAATTACTACTTCATTATTCTTACAGTAATTTTATTTTGGTAGATTGCTCTCATATTTAGCAGCTTTTAAATTTATTTGAAACTCGAGAATAAAATGCATAATATATTTGTTTAGCTTAAACATTGGATGAATGAGTTATCAGAAGAAATTTGTGAAAGGCTTGAGCAAGATCTAGAAGAAAATGAACGTAAAGCATCACTGATGACAGTCAGTTATCAGTATATCCAGAATAACAAAATTATCAATCAATCAAAATCTTATGCTATTTCAAGTTATAAAACTGAAAAAGTTGCTCAGCAGTGTCTCAACATTGTAGTAAAACAAACACAGCAACAACCGATTGCGTTTCTAGGTCTGTCAGCTGGAAAATTTATAAAAGCTAAGGGAAGTGAAAATTTTATGAATTTTTTTAAAGCAAACCCTTCTGAAAAAAGTACGTTTTCATTGAGTAACCAAATAGATAAAGTTGCCAATGAATCTAATAATGTAGATAAAGGGGAAGATGAAATTGAAAATGCTGACGATGAAGTAAATAGTGAAATAGTTAATAATCAAAAAAATCACAGGCATGAACAATTACATCCCCATGACGAATTTGAAACACCATATAATGAAGCAGCAGCTCTCCAAGAAAGCAAGCATCGACAAAATAATACAAAAATTAAGACTTCATTTGAAAAATCACCAACGAAAACAATGCAGTCTCTTGATAAAATGAAAAACAGAAAATATGAAATAATCGAAAATACCAAAAAGAACAATATTCGTGAAGAAATTGAAAATAGCAAAAAAACTAAATCACCATTGAATGCAGTTAAAGCAAATCGTAAATCATCTCCTTGTAGTAAAATTCATAGTACTCTAAAAACTGATAACTTCAAGCAATCTTTTTTTATGAATATTTTAAAAGAAAAGCAATCGCAAGACGACGAAATTCAAGATGAAGAGTATGAAGCACCTCATGAAGGCAGTATTGATAACGTCGATATATGTAATGATATATGTAATGATACGTCGAATGATAGTAAGAAAATAGAAGACAATGGAAATATGGAAGTAGAAATAAGCATTCCAAAGTCTCAGAATCAAAGTCTTTTACCGAACAATAGTATGGCACCCGTAAAATTACAAGAGATATTCCCAGACCTTAACGATATAGATCTAGAAGTGGTTCGTTTACTGCCAATCGACTTACGAGATGAAGCTAAAAAATGGTTGAAAATGGAAGAAGTTCGTGAAAAAAATTCTGAACCTGACAAAATGAAAGCTATAGATATTCATAAAGGATTTAAAAAAAAAAGCTCGAAATCTAAGTCGATACAACAAAATTCGGATATACAACATTTTTTCATAAAGACTGATTTGATCAATAGTTCTAATACAAGTATGAAAAAGTGTACACAGTGTGATCAATTGATTCTGATTGACAAATTTGAAGAACATAATGACTATCATGTAGCGCAGAATATACAAAAAGAATTAAATCGACTATCAAATGGTAATGAAACGCGGAAAAGGAAAGTGGTTTTAGATAGTCCGAAACACATAAAAAAACGACTGAGCGATGATTTTGTAAATTGATTTTTGGTATTTTAACAATATTTATTCATTATATGCGATAATCAATTGTAAATATTTCATTCAAAGCTGTGTGAGTCTTGCATACATGATGGTGTTACAAACATACACTCTACATACGAAATTTTTCAATGATCTATATTTTTTTCCATACGTTTTCATATTAAATAAATGATTAGATGGAAATGCTTTGTAAATTATAAATTAATTTTTTACTCAGTAAAAAACAATGAAATTTGAAAAATGTAATAATTATTTCGAAGAAAGATTAGAATGGACATTAAATGAAGATTTCTAATATCTTCGTCCTCCTTGACCTTGGTTGCGATTGTTGTAACCACCCCCACTACCGCTTCCTTGATTCCAGCCTCCTTGGACTCGACCGCCCCGACCTTGACCTCTTTTCTGGTAATCTCCTCCTCCGCTTTTCCTATCGTAACCTGATAAAAATAAATTCATTTGTAATAAGTGACATAAAACACTAACATCATAGAGTAATCTGCTGTAAAATACCTCCTTGATTGCCGTAATTGGATCCTTGATTTCCATAATTAGAGCCTTGGCTACTGTACCCACTCTGACCTCCATATCCAGAGCTCTGACTTCCATAAGAAGTCTGATTATTGTATGAACCTTGATTACTGTAGCTAGATGATCCGCTGTAGCCGGAACTCTGTCCACTGTACCCCGATGAGCTTTGATTATTTCCGTAACTAGATTGATTATTATAGCTTTTATTTCCGTAACTAGAGCCTTGGTTGTTGCTATAGCCAGAGCTTTGATTAGTGTACGATGGATTTTTGTTGTCATAACCACCGCCTTGGTTACCATAATTCGAAAATTGTTTTTGCGAGTCAAAATTTTGGCCAAAATTATTTGCAGTAGATTTGTTATCACGATATCCACCGCCGCCTCCTCCTTGATTTCCTCCACGACCACCGCCTCTTCCACCACCGCCACCACCGCCACGGCCACCTCCAGCGAACCCGCCTCTGTACAGAAAAGGTAAGTTAATAGTTGATATTAAATTTTATACAAAATTTAAAATAAGCTATGCTTCAATACCTTTGTGGTCCCTGCACTCTATCTTTCTGCCACGATGGCATTTCAGGTGGAGGAGGTTCTTGTTCACATGGTCGTCCTCCTCTGTCTGGTACAGCTCCAATAATCACTTTATTTATAGAACTTCGAGTATTCTTTCGTACTGATGCATTGCTTGTTTTTTCAATAACTGCTAGATCATCTCTGGCTGACAACAAATGAGCAAGTGTTACATCTGGTTGACGTTGCATAGCATCCCTTTTAACATGATAACACCTATTTAATTCATCTTCTTTTGGCCTGATCCTTTCCGACCACTAGATTGATTTTAAGAAAACCATTAAATTTCACAAAATAAATAAGGTTAAACTTTGCCATGATTAGATTTCAAAAATATATAAAGTACCGAAAAAGATTGAACTGTTACATCCAATCGCTTCAACAACATCTCTCTTCTTATTGTGTATTCTTCATTAAGATCACCTTGAACTTTGTCTAACTTCTGCCATTGTTCATTGCTTAACTCACCAAAAAACATGGGTTTTCCTATAAGTTCTTTAGGAACTTGCTTCAAGATTTCAACAATTTTTGCTTCAAGTTTCTTAAAAAGTAAATCAGGAGCAATGTTGTCTGGTGGCTTTTGAAACCGTAAAGCTGTCAACATTTCTCTTAAATTTCTAGCTGTTATACTTTCACTCTAGAAACATAAAATAGATTTGTAGATATTGCTATTGCTAAGATCTAATAAAACAATAATATGATAACTTACTATGGTAATCTCTAAAGCTTTATTATCCTCTGGCTTTTTGGTTTCTAACATTTTATTTGCCATGAGTTCACTTATTAAATAATCTAAAAGAATACTTTTGTCTTCCATACTGGCTAATCTATGATTCACATTGCCAGTAGTTAACTTTGTGTTTACACATCCTAGCTCCTTTAGAAATATACTTAGCTCTAACATAAAAGTACTGGCATCTTCTGGAGTTGACGTGGGGTGCACAGACTCGTCGATTTTTCCAAAGAAACCAATTTGATCAGTCAACCATGATACGAGATTCGTAAAGTCTGGCGAATTCGGACCCCTTTGGAGAGCTTGATGAAATCTTGCAGGTTCGAGAACAGGGCCGGCAAAGCTGCATGTTGAATTTTATTCATTAAATATTTTAAAGAGAAACTTTGAAATAACATATTTAACTATTGAATTGATTTCTTTTTAATATCATGTAATGTTTATTTTGTCAGTAAAGTTTTTTGCGAAAAAACGTTCATCGTCGTATAGAGCTTATAACCTCAAAACTTACCCAACATCCTCCAAACTTTGTAAAAGTTCGGTCTCCATACTTCTTTATTTTATATTCTTATGAACTACAAAAAAATCAATCAATTCCTTTTCATAAAACTAAAGCTCTTGGACTATATTCACTGAGTATTGAGGATGCCCAGAAAAAACGATGCCCGCAGCAAATTCTCGAGGCAGCGTGCGCGGCGGCGTTCAATCGATCAGCTGTTTTTCTCCATTTTCGCATACGCAATTGCTCTGAAATTTCTTTCTCTCTCTTTCTCTCTATCTATCTATCTATCTCTCTCTCTTTCTTTAGAGCACATTGTGATTAGGTATTTGTGATAAAACACCAAATCCCGCTCTTCTTCCCATCTAGTCTACTTCTTCAGGGGCTTTAGAAAAATTTATTTTTAGATTAATCTCTTAACTTTAAGCATATGCTTCGTATGAATTTAAAAATTAACAATCATTTCCATGAATTATTTATTTTTGCTCAGAAATTATGGCGAGGTTGAGGAATACCTTTGGAAAATAACGATTCATTCAGTAGCTCATAGACATGTTTGTTAGATAATCAATGCAATGCCATGCATGAATATTTATGAATTTCTTATTCTGAACTTCCATGTATATAAGATATGTCGTGATAATTATATCCACAATAGCAATAATCTCAATTCATTTTCAGGTATCAAAATGAAAATTTCACGAATATAAAAGTGGAAAGGATGTGAAAATCCAAACAATATTGCATAATTTTCTAGGCAAAAGAAAACTCGTAGAATCAGTGCAAAAAATAATCGTATGATACTGCCATTATATTGGCGATATCAGCAGGTACTACATACAATCAGAGTCATTGAACGAAACTCAATCGAGTGTGTGTATATAGTAGCTCATACATCGGAATAATAAACAAAAAAGAGCTGCTCGTCTACGTTACATTGACGAACCCATATGCGCAAGAGGGGCCAGGCCCACGTAAGTGCAACCGCACACATTCTCACACAAACACTGCACTCACACAGAGGCACTCTCGCGGTCAAATACCCGTCGTCCGCGGCGTGCTCGGGCACAACACAACACACCAAGGACCGAACAACACGCTGTTGCTGCGCGTGCCTATACGCTACAGTGATTATACTTGGCACCGGGAGTTGACGTACCACTCCCGCGCTAGTGTCACAGCTTTTTTATCCTTTCTTATCGTCTTTCTTTTGTGGGTGTTATCGAGTAAGTGTCCTGCGACGATGCCCTGCAAGAAGAAAAAATACAACGTTCGCTTTCCACCCGTGAGTACATACACGTCATAAGGCATTTGTCTTTATTTAAAGTTTTTAAATTAAAAGTTATGATATTAATTATATATGAGTGTTGCAAAAAGTACAGTTTTTAACTTATTTTATTTTCGTGACGACATTAGCATGGTTTACTTATAAAAAATATTCCGTGTCTTCAGGGCACCTCTTTGTTAACCTCACTTTCATCTGGCATGCAAACGACTTACTTTGCTCTGGCTCCTTTTACTTTTACAGGGACGCATCAAAAAAATCATGCAAACAGACGAAGAGGTGGGGAAGGTCGCACAAGCAGTACCGATTATAATTTATATCCTTTTTTATTACTCGATACTCGTAGTGCGTACGCACAATAATACACTACTAATTCGAACCAGGAGGGAGGGTAATGCAGGATTCATTGTTTTGATGACAATCGATTGTTTTGATTTTGTTTACCTAGTTTTTTTATTTCGTCTGTTAAGTACAGAAAAACATATGTCACGTGAAAATAATGGTGAGCTTCTCTTTTGTAATTAAATACTTTCTTTACCTTTTTAAAAATGCATTATAGACTAGAGAAAGTTTTTTATTAGAGAAACATTTTTATTTTTCAAGAGAAAAATCCTTAACTCTTGTAATACCTAGGACATTAGAATTATTTGTTCATTCTCTATTGATCAAAACATTACAGATTACAAATGCAAAAAATGCAAAAACGTTAAGTCCTTCACACATGTTAGTATATTTATTTATTATTTTTTATAAATTCCTTGTCATAAAAATTGATGTTAATACAAATTTTACAGGAAGCAGTGTATTTTATCAGAAAGTCGATTTGACTTTCTAAAAGATCTAGTTAAAAACTTGCCAGATGTTTCCACTCCTGATGATGATACACAAACTTCTCCAGCTCTTCCACCAGCTAATGTTGTTCCAACTAACTCTGCTGCATATACATTCGCCTCTAATGCCTCTCAGGCTGGAGTAGCTAAGTAAATACTTACCGTGCTTATGATAATTTAATATTATGTTGAAGGTCTTTGTTTATATTAATATTCTCTATCCAATTTCTTTTAGTGTATCCAAAGAAGGCACATCGAGTTCACAAAATTCTTCAAGAAGAAATTCAGTTGATAAGGGAGATAAAAATAATAAACTGGTAAAACCAGTTGATAGCAACGAAACAGTATTTTCAAACAATGTCCCAAAGTTTAAAACGACTGTGCCTACATCCTTTAATGCTAGCCAACCAAATTTTTATACTGAATTGAATAGTAATCCAAGTGATAACGATTCAAAAAACAGCTCAGTCAACCAACCAGTGTCGAACTTTTCTTGTACTGCCAATATTGATGAAGATTATGATACGTAGCAATCCAGTGAATAGTTTACAACAATGTAAAATCGTATTGTATAAAGTATAACTTATATTAGTTAACTTAAACTGTAGACCTCATATTTATCGATAATCTCAATAGTTTCAAATGAGTATGATTTGATTGTTCTGTAGAGGAAAATTAATAATCTACTTTGGACATGTTAATGTATTGTAAAATTTGACAAAATATCATAATTTTGTAAGATTTACTATGTAAAAATCAAATACCTGAAAAATATTGATACAAATAGTTCTTTTTACTTTGATTGTGTAAGTATTTAATGAAGTCTGTAATATGCAATAAGACTGCTATATCTTATTTTTTTAATACTAAATTATTAAACAAGAATATATTTATCCAAATGAAAAACAAGTTTTACATTTTATTTTTTATGCTTAAGTTAAGATGACTTTTAATATATCATAATTTTTGTACTCTTATTCTTCCATAATAGAAGTTATCAAAAGTTGCACTTTGGATTGAATGCTTAATACAATACCTTGAATTTAATAAACTCCAATTAGTCACAAATTATAATGCAAGTCGTTACGGAATAAGGTGTTAGCAATAATTACTTAAAAAAAGTACAATTTCAATTGTGTTGCCTTGAAATGCACTAGCAAATTTTTTGTCTATATTGTAAACAACTATTTGCAGTAACATGATTGAACAATAAATAAGGATTCATATAAAATTTAAATTTATGTTATTCCCTGTCACAAAAATATATATGTAAGAAATAGAAAGTATTAAGGAGAGTATGAAAGTAAGAAAGAATAATTATTGATATCATTTTATTGTTATTTAAAAAATGTCAATATAAATTTCTCTTTTCTAAGCATATTTACATTATATAAATAGATGACAATATACAATTCCAAAAGATGCGTACTGTGAGCAGTGTAATGTTTCTACTGCCTTAATTTCGTTATGTATGATATAAAAATCTATATATTTGCAATATTAAAGTAAAATCTCTTTCAAAAAATAGTATAACGTTATTCTAATTTCGCTTTTAATATTGATTAATTTAAAGTAGTAGTCACCATCAGCCTAAAATTGGTCTACTGATAGAATAGAATGTACATAGGGCTATATGGAATATGGACTAACGGCTTAATGCTCTATCATTTGAAACTTTAAAGTCAATGAATTGTTTCTAACTAACAATTGAAAAAATGTCATAAATATAAGCAAAAAATTCCAAAAGTTAAATGTAGGTCAAGAAATAATTTACTTGAATATCTTCACCTTGTCATGATTAAAAAGAACGCGAGGTGACTTTACATCCTTAAGTTAATCGTGGGATAATATAATAAAAAATATATATACCTAATCCCTATCAGGAAATTTGTCACGCTTTATTTCTATCAATTATATCGCTTTAGAATTACAAATGATACATGTAATAGGACTGTAGATTTATTATTTCATGTACAGGGATAATATGACCTGCATAAAAAACTCAGAAGAGTTCTATTTCTGCAACATCTAATTAAGTAACTATGAAACATAAAAATATGAATAGATGTGCTTGTGGAATGTTAATCGATACATGTACATAAATATTAATGAAATTTAATTTTCGTGGTGCTTTGGTATATATATATAAATGTATAAGCATATACACACATATGTGTGTGTATATGCTTATACATACATATACACACACATATATGTACTTGGTAGCACCATTAGACTTTTTTGCAATTTTAATTGGTTTTGAGCGCTTTGTTAAAAAGATTTTTGTACTATTTAAAATTTTTTGCAAGCAATTTGCACCTCAATGAATTTCTATAGTTTTCATTCAGCTTGTGATCCACCAAATTTCACGATAGAACCCTTGAAAGTAATAAATAACTCGAATCTCTAGTGAGTTTCGACAACGCAATTTCATTTTACAAGAATGAAATATCTAAAAAATTACATGACTATTGACACGAAAGTATATTTGCACATTAGCAAAAGGATACAAACAATTTTAATTGATTGTACTTTTGTATTTTTAATTTTTTAATTTATTATAAATGAACGAACTTTACGAATATATTCATATAAATTATTATTTCATTCTTAATTTGACCTAAACTTTTTTATTAATAAAGAGAGCATATTACAATTAATTATAAAATGTACATTTGCCTGACTCAAGAGCGAAAAACTGAATACCATTCGTTACTTCGAAACCATGAGCGATACCATAAGGAAATTTATAAATTACTATCAGTTATTGAAAAGTAAGCGAATTTCGAAGTAACAAGACCGGCCGATTTCCCGCTCGCTTACGGATGCGGGAGAGGGGAATCGGATAAACATTAATTATCTACGTTCCCTTCGTAAAGTGATTCACACTTTTCGAGCAGTCGGAGTACCGGATTGATATTGTACGGAAATAGATCCTTGGAGACTAATCTATCGATCGCCTGTTTGAGATTCGCCAGTACAGCCATAATATCATCGATGTCGTGCTCACAACATGACATAAACTCAGGCCAAAAGCGCTTGATATACTTGAGCAGCCTGTAGAGATAGAGCAGGAAGCAGGTCTCGTTACTGACAAGGAAATCAAGTAGTACGTCGTGGTCGTGGGAAACAGCTCGGATGAACTGCACGAAAGTGAAGGCTGGACTGAGCATGTTTCCGAGGTCGTTCTGCGGTGGTCCCCTATAGAATAATCCGTTGGCAACATCCAGACAGCATACCATACCCTCAATCAAGAAGTCGTCTTGATCGTGGAACATCTGCACAACCCATTGAGACAGCGGCATTTCTGGGTGAAAGGGCATCAGTGTCTTAACGCACTGGTCCAGCTGACGAAGCACCTCCTTGATACTGCGCTCGATCACTGCCATGTCCGCGTCCAGATCTTCCGCATCGGAACCCAACGAGGAGTCGCTGGAGTCGCTGCGAGTCTCCTTTACCGTGACCGCCACGCTCTTCAGTACTAGCAGCACGACTTTCTGCAGGAGTGGTTGATCGCCGTCACCGTCGCCACCGCCGAACCTTCCCGAGCCGTGCCTGTAGGGTAACGAATCGAGCAGCCGACCGTCCTTGACTGCTCGAACGATCGAGTGGGCCACTAGACAGGGTTCCTCTGGAAGTATGTCCTGCAGTGCCAGGGTGCTTCCGTAGCAAAGCACCTCGTTAAACAGGCCGAGGAGGTGTCGCCAGATGACTCCGGGTACGTTTGCGTTAAGTAACGAGACCAGGTTATCCAGCTGCGAGTAGAACAGCTTGGTGTCGATCACCGACAAGTTGGCCTTGACGCTGATGATAGACTCCCAAAGGTCGAGAAACGTTATTACCGCAGACTCGTGCTGCGGTGTGTACGAGCCGAGGATCGCGTCGAACTTGGATACCAACATCGTCCACTTGGACTCGAGGGCTTTCACGCACATTGCCTTTACCGACGTGCTGTCCAGACTTTCTGGATCGGAAATAGAGATGACGTTGCAGCCTGATGGCGGATGCGACGTTTCTGAGTCTTCCAGTGGATGAATGCTGCAGTCTTTGTGTTCGACTACCCTCTTCACCACATCCAACGTAAACAGCATTCGCGTTGGCGAGTGGGTATTTAGCAGCGACTGTGTCAGTCTGTCCAACCAGGTTGTTTCGACATTTTCCTTGGTGATGATGAAGAAGGAGGCGAGCGCCTTGCTCGCAGCAAATGAAATAAATTTGTTATTGGTGCACGACAGATCGATTATTTGGTCAACGATACCATGCTCGTTTCGCGCTAACGCTTTGCACACATCCGCGATACGACTGCACATCGTTCCACGAGTGTTCTGTTTTATAGCCACATCAAATAGCAGCTGTAGGGCACTTAGGAATTCCAAACACTTGTCTGGCTCCCATTCTGATAGTACTGTTGACCTGAACTCCCTGTCATTGGGAGCACCGCTGCTGATGAAAGGCTTACGTAAACTACTTTCCGATACATTGCACAAACACTGACCAAGCAGGCTATTTTGCAGCCTCTCAATCTCTGATATTTCTTCATTATCATCATCGTCGCCATTCTCAATTCGCTGCTTTTTTTTGGCAGGTTCCTCCATTTTCGAGTTAGGAGGATATCTGCTGGACGGATAAAGTACCATGAGCAGAGGGATTGTGATTTTATCTTTGTTTTGACAAAATCAGGTTATCCTTGGCACAAACATCCTTCTGTTTTGGTAATCAGTGTGAATTGATGTAAACACAATACATGTGATATTTATATCTGAAAAATATTATGCTAGTTAGAATATATCTACTATGAATCTCATTTAATGATAGTAAAGTACTATGTAACTTTTGATCCTCAAAACAATTGCATAATATGCCTACAATGCTAAATCATTGATATGAATTGTCAAAGCTTAATTGTTATTTTGACAGTTGTTGAATAGAAAAATTTGATAAAGCACTTGAATTGAAAAATGTTTAGCTAGTTTATTTCTATGGCTATTGCAAAGGCTCAAGATATAAGCTTCCAAAATACCATTGAATTCACATCTTTGCAATGAAACTGTTCATTTTATATAGAAACGAATTGAAAATTGTGAAAAAATAAAAGCAGTGCATAAAGCTAACTTCTTTATGAATCATTAGCTGAGGAATTTGACTCAAAATGGAGTTTTTTTCAGAAACTCCATGTTTTAGCTACTGTACTTACGCAGAGTATCATCTCAACAGCAAGTTATCAGCAACAATCCAGCAAACCTGGGTTGATCTCATATCACAAAGTGAAAGAGATTCTTTCCTGAAGGTGGTCCAACACTTTGGAAACAATTTGCAGCAATTATTTTGCCTGCAGGAGATAGACTCTCGTCCAGCAGAACCAGAAGCTGCTCTCACACACACGACAGCTACTGCAGCTCGCCACACACGGAAACACTTGTATCTGCGAGTTGCGTGCTGACACCAAGAACTTGTTACGCTAAGTGAATCCGTGAAAACAGAGTAGCGGCACACTTAAATCCTGGTCGCGCCGCCTGGACTCATCATTCTGGCTCGGCCCAGGAGCGCGTCTCTCACTCTCTCACTGCTTATACACACACAGAAGGCCTTCTCTTTCACGGCCGTTTACTTCGATCTCGGTCGTTCCTACGACTAGTCTTCCGGACTGATAAGTGTTCCCTTGGCAATCCAACGTATTTATCTTGGATGAGTTGCTGGTGTTGGTGGCCTTGGGGGGTCCAGAGGATGTTGCAATTGGATAGATATCCCGGGCGATCAGCACTCAGTTCTGGACTGCGGTGCACGAGAGAACGGGAAAAGCTTGGTTGCCATGTTGCCAAATCGTCTAGTCGCCACTGTGCACTCTCGTAAAAATGCCAGTCCTCGACGAAGTTCCTCCGAGAGTCGCCAGCTCCAAGTTGCCGATAATCCTCATTCAAGATAAAGCCTAGCTGGCCCAAATCAATTAGCCAAAGCACTGGTTTTTCCATGCAGTCCGGACTTTTCTTCGAGAGCATCATGCGGAGCTGCGTAACACGGTAGCTGCTCCTCGCACATTCCACGACGCACTAAAAGCCGATATTTACGCGCCGATTTTCATTTATTCGCGGTCCATCGCCAATAGTTATTAAATATTCGAAGAGGAAATTTTAACGCGTAATTTGTAATAACAGTGACTGCTTTGAAGGAGAAGCCTTGAAAATACATCAATATTAATGGCAACGTTGCAATCGACCTGCCTCCATCTTGCGCGACTGCCATCTTGCTTGACCGCCATCGTTTAAATTTCCATGAGCATCTGTTCGCGCATACAAATTTGTGTTTAAAAGTGAATAAGCGATTGTTCAATTGTCATTGATTTCACAAGAAATATTTTAAATATTAACAATAAGGTTTAGTGCCTACAAATGTATCCTATGCTTTGTTAAAATGACGTTACCACGGTTATTTAACTTGTCAAATGCCCAGGTAGTCACTTAACGTGTAGCGATGAAAAACGTATGTTTTCGTAAATAACTATTAGTACGCTCAGGCAAGGCCTGCTACTAAAAATACAGTATAATGCTTGGGGACTTTGACAGTTAATTTATTATCCATAATTCTTATTCACTCGACGCCAAGTATAACAAAGTGAATGCTGGTCTGTTTTGAAAAGCATCCAAATGGAAATGACAAGATGAATTTCGAGAATTCGGATGTATGTAGGATGCCGTGTGTCAAGTGCTTATAACTATAGAACGCTTGGGAGTGCAGCTGATCAGTTGCCTGAGGACCTCTGTCTTGCAATTTTTTACGCTTTTCCATTGAATTATACATTGATACGCTCTGCGTGCAGTGTCGAGACAACAGAGAAGCTCGTCGATGAACTATTTGTAGTAAAATAAAACCATATTTCTGAGTGAGAAAGTAAACATGTGCGAGGGGAAAAGAAACAGAAAATTATGTCGAATCTAAAATAAAGAAGTGTAGTTTATTAGTACATACACCTCGGAATAATATTTCGCGGAAGCGCTTGGCCCTCTCGGCTCGTAATATCGAGCAAAACGAAGCAAAAACAAAGGCAGACAAACAACGAGAGAGAAAGTGGTCCGAGCTGATAGATCACTACGAGAGAGCGTAAAGCCAAGCAAAGCCCAGCGCGAGCCAGTTCCTGATCCCCGAAGGAGCAATTCTATTCTATCTGTCTTCCTCTCTCTCTCTCTCTCTCTCTCTCTCCCGGCAATGGCAATATTCCCTCTGTTTTATCTGGCTGCGATCTCGTACATAGCTGACGTCAGGCTGGCTGCTCGATCGGGCGCTACACCCCCGACGGCTTTCAGCATTCGTGTATACAAGCTTAAGCTATTGTCGATCGGCTAAAAATAGCCCTCTCGCAGCGAGCCGCTGTTGGCATTCTCGAGCGCGCGTCTCTCTCTCTCACTCTCTCACTCTCTCGCTGCTGAGCGAGCTTTTTATTGGCCGATTACAAATGCAGTACCCACGCGACCCGAGCTCAGTTCGTCCAGCAACGACGCTCCAATTGTGCCCGTGCAGGCTCCGGCGCCGGCTGCCCCCCCTCTCTCTCTCTCTCGCGCGCGCGCGTGTAGATCAATGCGCGTTTTATATATCGCGCGTGCCGTTTTTTACGCGCCGCGGGCCTGTAAATTGGAAATGCAGCGCGGAACCGCCGCCTGCCTTTCTGCCATGACAAATTTTCGCGCTGCTCCGTAACGTCGCCTCGATTTCTTTTCAACCGTTTCTAGCCGAGGCCCCGATCGTGCATCCGTCTCGTCGCTCCGCGCTTCGTATTTTTTTTCACACCCGACGAGAATGCGGTCCAAGAGCAACGTTTCTACCCTACCGCGTTGGTTCGTATAACTCGGTTAGCGTGCCGCGATAGTATTTCGGACGACCGAACCGGGAAGAAACGAGAACGTGCACGCGTCACGCTCATGTGACTAATATACGAAACCTCTCCCTTACTTTTTTTCCTCCCCTCGCGCGCTGCTTACGCGACGAAGCTACTAAACTAATTGCTCCATAAAACCACCGCCGACGGACGAAGGGATTGTCGTAACGTTACCCTCAATAACACTTGAATATTGCTACTCAATTGCGAAATTTCATTTCGTTTATACGGCTGCAGCATAATCTTATTCAAAGGCTACGTGGAAGTTTCATTCCCTCACAGTAAAATTACATGTTTTGATTTCTTTAAGTGAAATTGATATTCAATTTTACTTGAACATCGACGGAAAAAAAAAACTGTTCGTTAATCAATATTGAACGTAAATTTTCGTTATTTGATATATGGTTGAACACTGAGCTTGCGAATAATCCGTTATATCCAATTTTGAGTTGCAAGGCAAAAAAAATGTATACTTCCGGTAGGTGGATTAATACTGGAATTATCTTTGAAAATACAATCGTTTCCGGAAAGTCAGTCGAGCTAGAACAATATCAAACGTTTGATTGAAGCTTCGCTTAATACAGCTGAAAAAGCAGCTGTGTATCAGATCGATAAAACACCCTAGGCCCGTTGGTTAGTGAATCATTAGCGGAGCGTGAAAAGCCATACACGTACGCACACACCAACACGGTGCCAGTGCGAGGGACAGATAGAGAGGACTGCGATAGACTTGTTGCTCAAGGGAATAGCTGCTTCCGAAACTGCCTACTTGCGCCGCCGGCAAACGGATCTTTGTTGTGCGCGGCTAATTCTTTTAGTCGTCACGTCTAGCTACAACAATTAACGTACACAGCCCTGCGATCATCGGTAAATGCATTCGATTTCTATCCGTTGGAGCTGCTCAGCGCGGAGTCAAACAAAAGCAGCTACTTGGTGAGCATCAGCCAAGCGCAGCGGTCCGCTGTCGACTCTCATCTCTCTCTCTCTCTCTCTCTCTCTCTCTCTCTCTCTCTCTCTCTCTCTCTCTCTCTCTCTCTCTCTCTCTCTCTCTCTCTCTCTCTCTCTCGTAGAACCATCGTTGATCATTGGCACCAGCGAGAGGGGGTAGGAAGGAGCAAGATATTTCGTCGCAATCTCTCGTGCGAGTACCACTCAAGCTTGTCGATCTTCGGCGAGGACACGCGGCCGAAAAACGCTTGGCTGTTTTCCTCGCAAACCCTCGACATTAAAAATTGGATTTTTCTGTTCAATCTCCGCTTTGCAAACGAGCGAGGAAATCCCGACAAGCATGTTAATTAATTGCACACACACATCACACATCACGCGCGCCTCATCCTTCGCTCTTGTTTCGCTTGAGATTTGGCAATTTAAAGATGCGCCGCGTGAAAGCACGGAAAAATAACTGTTACGCTGCTTTCTTGGACCTTCGCCATTTGACAACTTACGCTATCTCAGAAAATGTTTCCGTCGAGGGATGAATTCGAATAATAACGAGGATTTCAGGTTTGAGTAGGCTTTGTATTCGTACAGTACTCTTTTGAGTTTGGTAATTAAGCAGGTCAAATATCGAAATTAATGCGTGATAATTGTTACAAATGTCTTTTGCTTATTAGATGAAAAAATGCCTATACAAAACAACCATTACTTTTTAGAACTTGAACCATTACTTTACGCTACGTGGATTTTTTTAAAACGATTACAATAATTAGAATGACTAAAGGAAGAGGCTAAGAGGAATGAGTATGTAGTCCTTCCGAGGAAATGTATATGTCGAGCTTGTCAAGTAACAAATTAAATCCGCAGAATTAGTTAGAGATCAGATCAAGTCGACGCTGCCTCATCAAACTTTCTAAATGACCTTCGATCTCCGGCTAACTCCATCAACGGGTCATTCGACGCTTTCTCACCTTTTGGAGCGAGCTCACATTGGTTTGAAACTTGGTCAGGTATTCGTTTTTCATTTTCTCGCAAGCTACCTGTATGCGCGGACGACGGGTCGAGTGAATCGCACCAGTGTCAGCTGAAACGCGCAGCACGAAAGCCCAATCGTTAATCGCGGCTCGATCGTCGGACCGCAGGAAACAGATTTCGGCGGCGAGCGAAAGAAAGTCTCGTGATTTTCGCGGCACAGCTCGATGCCCAAGCTCGCCGAGCTCCGCGCGAATAATCGGATTGAGCTGGACCGCGCTGGCACCGGCGTTGCGGGGGAGAGACTGTAGACCGATCCGCTTGCTTAGACTGATCTGCCGCCCTTCCAACGCGATGCGCATGTAATTAATTTTGAGCCTTCGTTCGACATGACGTGATCCCTCGCGCAAGTTCAGCCGAAGCGCGATCCTGATTCCGCAGGATTTATGTGCACGGGGCGAGGGGCAGAGCGAGGAACGTCGGAAGTTGTGCGCAACTTGCCTGTAAAGCGGTAAGCTTGTAAATGATACGATTTTGTTTAGATTAATACGTACTTTTGCGGCACGTTGTCGCCTTACTTTTTATTATTTACCCTGCAGCTGGAAAAGAGGATGGGGGGGGGGGGGGCAGCTATAAATAAAGCGAGAATAAAAAGCCCTATGCCACTGGCTGCGGAGACCTCGATTTTTTCTCCTCGGGGATATTTATACGTGCGTGTTGTGCCGTCAATATCGCGCGTACACGTTTTATCGCTTGTTTCGATTATCGCGCGACTGAACTCTCTGTGGACCGTCGCCGTTGCACGGCACTTGCAGGTCACGAAAGAAAGCAACCGGGGGGATGTATCCGTCCGATGTGCATGCTCGTCGCAGAGCCTCGAGTCAATGACGCACTGGACAGCTCTATCGTATAGAGCGTAACAGCCGTGACGCCTGTCGGCTCCCCCTTTAATAATAATGCGTGGCGCTACGTGAGGAGAGGGAGAGGGAGAGAGAGAGAGCGCTGACTGTGCGTTTTTCCAAGCGACATGCTTCTCTCTCTCTCTCTCTCTCTCTCTCTTTCGCTGTCCCTTGATACTTGAAGCGTACAGTGCGTCTGCAACTCCCTGGTGGATCAGCCAACGCAAATCTTGACGAGTACCTTGTTGGTCGTTCAGCCTCGCTTCTTTTAATTGATCCTCAATGTATTTTCAGTTTTTTGAGTTAATGTGCCCTACATTTCCCGATGACCGTCGAGCATGCTTGTCTTTGCGTAGGTCTCGTGCTAACTTGTTTCAATATAATTTTCGCGAACAATTTCCCGCGCGACTTTACTTGCCACGAAACTTGATGCGCATGAAAGCACGAAGGAAACAGTAAATTCGCAGCCGAATGGTAAAGAAAGCCCGTTACTATCGTTTAGTGCTTTATTTTTCTGGGAAAATGGAATGCGACAAAAAGATGTCTTCTTCGCAAAATGGATTGCCTAACATTATTCGCAGCTTCGACAGTTTTATTACGCACACCCTTCGGATAAATACAAAAGAAAAATGGAACAGCGAGGTCCGTTGTTTGTATCGCACTACTTAATCCGATTATTTATCTGCATTGCAATATTGGTTGTGCGTGGTTCATGGGAACGTATGTTCTTCAGTGAGAGGAGCTTGAATCAATAATTGGAGCGAAGAGCGCGCACAGTTTCGTAGACTACAGAAACCGCGAGCAATTGTGTAACACGTGTTCACTCACGCTGTTTTTCAATGGATTACACAAGACCTAAATACCATGCGTGCGACGTCTAAAATTAACTCATCACCGCGCGTCACTGTCGTTGAGCTACGGACACACCCTCACTTTCAAATTAATTCCGATAAATAGTTGTTTGTTCCTTGCCCGTACAAATCCGGGTATTCCCCTCTTCGAGGACAGAGATCATTTTTCAAAGAGCTCATCCCATGTAGAAACCACCTATGCATCAGCAGCAATGCGTGGACTTGCACATATAGCTTCACTGAAACCATAAATCTCGCTTGTGATACGCCGCTTCTATCACAATATTTCAAAGCTATCTAAAAACAAAAGAGAGAGGAGAGAGAGAGAGAGAGAGAGAGAGAGAGAGAGAGAGAGAGAGGAAGGAAAAACGGTGAGCTCAGCAATGAAAGACTCTTCTTTTTCTTTATGTTTTCTTCCTGCGACGAGGCAAGGCGAAGTAAAAAAGGTGTACGTTCGGCTAATCTCACCGCCTCCCTCTGTTCGCGCACACGCGCCAGCAGCCAGAGCGTCAGTGTATGAGTGAGAGAGAGAGAGAGAGAGAGAGAGAGAGAGAAAGAGAGACAGACAGAAAGAGAGAGAGAGGGAGAAAAATAGTCGGCGTGCGCCGCCGAGCCAGAGTATTCAGTCGTGCTTCTGCTCTCGAACGAACCGCGAGCTTTTTTGGGTGTCAGTGATTTAGGCTGTGTACTGCGGCTGCTGCTACTGCGAGCTCTCACCATTGATTATTCCAGACTCCACTGCTGCTGTGGAAAGTAACAGTGTGGAGCTTTGTTTTCTATTTTTACGATTTTACGAGTTTCATGGTATTAAATCTTTCATAATGCTTTGGGTATTTATAATGAGGATTGTTTTTGGTTAATTTTTACTCGAACAGCCATTTATATAAATTGATGAACTTATTTTCTAAAGGTTAGCTACTCAATAATCAAACACACATGTGGGTGTAATGTTTGAAGAATCGAGCTTTTTATATTTGTTCTTGTTGTTACCAAGAATTCCTGTGATTAATTGTACATTAACTTTATTCAGAAATTACAACAATAATCAGTGGAAAATTCGAGCTAATACGTGCAAATAGAATTTTCTTCAGTTTGATCGCAAAATAAAAAAATTAAAAATAACTAAAATTATTTCCATGGTTTAAATATCAATGTTTATTCAGTTATTCTTTTAAGGTCTATAAATTTTGAAAGCTTTTAAGAAAATTGGTTGAAATAACAAAGTAAAATAATAAGTCGAGTATTTTCACAAAAAAGCAATACAATATAGTATCGAGTAAAGCGTTATACGCAGCTAATAAAGCATAATTAGAAGTTTTGAACTGACGTAATTGATCGATCGACAATCACAATTAAAACAATGTACAAAATAATAATGTTTGACTTCACCGTCAATCTGAAATTGATTACTTCTCCAATACATTTTTAGCGAACTTTTAATGTATGAATTTATTTGGTTATCGAATTACAACGCGATAAAAAACGTGTTCCACGCAGTGCTCTGTTTTCGTAGAAATAGTTACTGTTGGTATATAGCTCGATGCATTATACGAACCATACTTTGTAATATCAGCCAGTCTATATTCCGCTAGCGAGAGAGAACGAGAGAAAGAAAGGTGAAATTTCACCCTGACGGGCCTGTATTATATATGACTGGCAGCCCCGAATCTCTGCACTGACACGTACACTAAAAATCATTATCAGCCACTCGTAGTATCGAATTTCCATTAAACAAACAATGTTTCATTCTCGACGACTCAAGTGATTTCAGCAATCTTGCGGCTTTGAGGGAGAAACTCGCACGACAATGGCAACACGCCACGTCAAACTTTCGGGATAAGTATGTAACTTTGAAGCGCCGAAGGGCGAGAGAGGGAGAAAGAGATGGTAAGAGATGCAGGAAGAGGAGTCAGAGGAGGGTGTAGTATAGAGTTCGAAAGCACGCAAACATTTGCGCAAGGGTGTATCCACAGATACACGTACACTTCGTCGATAAAACATTCGCCGACGTCTACCGAATTTTAAGATGTTTCGCTTGTATGCTGCTGGCTCGGCCACAATCGATTCGCTGCCGAAAGAACGCTCGAACAATGCATCGGCAATATTGAACGTGAGTCTGTATCGCGCGAGCTCGCGAATTTGCGAATTTGATAATTGGTGCCAACTTTTGGGACGTTCGCTTGCTATCTCGACAATTGAGCGGGGATGCGCGGAAAGCTCGTGATTGATTTGCGTTTGATGCGCGCGAAAGAAACTTGCTCCGCGAGTCCCGGGTACGACGATGCAAATGAAAATTACGCAAACTAGTGACTGCCTGTTCAGTTGCAGGGCTCTCGTATTTTGCTCGCACATAATAGTAACCTTGCTAACAATGCCTTGCTGTTCTCGCCGCTCTTGGATGCCGTCAGAAGTTAGCCCCGGTAATAAAGCTCTCTTGCTTGGAGTTATACGTCGAGCTTATGTGCCAATGATCGTTTGCATCAGCTCTCGTTTGTTTCATAATGCAGTAACGGTTTCGCTCGAACTTGCACTCAAAATAATGCAGCGAGTATTCAAAGTGCAACTTCTTTATCGGCGTTTCTCTTTAACATTCGTGTGCGCGCTTAAAAAGAATACATTCACACACATCAGATGGCAGCAATACGTGATTGTGATCGAGTTTGCAACCGACGAGACTCCCATCGAGTCGAGGAAGTTTGTTTTCGCGGCACGGAGGATAAATGACACGAATTACGTGCGGGAGCAGCCGCGACCAGACAGAAATCGCTTGCGCCACTGTACATTTGCATACACGGGGCAATTAATGAGACGACCCGCATCATCGACGTTCGAAGGCACTAGATTCATTGCGATAAATCAAGCGATCATCAAATCGCGCTCGCGAGCGCCTTTAATTAGCTCGGCGTTGCTTGCTTGGAAAAAAATCTCTCTTGCGGCAAGAGCGCTCGGCTATTGTATTTATAACGGCCAATCGAGCGCGCCGAGAATTCGGTCGGCCTGCTGCGTATGTACTCTCTCTCTCTCTCTCTTTCTCAAGCCGTTGAAAAAGTGCTACTTGTTGCGCGCTCGCGAGCTCGTTGTCAAAGCTTCTTTTATTTTTATTTATTTTTTGCCACCCTTTTTCGTTTTGTCCTTTCTCGCCACGCCGTGCATTCACCGCGTGGTCGTTGACTCTCTCCCCTACAAATCGCTCGGTTATTTATCGCGACAGTCGAGTCACGAGAATTTATCTATCAAACGATTTAATCATTCGCTCATCCCTCCAGCTTTGATAGATCGCTTTTATCAGCGAATGTTTTACGCTTAGAAAAGAATTTCCAAAGAGCAATGAAATGTTCATAGGTGTCTGTCGATTCTTTTTTACAGTTGGTTATCGTATCCCAAAGTTTTCGACTACCGGCAAACAAAACTTGTTTGTAGCATTCACCATTTGTTCGAGGGTAGAAATAGCTAAAGTAAATAGAATACTTTTGTTGCTTGTCAGCGTTCGAAAGAAAGAAGATTTATTTGTCAGGCTTAATGGGCTCGGAAATTTAGAGTTGCTTAAAAATATCCCGTTCGGATGTCGATTTTGTTGACGTAATTAACACGCTTGTATTTCAAACACGTTAACTGTCGACGCCTTTTGTTTGGTCAGACTATGCATTTTCTTTTCTTTGCTGCTCCTCGGCAGTTTTATTTTTGACTCGGTCATATATTTTTTCGCAAAATATTTTGTTTTCATGCAATTCGATTACTTAGTCGTTGAACGGAGTTCAGCAGACCCCGCGTACAAAAGCTACTCCATTATTCCTGCTCTCGTATAATTGAAACCAAGACCAGAAAATAGTATTCCTCTCTATCACTGTTCTACGGAACATTTTTAGCATTTTTTTTCCATTTAATCATTCATGTTTCGCTTGAATTCTACTCAACCCACGACACTCGAGAAGTTTTAACGTGGGGCGAGAAAAGCAACTTCGGAAAAATTCAATTAAACAGTCATTGCGGAAGGGAATAGCCAAAGTCGCGGTACTGTTCGGAATGTAAGTTGAAGTATGAAAATGAAAAGAAAAACCAACTTGTAACGTCGGAGCAACCGCACACGCCTCGCGGTCTCCGTTCCTCGCGCCGAGTTACAAGAAGACGAGAATTCAATTACAGCGTTTTTCCGACACGATGGCACGCGAAAAACCGCTTCGCTACCTCGACAACGGGCGTGCACGTGTGCATGTATAACGTAGTTTATATTTAAAGCGACTCCGAGAGCCGCGTAAAAAAGTGATGTTGTCTCTCGGAAATTATGACATATGCAGCGTACCAAAATTAGTTTGACTCGGTGATGCACGAACGCGCAGTTCGGCGGTCGATTACACGCGATGAGCGCCGCTCGCCAGAGAACTCTTTCCTTCGTTGCTACGCGCGTGTAACGGTACAATCGGACTCGAACGAGGAGCTTGCAGAAACGAAACTTTGCTGCTGTTCGCGTTTGCGGGATTCGAAATATGGCTATATTGCCAAGCTGCTAAATGCGCAGTTGATTTTACTTGCATGTTGATTTTCCGCGAATGACGCGATTGCCGCAATTAAAAGTTAATTCATGTAATGAAATTGGGTTTACATAGAGCGTCGTTTTACTTGGAAAACAATATTTGCTTTGCACAGCGAGGTAGGTTCGCTGAAAGCTTGACGAGCTGTAATGTTTTTCATTATTTTTAATAACCGAGTTGGATTCCCAGAAAGATGAATAATGAAATAATGTACAGCGCGCATAGCAAAGAGAGATCTACTAGCACTGCGGGCTTTTCATCCGAAAAACTCTTTTCTTCCATTATTCCCAACGATACAATATCGTACTAGCTTCTGACCCGAATTAAGTCAATAGAGCTTTTATTCAGTTTTTTTTATTGCCACGTCTACGTGAATTGCGGACCTCGTTCATTTGACTCGGCCGCTCGTTCTCGCAATAAATGGCGCTGCACACATATTTCATGCTCGCGTATAATTATTAACGGCCATTTGCATGCACCGTTGCCAGGTGAATTTATTGCTTCGAACGAAAGTGGCTTTAGAGTATAAAGCATTCGTGGAATTGTTTAAATGTCGCACCAAGGAAGTGCAAAATTACAATAAAAAACGCGGGGACGAAAGAGTCCATGAGTCTCCGTGGTAGTGGTTTGCAACCCTAACAATCATCGTATTGTTATAGCTATCTCTCTCTCTCTCTCTCTATCTTTCTCGACTTTCGCTATTGCAATGCTGCTTCGAATACCAATATCGAGTGGGTATAAGATTCTCGACTTTCACACTTGAGATCAGTTTTACAATTCAAGCTCGATTTTCTAAATTGGATATCGTTGATTAAAGTGGTTGGAAATATCTGTTTTATTACTTTTTGCACCGATCTCAAAAGTAATTCGAGTATCACGATGTATTTTAGATTGAATTAGTATATTTTTAATTACAAAATCTCTATGTGGGGTTTTAGAGCGGCATGATCGTTAGATGTTCAGCGGTCCATTATTTCCGTTATTGAATTTTTTACGTAACGTTTGCAAATTTTTCAAACAATCTTCGTTTCATTAAGTTTCTCGCGACATTTATCAATTATTAATGTTCAAATGCCTCCTGCTACTCAAACGGTTCCACTGCTTAGTATATCAAATTCACTTAACGCCTTTTCAAAACTGAGATCAAAGGTGAATACTTTTTATTTATCGTAAAATGGATTTCAACTAAGTATGAAGAAAGAGAGCTAACAATTTTGGAGGAGCTATTGTCGTACCTGTGATAGTTGATGATTTATGCTCGCACTGGATGCAGAGTGACTTATAACAGTTGAAGCATCAGCGTCGAGCGTGAAGCTTTCAGAGCATTTTCTTCCGCTGCTATGCGAGTATCGCCATAAAATGAGAGCGGAGAGTATACAAGAAGAAAAGTCTGGAGCTCGTAAAGATAATCAAGAATGGCATTTTCAGGGAGAAGTCGCGCAAGGCTATTCTTTATCGTGATGCTGTTGAGATAGTTGGTTATGCAGGGTAACAAGGAAAGTTTCGCAACATGTTTGCATAGCCGGCACAATAATACCGCTTGATTTATAAATCAACACCCAAAGACGTTGCTCATGCCCCCGGAATTCATCTACGTATGTAATGCTTGCCGTCGAAACCTATACATTACCCATATGACTGTGTGACGCGTAGATATGCGATTCTGAACCAAACATAACCGCCAGCTTTGATCTTCGATATTGAAAATTATATTGGCTTTAGATTCCTGGTATTTCTAAACGAGCAACAGTATAATTTAGCATACACGTTTCAGACAAATTACATCAGTTCAAAATTTCAATCTTTGAACGGGTGAAACAAGAATAAAAAAATCACCAATGTAGCTAGATACTTGATTTAAACGCGAACAACGCAATATATTGCTTCTGTGAATTGCTGTCAGAGTTCTCTGAAAATTCTTTTCATTGAGCGTGGCATTGAGAAGTTTCGAATAATGAAGAATGTATTTTCCAAGCGCTTTTTATTCAAATCCATTTACGTCACTCAAAAGCTTTGCAACTAACTTTCGAAATCTATATTTTAGAGCTTAAAAAATATATCAGTCGAGTATGACAGTTATGCTCGACGAGCGAATATACTTTCAAATGATCACTACTTATTTTCAACCTTTTCAAGGCGACCATGATGTTCTCTTTCTTAAACATTAATACCATTTACTTTTTTAAAATATTATATAAAAAACGCGGAAATAACAAGTGTTTCATTTTCCGACGAGTAAATGAAGACTTTGACGATAAAAAGGGTTTGCCAAGCACGAAAAATATTCGTCCAAATACCTGAGAGAATGTCTGATTATCCAGAATGAGCGACAGTATTACGACACTGGCGCTTATGATAACCATCCTGCGGACCGCAATAATTCGCCTCTCTCCCCCGGAGTCATATTATTCGTGTATTTGGTGGTCAGGCATTTTCGTAGATACGTTTCGTTTATCACTGGCTGCGGCCTCTCCATATCGACAATGAAATTTCACACCCTAGCGGAGATGCTAATATCTAGCCATTGTCTGCGCTATAAAAATTCAAATTTGACTTTTTCATTAAGTCCTCCGTTGCTGGCTTCGTCTCTGTTTAGCGTGCTGGCGTCTTTTGTGCCGCGCACGGCTATGAGTTTCATTAGTGAGCGCCACCACTTGGTTTTTGACGCACTCGTCTTTACGACGGATGCAGCTCCGCCTAATGTTAATTAACTTTACTCCACTCAAGGGGCCTTTCCAGTACAACTTAGTTTATTTATTTTTTTTGTTCTTTTATTTATTTTTGACGAACACACGCGCGCACGAACCCAAACATGGCTGCGGCTGTATTACTGAAACCGATACGAGGGATGCGAACATTACGTTTGGTTGTGTCAATAATGCCACGGGGTCATAATTTGGAATATTATACGTTCGGGCAACACACGATCGTTATATCGTATATCATGGCGAAATAACGACGAGAGCAGCAAATATTTTTGCGAAAAGCGGAATGGGCTTGTGCTGGTACACGAGACATAAATTAATATTGTTACTGCGCGCAACTGCGACGTGAAAGTAACGATCTCGAAAATTCGTCCGGAATCTGAGAGATGGCCAGTTTATCGAGGTTTGTTCGAGAGGCGTAAAATTTAGCCGATGATTGTCGATCGTTAAAATTTTCATCCTCTTCCGGCAGCGACAAATCGTTTCCACCGCTATCAATTATTTGAATGTTACTCGGGACGAGGCATTAACATTGTGTGGATCTTCAGCTCCGCATGGTAATTGCTTGTCTAGACTGGTTCTTGATTATGCATAAGCCGCAACCCTGCTCAGAGCTTCGGAGCTTCTCGCAGGTCTATATTTCTCGACATTGACAATTTGACAATATTCGGTGGAAGATTTACCGCGTAAGTCACGCTAATAGGCGGAGAAATTGTTTTTAAAATCGCTCGAGAAAAACACACTTACTCGCGCTGGGTCGACAACGTTAGCATTGTATTTCCTCTTGAAAGGGAAAGTACACAGCTCTCGCGGCAAGTGAGCACAATTGCTACATCGTCGCAAAACAAACATCCCGGAAGTATCCTTCAGGCGACCCTCGGCATTGTTGATAGCTACGATTTTCGCGCGTGAACACACAAGTGTGCATGCGCTCTCAGCACTGCGACTGAAAATACTCAAGAATGTTGCTTCGCGCGCTAACAGACGAATATATTTTCAGAAGGCTCACGACAAAGCCTTTGCCAATCCCTCTTCGTGCTCGACGTCTGTCAGAAAGCGAAAAACGTATGCCAACCGCAAATCGGCAATGTCGATGGCCAAGCTCGATATAGCCCGAGCACTGCCAAACTCTCGATAACAATTCGAATTTCAAATATTTTCCCGGCATGCGAAAGACATAGGAAAAGAAGCGTCGTTGAAAAGAGCTTTCCACCGAGGCGAAACTTTCATTATTCTATTTTTCGATACCGACTCATTATTCGGTTCTATTTTCGCCCTGCGTTATGTTTGCACGTAACCCTGATATTCGAAATTGAAATTGAAATATGACATCGAGCTTTTTTACTCGTTGAATCATCGGCAGACGAATCGATATTTATAAAAAAGAAAAAAAAGAGAAAAGAAAAGAAAACAAGAGCGCTGCGTAACGTAATTTAGAGCTATATCAGACGCCACTTGTCAAACCGCACGTAACGCCATTTGTTATTTTTAGTCAAACGGAGGAAAAGCGCGCGCGAGAGCAGAGATCAAGAGAGAGGGCCCGTAACCGCATGGCTTTCGTTTTCTGTCTATTTACACAACGTTTTTTTGCCTCTCGTTGTAAACGGATAAGCCGATCTGATATTTCCGACGACAAACTGGCCCTTGCCGTATCACGCCTGACGTGGTGCGATGTCAATTATCCCGGTCGAGAAAACGTTCGAAAACGCCGTGCTCAAAATTGGAAGCTGACCACTTGGAGATTTGTAATGCGAGACGAAAGAAATAACAAAGACAATTGATAGTCGCTCACGATAGGTATTACGATTGGACATTTTACGCAAAACTCATTATACGTGACCGTGTGCACCACCTATATTTTGCGTATTACGGAACGTTAATACATTATTATCGGCGCATAATTACGCCGAGAATTCATTTACGCAACGTCGATTCGTAATATATAGCTATATGGTAGCCGATAATGCATCGAAGTCAGCGCAAAATTAATCAAAGCCAGGAGTCCATACATTTCTCTGCGTGCTTAATCCTTCTATTCAATTCGCCAGTCGGCGGAAATCCGCACTGCGAATCCAAGAGGATCGCGGTGATGAGAAGCTCAGACAACCGACACCTCGCATTGGAAAAGCTACTAGCCACACTCACAAATGGGACTAGGATTGGCGGGTGGAAGAGAGGGCTTGCGCAGTGCTAGGCTTCGTTAACCAGTCGCGTTGGCCGAGGAACGCAATCGCCGCAACTGCTATGCCGAATCACATGAAAGCTCTCTACGATCAGGTAGCGTATGTCCGCATCACACTTATTCTTGTTTCTTGTTTTTTTTTCTTTTTATTACTTTGCCTCACTGCTCACGCGTGATCGATGCTCGCCGGCAGTCAGACAAAAACAATGATGGATGCTCTCGACTGAATTGAGTTTTCATCGCTTCACATGGTGCTTTTGCTACACTGGCGATAAATTCATCTTTTTTTTCTTTCTTTCGAGAAACTGTTTCCGCATTCTTTATCGACGCTTCAGGGGCTCTCCCCCACTTCGACGCTTCTTTTTTGCTGCGTAATATTGATGATCTTTCGTCGTCCAAGCAAGAAACGATTGCTCACTAAGCCAAAAGTGTTTTTTTTATTATTGAAGATCAATACATTGTTTCGTGGTCATAAAGTCGGCTCGTAAAGTCCAATGAGCGAGCACATTGACAACAATTGGAGGCAGTCTCTAATGGACTGATGATCATACCTTTTTGATTAAATTGCCGCAGGTGGTGTTCGAGCGCCGTATTTTGCTCGGCTGCACGGTTCTGCTTGGGTTGTCGGTGTGCGTATGGGCAGTGTCGATCGGTACTGACCACTGGCTGACGGCTTTGCCACCAGTCGACCAAGATATCATTGTCAGCCAGTCGACGCGCAACGGCACCAAGCACTTCGAAGGCGGGCACTCCGGATTATTCAAAGCTTGCACTTACGGATACATCGATCATCGAAATGGAAGCGAGAAGACTCCTTATCGTAAGTTACGCAACTTGACTGGACACTCGGCTTGATTGCAATTCTCTTTCTTGCGACTTATCGGACGCAAACCTGTCTCTGAGCGAGCTTTATCGGCGCGCCTCGACAGCGACTTCGAGCTTTCGTAATGTAATGGATTGCGTCAACGAAGAGCTGATGCAGTTTCCGTTTTACAAGCTTTACGCGTCACTCGGTTTTTGTCGCATTCTCTGACCATGCTCTTTGTTGTATTTGACGCACGAAGCTACCTGACCGTTTCTATATACAGGGTTAATTCCGTTCGTCGCTTTTTTTATATACTACAGAGTGTAATTTATTATGGACACGGTAACTACATATTCTATCGTGCATTGTACGGCGTAGTATTTTAACTTACTGCAGTAACTTCACAAAGTCGTGCAATAAATTAGTTTTGGCCAAAGCTTTCGGGAATCACTTCAACGTATTGGCAGTTGATCGACTTTGTGTTATAAAATTGAATGCAAAGTGAATTTTCAATTCTAGTACAAAATCCTAGAAAGATTAACCGAATTTTCGAAACCTGACTTGCTAAAACCGAACAGAGCTTTTCAAATACTAACGTAGAATCCTCGAAGGTATAATCTCTTTCACTAAAAAAATACGAGCCCAGTCCAATCACCTCGACTCGTACGAATTCAGACAATATAGCGGTACACAATTTTCTTGGCTAGACCCTCTCACGACAGCTTCGTATAGACAATATATATTCCTTGGCGCCGTTTGTTCAAGCAGAGCACGCATTCACAAGATCGAAAATGACTGCTATCTTCACGCGAGAGAGATCCGATTTTCACGCGCGCCTTCACGTTTCATGCTAATGACGCGCCGATGAGAAGTTACGCGAACGCGCGCGCTCGGCAGCAGTGCCGCTGCTGACAGCTGGAATTTATTTTATCGGCTCGAAACAATCGTTTGGCCGCCGTAATACGCCCCGGCGAATTGTTTTCCTAAGTCACGTGGTAAAAAAGTGCAAAATGTTTGGCTGATGAGAATGTGGCGGAAGGATTAACAGAAATTAATCATTTTTGAAAAAGGATAAAAGAAACGTCACTGTCATTTATTATCGCGCGAAGAAAATGTCAATGCGAAACGATGACATCGGGTACTTTGAATGAGAAATTGAACAAAAGCCGATATGCTGGATTGCGGATAAACTCGAAAAAGCCGATAACCAGTGTTTATTTTCATTAAGCAAGCTACAGCAAAATTCCAATCAGTAGTAATCGCTTTAGAAGAGCCGCGCGCTTGTTTGAAGGATGAAATCGAATTAATTTTGACATGACTTTGCAGGAGAATGCAGCCAGAACGACATGTTGCCCGAGGAGATGAAGCTTAAACAAAAACGACGACAGGATTCTGACAAGACACTCGATAGTAAGGATCGCATTTGACGTACTATACAAACTTTTTTCATTGCTCTTTCTCTGTTTTTTTTCCGCGGCTGATTGAATATACGTAGACACCTTTGTTTCATCTTACCTGTCATCAACAATCACTTTAATTTCAAAATGATGCTTCTAGTTTATATTTTCATTTGGTCGCGTTTTGAAGTCGATAGGAGCCTTTATTAATGCAACGTTTGCTCATTACACAAATATATTCATGAAAAAAAAGAAATAGCATAATTACAGTCGTTAGTACTTTCTTCCCAAATAAGCAAGAAGTGTATGTTTGTTAGCGCGTAGACCATGAGTACGCAGTTTTTTTCTTCTACCTCGGTCTTTTTTCCTTATTAGCAAGTTGTAGCAGCGTGGAGTTAGCGAAGGCAGCTATGAAACGGAAGAAGCAAAGTAAACCCTTAAAGAAAAAAGAAAAAAAGAAAAGATCGTCGAAAATTCGTATTTACGATCTACTGCTACGCCAGTCTTTCGTACTTCCGAATACAAAGCACTGTATTACGTTGCGCACGTTTCCGTACTCTTTTCTTGATAAGACAAATTGAAAGAAACTTCCTTTTTTTCCCGCCGCCGCTTTCAGAAGTTATGAAAGCTGTACTTTTATTCAAATGTCTTTCCGATGTTGAGCGCCAGCTGGAAACTCAAATATTCCGTTGACTAGTCGCTCATAAAAAAGCAAGTCGACAGTCGGAGCGAGGCGATAAACATAAAAACGCTATACAAACTCACTCACACACGTGAAGATTTTACTATCAAAGTTTTGCTTGCGCGCGCGCTCGTCCAACTCGTTAGCGATAAGCGCTCGACGACGACCGCGGCTGCCTTTTTAATTCGCTCGAGGGGCTGCGCGGTTTGCCGGGCTACTGGATACTCTTCGCTTGAGTTGCCACTTCTTTGCACTTTCTCTCGTAAAGTTTCGATCATCGGGAAATGACGCCCGAGGGGCGCTGCTCGAAGTAATCTCTTCAATCGACGCGATACGAGGACAAATATAATCCCGTTCTTAATTATGAGAAGCTTTTAACGATTCGCGCATGAAAATTTTATTTTTTTCTTCTTTTTGTAGCATAAGTTTTTGAAATATGAACGATGTAGCTTATGTCCATTCAATACAACCCCGATTATTCGATTGCAGGTTATGCCAGAACAGATGTTTCATTCGCTATCATTAGCATGTTCGTTATGGTCATGGGCTTTGGATTTTCAATTTATACGTTCCGCAACCCACGCTATATGTTCAAGCGATTGGCCGGAGGTATTGATTTTATAACGTGTAAGTGATTTAATTTTCGAGTTTATAATTGCGATCTTGATTGGACAACAATTTTATATATAATTCAATTAATACTTGGATAATACAAGAATTTATAATGATGGCAATTTCCGATAATCATAGAACTGTTACTTCCGCGTGAAGTTTTTTTTGTATGTACGGAAATATAAAAACGACGTTTTGGTGGAAGTAGTAAAGACCTCGATTTGGTCAGGCGGTCCGTTCAAACGCGTTATCCGTGGTCTGTTGATCAAACAATTTACCAACTTTATCAAAGTCACTCATTAATAATACATAAATGTTGCAGGTGCATGTACAATGGTAGTAATCCAAGTGTTGATAGGTTCCAAAGATTACGGCAGCAAGCGCGACAACTGGATCTTCCCGAAAGAGGCAGAGCTGTCATTCGGCTACTCTCTGATTCTCGCGTGCTTCGTCTTCTTGGCTAATCTCGTGGCCGGCTGTGCGTTTATGATATTTTCGAGGAAGCGTAAGCGCGACAGAGCGCCCAATGACGAGCTTGCAATGGCGGACGAGCCGACGATAATCGGACGTTGAAGTGCTGGTCCTTTGCCAATCAAATTGGAATGTTATCGTCGTTTGGCGCTCGATTCGATGGTTATGACCGCTGCCGGGACTCTTTTCAAAAGCTTTTATCGCGTAGAATGTCTCTTTAGATGAAAAACTCGTGCCAGAGAACTCGTTGTTGAACAATAATGCCACGAAGTTTAACCAAAGATAACGTATGACTTTGCGATTCGTAAGTCGCAAAAAAGATGAATATATATATAGTGATAAGCTTAATAATATTTTCCGCACCATTTGATGAAACAAAAGCACCTTCGCCCAACCAAAGCCACAGTTGATTCTCTGCCTCGAGCGGCAAGTGCAACGCAATCGTGTAAATGTAAATGAAAGCGCGCGTAGTCAAGTGAGTGAGAGAGTGTCAAATTACTACGACGGCGCATCGGGTAATGGTACGAACGAGCTTAGAAAGAAGTATCAATAAGCAACGTCGCTTGTGAAAGGCGAGATGGTGCTCTTAAGATGGTGGCTTTACAAGAATAAGCTTTTTGTGCTTGATGGCTCTCTATGACTGCGAAAAATATTCAACGCTCACACTTTCTACCGGAAAAATAATTAAACTTTGCAATACTGAAATAATCCATCCCCGACATTGTTAACTTCCCTCGCTACGTAGAAATATGAAAATCTCCGACGTTTTTTTTCTTTCCAAATGTGTGACAACAAATGTAAAAGGTTGATTTACCAATTCTCAATCACATACTTTCATATCACGATGATACCGTTTCTATTGTCGAAATAATAAAATTTTCAAGTTTCGAAATAAGCAAGATGACCAATTGTGGGGAGCCAATGAAATTATAGTTTGCACCTGAACCAGGTATATTTTTACAAAATACTTAACTATTATCTTCGCACGCGCGAACATTTAAGGGCCAAATGTGAATGTAAATTAAAAAGAAAGGTTCGATATTTTTGGATTGAGAATATGCGTATGTACTAGGCACTTTGTAATGTATCAAGATTACTATTATGAAGATCTACTAACAGAGCTTAGAAATCTTTCTAGTTTTAAAAATATATATAAACTAACACTACGACGCAGCGATTTTTCGTCCTTGGAACAAAGTTCCTTATTTTCTCACACTTCTAAACTTGTAAATAATAAGAGAAAAGTTGTGTATATTCTTGTGGTATTATTTATGTCATAAATAACATGCATGTATAATCTGTACGTCGTTATCAATCTTTTTTTTTCTTACAAACATTTCATTGTTATAAATAAACTATAATATAAAGTTTTATATCATACAGAAAAACCTCTTTTTTCGACGAATAAACCTTTTCGACGCTCAATACTGTAAAAATTAATTCTCGCGATAGAACTAGATTTGGAAACACATCACATCTATTTTGGCTGCGCACGCAATGTTTGGTATAAAACAAATTATTCGCAATCGCATATTTAACGAGTTTTTTCGGTACTTTCAATTTAATATCATACTATCTTTTTTAAATTCTATATTGCAATTTAATCGAGCTTTATTGACGTGTGTACCTATAGTAGTTTGATATATGAGCTTCCCTTTTAATATAATTTTTTTTGTTAAATGGTCCTTTTTTTTTAAATCTTAAACATTCTTTTTACTGTCAATCGATAAGGTGTGCATGTCAAAAGAAGCGAGTTGAAATTTCAGTACAGTACGCTTTTCTTTTGACAGTTGAAGTCTCATAGTAGAGGAGGCACAGATCAAGTTTATCGTGTCAGACACGTCTCTCTTATCTAATTGTAATATCGACTTATTTGCGGATTATAATTTTTATTGTTGCTGTTTGTATTTGATGGAACGCAATAAATTTGACGCACGCGCGTTCTTTCGGAATAAATACACCTAGACGTAACGTTACTGATTGTCCAGTAATAAACTTTTCTCACAGGATTCGACCAAGTCGCAGTTTTTCATAGCTGGACTTTCCTTGGCATTATCGACGCAGGATTGTTCTTTGGTAGTGTCGCACTCGGGTTCGGATTCAACGTCACTGGAAGGGACGATTTGAACAAGTCTGGCGTACCTGCGTGTCAATGAAATGTTGATTAGATTTTCTTGCAGCGAAGTACGCTTGACACCCTCGGATTGAATCTCATGAATGAAGTAGCAGTTTGCAAATTAGTATACCTCACGGTGTATCAAACTGGCGTAGTCTTCCTTAATGAATTGGATCTCCAGCTACTGTTCCTCACGTTTTCTGGCAGGGGCGGCAGATTTTCGCCGAGGTCAAACGCCACAAAATCTTGCTGCATCCCCACCGGGTACTCGTCTTGCAGAACGTCCGCTATTGTGCTCACCTGCCATTCAAACGTTGCATTCGTTCAAATTCGAGATACGAAGTAAAAGCCCACGGACGACAATCAGAAGTATAGATAATCTTTACCGTCTCGGTGGTGAGGTCGTGGGTCATGCCGTGATGATGATAGTGATTGCACTCGTGAGCGGGCGGCAGGCAATCGTCGTAATTGAGCTGATGATGGTGATGGTGATGATGGTGATTGTGGTGGTAGTCGATGGCTGTGGGCTCGTGCTCGTAAAAGTACCTCTTCTGATGGCGCTCGCACAGGTGGAAGCCATTGTAAAGGTGGTTTGCCGGGGTACCGTGCACCCGGTAATTCTCCACGTACGAGTCGTGCTAGAGGATGCCCAATTGTACCATTTAAAATCGCTTTTTAACCGTTGATAAGAAAAGGGTCTTCGCTTTTTTTTCGGTGGGCTCATATCATATTAAAGTTTATTTTTATCCATAATAGATCGAAACGATCTTTACAGTATCATGAAGCTACTTTAATGCTCGATTAATTTTTTTTCCGGCAAACAAACAAAGATTAATAGCAACATCACTTATTATCATATTCCGAAAAAGAAGGAGAATAAATACATTTTGTTTAATAATTCGTAGAGAGCTTAAGCTATCGTTATCGAAGTGTTCCTCGAAGTGCACTGGAAATTCCCCGTATTTTTTAATCAGCGCATCCCCATTCGTAAATCCATAGACGGAAAGGCGCGCGAAGCGTAATCCTTTAATAACGCTAAAACAACAAGCTGAAAATTATCATCGCAGTGTGGGCTGCGCTAATTAAGGCCATCGCTCGGGGCAGCCCGACGTGAAAAGCCGCACACTTGCGAGAAGCTGGTAGATAGGCCGCGCGCTACGAGAGAAAGAGAGTAATGCTCACTGCGATGCACTTGCGCTTGGATCTCTCGCGGGTGAGCTCGCGTTGCTGCCACGTGATGTGCAGGAAGACGGCCGTGGTGCCGGCGAACTCGGTGGTGATGAAGCCACTGACGTACAGCAAAAACGAGTAGCCGTAACGGTAGACGAACGGCGGACCCTGCAATTGCATACCAGTCTTGTGTTTCTTTTTATTTTCCTCTCCTCCCCGCTGCTCATCCTCTTGCGCATCCCTTGCAATCTCTAGTCGAGTTATTGCCTTTTGTTGGCTATTCGATCTTTCTATTTCTCTTGTTTTTGCGCTTTCTGACTATGAGAAGCTTATTGAAAAGAACAACTCTTGTGCTTCAAAGCTCCAATTTGTTATTGAATAAGATTCATTGACAATGCACGCGAACCGTTCGCCAGCACTTTCAGAAGCGGAACGAAAATCAAATTAAATTTGCTCTGGTAAAGTCCACGAGGTTTTTAAGTTCTACGGATCTCATAAATATGCAATAATACCTTTATCGTCGCCATAAAACTTTAAGGCCGCGCTAGCTGGAAACCTTTATGAGAGAAAAAATCCGTACGTCATCGTTAGGGTATCTATTATCGTCAAGGCATGATTAGACTTGCAAGGCCGATTATAAAAGAAAGTCACGATCGATAACATCACTTATTATTATATCGTGGTCTTTGTGCACTTAGAAATGATTACACGCAGGAAACTATGCCGGTGTGAAAGTGAAGCGCAGTAATAAACAGCTTTAATCGAAATCTCCGCGCTTGTAGCTAAATATAATTTTTAGTATTGTTTACTTGTGATAAATCTATGTGAACGCCAAAAGCGTATATTAGTCTTGGGCAGCTATCGTTTATCATAAAACTTGGCTGCTCCGATAGCAGCAGGAAGTGAAGCGATAAAGCACAGCCGCGCGCGAGAATCGGGCGAATTCCAGGGATGACGATAAATGCTTATATTTATCCCGGCACTGTATATAGACGAGTCGTTTACGAGTCGCCATACGCGCGCGCATTTTAATGATTGACGAGGAGACATGTTCTAGCGCTCGCATCTTGCCCGTTATACCCAGGGTGCCAACTAATTATACCGCGAGCCGGCGATTCGATTAATATTCTTCTCGTTCCGCTGATTCTGTTCTGCCGCACTCACCTGAAAGGACGATCGTGGCCGCAATTTACTGCCCACCTCGGCTTTGAACACGGAAATGTACATGACCATGCCGACCAGCATCAGGAGACCTGCACATCAGAGAATATATGAGACTTGTTTTTCATTGGACGCGCTCGCTCGCTCGGATTTCATTCCTCGTATACCCCTTTTATCTCAAGCAACGCTATTGGAAAAGTTCATTTTACTTTAAAGCTCAATAATAGCTTATCTACTAGCACTTTTCATTGAACAATAAAAAATGTAGCTTTGTCACGCTTCGATATTTGTTCTGTGACATTCAAATCAACTTATTGCATTCGATCTATTTGAAATAAATCTAGCAAGCTCGGTCGCGAGTGCAACGATCCGACGTTTCGGCTGATCAATGATAGTCTTTACTACTGAAACGGCACGATCGACCGTATCTTGGCGCATTAAGACAAGCCCGTTAAAAATACTTACCCGAGACGATAAGAATGATACCAGCGGCGAAGACGCACAAACTCGGCCTGGGCCTGATGAGTAATCCCGCGAAATACGAGACCTCAGCGGCGACCAGTAGCGCAGTGGCGCTGATAAAGAAGACGGCCGACTTTGTGACTGCATCTGCAGAACAAAAGAATTTGCATGTAAAACGCGCGAGAAAGCATAAAGGCAGACAAGCTACGCAGTGAAAAAAAAAGAAAAGAGTGCGTTCTTTGTGCCCTGGCAATATAAACGAGGCATAAAGCTTGATTTTTCAATGGTACAATGCAGTCGTCTCTTTGAAAAATATTGCGATCGCGTATGTAGGGAGGAGGGAGCATCGCTCGACGGCAACGATATTGCTTCAGTCAAAGGTTCACGAACTTACTCCTAAATCTTGACGACGTTCCTTTAACTCGTATTCACTACCGAGTATGGTAGGATGAATGGAAATCAAATCAAGATCTTCGTATTGACGCGACATATTTAAATAAAACTCAGTCGTACGCACGATATCGGGACGCAATCTACTTTAAAAAGTCCGCGCATAATAATCTACAGATCTAAAGTTAAAATGCACTTACAGGGCATAGCCATGGTCGAATCACTGGGGTCCGGGCTGTACTCTTCTTTGGGGAAGTAATCGATAGTTGAGCACTCGTATTCCGCACTCGAGCCTGCAACTCACACACGAGTACACGTACACATATAGACAAGCAGGTGATTCTCCCTCTGTGAACTTTTGCCAACTCGCTTCGGTGTATCTATCTCGCGTACGCTCTTGGTTTGCGAGCGGCTACCGTACAAGACAAGAATGCAATTCCGCGTTGGTAACTGTTTTCGTTTTAGTTAGTTTCTCGTCGCGCCTAGACGTACATATTTCTCCGATGCTCTTTCGCCGCTTTCGACAACCCTCGGCGCTCACATTAATTCACTCTTTAACTGTCGCCGAGTTTATGTAGAAACGAGGTCACAAGATCATTGCTTTGAGAAACAGAAATATATATGTAGAGAGATTTTTACTTTGTTAATGCCGGCGTAGTTCATTTTGCAACTCAAAATATTTGCCATTACTGTTCAAATAAATCCCGAACATCATGATAAATATTATACTACACTCAGGATTTTCTCTCAATTGGAAGCGTCCAGTGAAACTTGTTGCTGTATAGCCTTCTACTACATTTGTCGATGCTTTAATTAGTAGTGCATTATTCATCATAACGGGAATGATGTATATACCAAATATGCATCCAACCAGCCGTTTCCATTAATTATCTGTATCATTGAATTCGCTTCAATAGATCACTAGTTCAATATTGGTATTCTATCGATAGTCAATTTGCACTCTGGGAATGCATTATTATTTATCGCTATTTATTATATTAAATTTCCCGTGTAAGAATTGGCATGACTGCAAAAACGGCCCAATACTGTTGGAGCACTGGCAACCGAACCTAGTTTTGTCAAGCACTGGACCGGCTTTGAGCCAACATTGAATTGATAAGAATGGTCCGAGCACCGGCAGCCAATACTGTACCAATAATCTATTTTTGAACGATTTTAATATTTTTTGTTTTCCGGCGCTGGCCCAATACTAATCGTTAATCATGATGCGTATGTTTATAAAGAATATTAATAATAACATTTTAACCTAAAATATATAATAAGTATCGTGTTTTCCGAGTAGCTTTCATTATACCACGCAATGCTGAACAGTTATTCGTATCTCAAAAAATCAAAATCCTTGAAAAGGAAAATTCTCTGTTAATCGTCGAGCAGCAGCTGTAGCGACAATGGCAATATTTTTATAAAAAAACTTGATGCGCTTGACTTATCCTAAAAACGTAATGATCGATGCTCGAGGTAAATTTTATAAGATAATTGACATTTTTTATCTATGTGTTTACTTTAATTAGGTTGAGTGCACATACTATTGTTCGTTAAGTTTGACCTCTTAGTATTAACATAAATGTTGTATAAATATTGTTGTTACCTAATTTGTTACTCGTCATACTTATCTTGAAAATGTTAGCAATTAAATTTTAAATAAATAGTTACATGAGTATGTAGTATGTAAAATAATTCAATAATAAATAAAGAAAACGTTGACGCTAAAAAATGCGTTCATATTTATTAGCTTGATAGTGTGCTTGTCCGACAATGACAACAAATATTGCGTTACCAGTACCGAGCCATGGTCAATGCGTCGGCAATGGCTCACTACTGAAAATATAACCTTGGCCCATTCTTATCATTTCGTTACCCGGATGACGTTGGACCAGCACTGGCGGCCTGTACCGGCAGTCTTGGTTAACGTTGCTGTGCCAATGTTGGGCCGTTTTGACTTTCTTACACGGGAATTAATGTACTGAAATTTCGCGCCGGCTACAAGGCTTAATTTATCGTAGTACTTAACACAAGCAAAACCAATTCGTTATATAGAAGAATTTTGAGCATTGCATAGCACGACAAAGTAAATTCGTGGACATGTAACGCATCTCAATTGTCTATAGGTTCAAAGGCCAACAGCCGAAAGCTTTTATCAAAAAGAATATCGAAACAATATCGCGACGCGCTGGAAAAAAAAGAGAGGGAATGAATGTTTTGAACGATTTATGGCCAGTCGAAGCGTACAATTAAACGTGTAACATAGCGTTGCAACAGCTTGTGTAACAATCGAGTTGTCAAGTTTTCTCGTGACGAGAATAGTTGCGCGAGAGGATCCGGGCGAAAGACAAGCTTTTTCGCAAAAAGCAGCACCGGCGGTAGTGACGGGAAAGATGCAGCAAACTCCCTTAACGGCCGTAAGGCCAATAAAACTCTTGCCAGGCCTTGCTTGCTCGCGCTCTTCCTGCGTTCGGGTGGCGTAAACTTTTGAGGTCGGCACACTTGGAAGCTCTCCCACGCGCGCAAAGTCTGTAGCTTTCGTTGCTGGCCGCTGGCTCTGCTAGCTCGCAAGAAATTGAGGACGAGCAATTCTAGGATCGGGAATTAGTTGAACGTCCGCTCAAAGGGCTTTCGCTCAACCCTCCCCCCTCCCACACACACATATACACTCCCACTACGCCCCAAATGTTTTACTTTGACTTGAATGCTCATTATATTATATCAGTAGCGCGAGTTTGGAGCGTGTGTGCACGTATATAGTTAAGGGGTCGTTGATCGAGGGCTGAATTTATAGCAACGGTTAATTATAATTTGCCCACGCTTTTCACGTATCCCACACGTGTCTTACAACTTATCAATAGATGTTAGGCTGCTTATTTTATAATCGATCAAAGTAATATAAAGTAATATAAATTACAATGCAAAAGTTGCTTTCTCAATTTCGTTTTGGCGAAGAAATGCCACTCGTTGAGCATTTGTATTCCGAGTGATGGCAAAGAAGTTTTATAATAGGATTGTAGCCTCATTCAGGACGAATGTTTGCTTTTCAAAACATTATTACGTCGAGAGAGAGAGAGAGAGAGAGAGAGAATCAGACAGGTAGAAAGCTTGAAGACTCAGCCAGAGGATTTCACGATTTAAAGAAAACTTTCGTTTCTTCGGCTTATTCTTCATACATCTTTTGAATAAAAATCCAGATATTTGGCTTTTTAATAATAAAAAAAGCGTTTCGCAATCATTTTCGCGCGACGAGCGGGTGCATTGAAAATTTGAATAATCAAAAGCCGATTTCCGAAACGTCAAAGTGCCCAGCATTAAGCTGAAAAAAAGGGAAAGTGGAAGAAGGCCCTCGAGAAAAAAGAAGAAAGAAAATGATAGGTCGAAGGAATATCGAGGAAAGGAGGAGGGGAAGAGGGAGACCGTAGTAAAAGAAACGAGGAGTCGAAGATTGGCGAGCGTGGAATAGTCATATCCGGGCGGAAGCAGTGGAGCGCGCTCGCGACGGAAGCTCCTCCGACCCTTCGAGCACTGCGCGCCGCCCCGTCGATTTTCCCCGTTGAAAGTCGCTGCGCGCTGCTACTGATTGCGATTCCGAAGCGCAAGAGCGAATTTATGCTTTTTTCCCTCTTCGTCGACTCCTTTGCCCTCTCTACCTTTCGCATAATTCCATTTACGATTAATCGGCGCGACGACGCTTTTTTCATGTAATTTTTCGAAAACCCGGGATGGCTATACGCAGACGTATCCTTTTTTTAATGCTTTCCTGCTGCTTGCTGAGTTGTAAAATATTCAATACACCTATTTTCCACTCGAGAGAGCAAAATCTTGAACGCAATATTTATCCAGATGGGTTCATCCGGCTTTTAGTACGTCGCGAGTCCGCGAAAAAGCACAGCTAAACCGTAGTCATTTTCTCATGCGTGTAGATTTTGGTTTCGATTTATTTTTGAAATTGTGGGTTACATATCGTTGGCTGTGACAAGCGTCTGATGTGAATTCCATCAAAGCCTTTCGGATGGCGTAAAGAGCTGTGTTCGAAATTAATAATTGAGTTATGAGTTATGAAATATAATCGTTGCACGTTTCAGCCACGCGTTTACATAACGCGTCGAATCCGCTTGCAGCTCGTATCGCCAGTTGCAGAGCGTTACCGAATTTTCGAGCTTTATTATGGTTTAGAATTTCTCGCGGTCAAAATAGTTCTGACGCATTAACAATTACGTTTCGAACTTTGCAGTAATTTGCAGCGTGTGTTGCGCATCACTGTTTCCCAAGTTGTCGATTTTAATTCAATTACGTTAGCTTTCGAGATTTCATAATAATTAATAACATTTAATTTTATAATTATTTGAAACTTCAAGCAATAATGAATCTATTATTCAATTAACACTATATGGAGGTGGAGTTGTTTATAGTTATTCCCGGAGTGATTTACGGCAGCGAAATATATTATCGTATTTCAGCATGGATTCAACATTGTTAAATTTTTTCGTAATTTGTGAATCTAGTCCCTCCATAAATCATTCGCAATCGCAAAATATCCAAGCAAGTACATTGACAGAAACTTAAACAAAAAAGAAAGAAACACCGTCGTTAATCACTTGTAGTTTCGGAAAACTCACCAGTAGCCATACAAACTCGCCAAAGTCCACTGTAAGTGAATTTGACGTTGGTAGCATTGTCATGCTGTTGTTGCTGTTGTTGTTGTCGAGTGGTGAGTCTTTCCTCGGTTAGCAGCCATTGGTTGGTGGACACGGCCACTGCGACGATGGCAAGAGAAACGAGACCCGATAGCGTGGCAGCAGTCCCGATGCAACTTACGCTTGAACCTTCCCCACCGTTACCGTTGCCGCTCGACTCACTGGCTGAGCTATCTTCGCTGCGACCGCTCTCCGAATAACAGCATAACCAGTAGCAGCATAGTCGAGACATCCTAACGGATAGTTGCCCACAGGATGGTAATTAGTCGAAGAGTTTCGGCTGTGACAGATGAAAAAACATTGATGAAATTTTCCGCTTGCAAAATAACAAAAATGATCATATTTCGTGAAAAGTAAATTGAATTGAAACGAAAAAAATGGCTTCAAACGTTGACGAGAGGAGCTTTTCATCTTTTCTGAAAATGAATTGAATGAGAGATTCGATGTAATATCATTTAATCTTCGCTATCTCAAAGACCTGGACTCTGTGCCAGGCGAGGATTGAAAACATAAATATAAGTATATCCCATGTACTAAGAAAAATGGATAAGAGCCACGTTAACATTATAGTAGCATAAAAATATTCATGATTTCCATATATAACATGTGCGAGGCTTTCACATATAACATGTTTTTTTAAAGTAAAAGTCCCATCGACATCGTGTTCGGTATAATTATTTAGATTAAAAATTCCCTACTTTTCGTTTTACCTGCTCTAAATAATTATACTAATATAATTGCCAAAAGTTAGTATTTCTGTCGAGTCTGTTACCGTCAAATATAAGCGGTTTAAGAGATCTAAATATTTCTTAGTCACCGAATCTTTCCACGTTCTTCCGAGAGAGAAAGAAAGCTCCAACACTTACTCTCCCGTTTTCCATCAAAGTCCACGCTCAAATATTCCTTCTCTTCCTCTTTTGTGAAGCTTCAATAGGATAATGAAAAAAAAAAAAAAATGAAGAAAGCTGCGCAAATCGAGACAAAAGCGAAAGTCACTTTTTTATCCTTTATAATTTTTTTCCTTCTCTTCAGTTCGATAACATAGAAATGCCGTGTTTCATCCTATTGAAGGATTGGATTTTCTCGGCGATATAATCGCACCAACGAATTGAAAAAAAAAAAAAAGTCGCCAGTATCCTTTTCCACGGCGTAACTTCTATTACCGTAATCCGCGCGCGCAATTCGGATCCAGTTTGTCCAGCCGACGACTGCCATTTTCCCACTTTCATATCTGGTCGCCTCTTGGACATCCAATTTGCTGCTGGGCAGCACTAAGAGGCTCGTAAATACGAACGAGCATTATTCAACGACGCTGTGGGGCGGAAAGTTTATCATTAACTTTTTTTCATTAAAGATTATAATATGCGCGGTTGTTAATTAAAAGAGAGCTCGACGGCGATCGAGTTTAGCCCGATGCAAAATACGATTTATCTTTTTAATTTTTCTTTCGCCGCGTTTCATTGTCAAACTTCTGATCGAGTTGATGGATAGAACGCGCTTTCAGGAAGCTTTCAACGCTTGACCAGAAGACTTGAGTACATACGTGTAGGTTGAGCAAACGTCAGTTATATAACACCACTTACAAACTATTCGCGATGTCCAACACTGCGAATGCTTTACGAAGTTTACCGTATAAGGAAGCCTTCGGACTATGCAGCTAACTGATTGCATTGACGCTCAAACTATGCCGAATAAAGTGAGATCCGTTATCCATCTTATATCACATAATCGACTTCTATTATCCGAGTCAATTTAAAGTACTCCGTGACAAGTGCACGTGTTGCGCAGATATGTCGGGAGCTTACTCAAGATATACTACAGAAAGTTGAAACGATACGTGGTCTCGAGCGATTTTAATTAGAGGCTGTGCGTGCAGTCGTAAAACCTTAGCGGCTTTGGTAAGGCAGAGCGTAGTCCCGGCAATATTACAAAGATACCTAGGATTCTGCATATTCTCCGCATGGTTCCGTTCACGACGGGTGCGTTGTAATTGATTTTCACCATTTACGCCTCCCGTTGATCTTTTTCGAATGGAGCTACGAGGATTTATCCGCACGGGGGCTGAGCCTCGCGTTGTAACGCGGCTCGCTCAGCCAACTGAATAGAGCAATTAATATGCAACAATAGATGGAAGCGGCTCGTTGAAAGTGCTACTTCAATCAGTTAGTCTCGGGCAGAGCACTTTGGGCTAACCGAGTGTCGCGGTGCTTACCTACACATGAGCGGCCGTGAATACGTACGTGCGCGCACACACGCAACCTCTCTCTCCCTCTCTCAAAACGTCGGAAATCAATGGGACAAAAGCTTCTGCCTCGGCAACCCACTGGGAGATGTAGAATAAAGGACTGAATTAAAGCACTACACTGTGCAATGTGCCTGCATCGCGAAGTCGCATCATTATACGCGTGTTTGTGTGCCCGTGAGCAAGCTGTTTGTTAGGTTTTCATTTGCACACACGAAAGAAACGAGAACTTTGGCGAGAAAGAGAGAGAGGAAAAAAGGGAAGCGAGCGCCGCTTGCGCCTATGCTGTCGGTGATAACAAAAAGGAAATCGAAATTGCACGGAGCTGGAGGTAACGCCAAGAGGTGATAGCGCGACGAGGACTTGGTATATATAAACCATATCGCGGCGGTAGTCTAATAAAAGCTTATGTCCGCTGATTACGTGCGCGCGACAAGCTGTACGTAAGTGGAAGGCGAGAGAACGCATGCTAAGTAAACGAAAGAGAGAAAAAAAGCATCGTGCCCTTGAGATATTATCGAGAGAGAGAGAGAGAGAGAGAGAGAGAGAGGGCACGCGAGAGGGGAGAAGTAGCTCATATGACACGGAAAATATTGTTTGCGAGAGATTCAGCGACCTACTTGATATGTTACAGCTCGTCGAAGGTTGCGCACTGAGCTTTTTTGTTGTATGTCGTCTTTACCCGTCTTACTCGCGCGAATGCAAGGCTGAAGCTTGTATATTTTTTTCGAACTTGCAGATTAGAAAATACAATGCTCAGTTTGTCTTACTTCTCTCTCTCTCTCTCTCTTTCTCTCTCTCCCTGTTTATTAATTTTGAAGCTAAAATCATTCTTAAGCGGATAAGATGGGACGTGCATAGAAAAATAAACTGTATAAATTTGCTTACGCATTTAAATAGCTAATTTTTAGTTTTTTGCTCTCTCTCCGTCTGTGAAATAATTTTTACATAAACGAAAATACAGAGTATGCTTCGTCGAAAACCAAGTGCATTTTTAAAACCTCTCAAGCGAATCGTTTATCCTGTAAGAGAGAGCTCAATTAAGTATTCACTGCTTAAGTTAGGGTTACAGATTGAGTTTTATTATAAAACGAGTCTTTTATTCTGGAAACCGTCGAATCGCCAAGAAATTGTCTGTTCAGTACAAATTTCTCTTGGAGTGGTTTAATTGCTTGTAAAACGTATTGCGCCATTTCTCAAGAAATTTTATTGAAGAAAAGAAAAAATATTTGACGAGCTCTTTCAATAAAGATAAAAGTGCTTTAAAGTCCTTCAATTCCCATTAATTTTCTTGAGCATTATTTTGCTACTTCTATAGAATGAAAACTCGATGCACTTGTTTTCACGAAATTAACATTTCGCATCAAAGTTTGTTAGCAGTTATAAGCAATGTAACGAAGATTCAAATTAAAGTGTGCGCCGCTCTCGCTTAGCACTGAAATAATGCTGAAGACGAATCGTTGTCTGAACTGCAAAAGATCCGCGCGACGAGGTAACAAGACAACTATATATAGAGCTCAGTGCATTCGCAGCCCCATTACTAGGCAGAGAGCGCGCAACTATAATTGCAAACGATGTCTCCGCTTTGGAAACTCTCTTCTCCATTCGCCGAGAATGTCGTTTATTTGCCAAGGCAGAGGGGCAGGGGGTAGCAAAAATTTATGTGGCCGAGCTCGGCCTAAGAGATATCTGCCGCTCGTTCGAGCCCGCGAGTGCAAACTCGCCCGCAAGAGAGAGGAGGAAAAATAATTCACGCCCGTTAAGCTCGCCTCGAGTTGGGCGTTTTGTTGTGGCTTGGGATATTCCGTGCAGGCTCTCCAACTGCTCGAGGGGGCTGCAAAGCCGAGCGTTAACGATCTATGAATCTCGCTAGCATCGCTATTTCAATTGATCGTTGTCTTCCTCGCGCCACACTTACCGGCCTAATGAATTCATTCTCGACGTATCGACTCCTCGTGAAGCTGCTTTGAAAAGCAAAGCAAACACTCGAATATCAATGACTGTGTCTTCTGTCTTCCTAAATCGTTTTACTTTCCCCGTAACGTCTTTTACGACAAGTGAATAAACTTAAATTGCAAAGATTATTTAGAGACTGGATAGGATGTTGCATCGTAAAAGTAGCTACACTCAATTTGCCGTTATAGAGCTGGAATAAATGAAGTTAAGTGAGCGCCGTCCTTTGAGCTGCATATACTGGAAGCTCTTTGTCCTATAACTTTTAATCAGGCGAGAGTACAAATTTCGCCTAACATGAAGTAGACCGTCTATTTATTCCGAGCTGATTCGTCAATTTAAAGTGCCTGCTACTGATGAAGACGTACGGTCGTTCGTTGTCACTACTACCAAAGTTATACCAACGCGCATAATGCTACAGCCAGAAAAAACTTTTAATTCGTTAGGAAACACCTATATATCACCTAGTCGAAACAGCCATAAAAACTTTCAACTTGATCGACGTAAAAAAGGAAAACTGTTAGGCGGCGAATAAAACTGTTCGTTAAAAAGAATCAATGCCATTGTTTCTTTTGCTCGTGTTTCTCGTCAACTCATGTGAATTGACGGCGAAAAGAAAATGTTCGATTTTTTTTAGTTCCGAGGTACCGTGTGATGAACTTTCGCTGTAAAACCCGATAAGTTTTTCAAACTCCTGTTAGGGGAAGGGGGTGGCTCAAGTGCACTTCTTCGTCTTGAACTTTTGAGCTGTTACTGCTTCAACTTTTGATCCGGCGATTTTTAATTGAGCTAGAAAGATGATTATCACTATAAAATACGCATTACTCGCGAGAAATATTACCCGTAATCGACCGGATTTTCATTTCCATAAAGAAGAGATGGCCTGTGAGGACGTTATCGAACCGAATGGTGTTGTTCGTTGGCGCGAACCGCTGCTCATGATTTCGCAACATTTCTCTGAAGCGAACTCAATTAGCATCCCGTCAATGTTTCACGACAACTCGCAAGCCATTGCAGGCGCAGTTACAAATAAGTAACAGGCATTTAGATAATTTTGATTCATCTAAAAAGTTTCTCTTTCGGCCGGCCTCAATGCCGAGCCAACGAGATTAAAAAGAAAAAAAAATGAAAAGAAAAAGAACAAACGCGCGAGCTCATTCAGCTCAAAGTGTTGGTGAAGCGCGAGCGTTACAGGCGAAAAAAAAGAGGCTCGCTTATATAACACGTCAACCCTTTCTATCTCGCCATAATAGCGAGCGTTTTTACGCGTTGTTTGAAGTTCTCGCACAAAAGCGCGCCGCGAACTGTCGGAGCACGCCCACTCAAATGCTACGGGAGTTGCTTATCGCAACGCACGTCAAATTTCGCTTCTTTCCGCTGCGTTAATTATCGCTGCAGCGGCTGTAATTGACAGCTACAACTACAAGGCAATTTTTGTAAGAGAGGGATCAGCCAGCTGGGCTCGCATAATTACACTTGTAATTAAAGGTCTCTCCTTGAGACGTGAATTATTACGAACCATTTTAGGGGGAAAAAAATGCATTTTCCTTGGCGTTCCCGCTAAATTCGCTTCTTGCAAGTGCACGCTGCCAGTTGACGAATTGAATTCGCGTTCGAAAATGTTCAGGAATTCATAATCATTCGAAATAATGAAACTCGTTAAAAAGAGCTTTACAGTCTGTAAATAACGAACCTGGGAAAATCGATTATTACATTGGCTATTGTTTTCTATTTGTTTCCTTTACAATTAAATATTTTATTTGAATATTGCGTTGATAAGCACGTACGTCCAATAGGTATCAATGACGATGCGAGATCACGTTTCAGATTTTAACCTCTTCCATCCCTTATTTCAAATCAACAAATTAAACAGACAGGATTCATGTATAACGCGAACTCCACCGAAGCTTTTATCTATACACCATTCCAGATCGAGTAATTGATAGCCCAATTGATTTACGGAACGTGAACGATCGGTAATTTACCTGGATGAAAGAGGAGAAAAGTTCAATAATCTGTTTGTCGATTGCAGAGTTCACGAGGATTAAAAACTAAAAGGAAGTCAGTACCGGCACGTAAATACCTGCTGGCGTTTAGAAAATGCTGTCACGTGCTTGTTCACACGTCGGGATCGCAAGGCGAATCGGATCGGAGGATAAACGCCGCAGTAGCTCGCACATGGTGCTTTCATTGGCCAGCCGGTTCCCCGTTTTTTCAGTCGCACTCAATGCATCGTCGAGCCCGCGAGCGCAAGACGCGACGACGCGCTGTCGAAACACGCGCGCGCCTTCAAGCAAGTACCTGTACGCCGCCGGAGCGCGCGCGATGCAAGCGATACGAGCGACGCGGCAGAACTGACTGCTGGTCGACGCCCGACGCGCGCCACAGCATAGTTTCGCCACCACCACCCCGTCACTACCGCTGACGCGCCCGCCGCGCAACCCTTGCGCAACGCCTTATCCAAATGCGTTTCGATTATCCGCGACTGAGTGGCTTTATATCGCTTCTTTCGCTCGCGCGGACCGACGAAGGGAAACGAACGAACAAAGTTGAGACCGATTGAAGCTGCTTAGCAAATTCCGAGGGGATAACGAGCTGCCACTCGGTGCTGAGATTTCGATGTACTCAACTCTCTTCCCTTTTTTCCCCTCTTGAAATTTGCCACGGAGGGCTAATTGGCGACGACCGCATTTTCAGGGCGGGCCGCCTGCTTTATTTTTCTCGTTGACGAGCGACTTCGGCTGCTGCTTGGAGAGCTGCGCGATTCGATTCGTAAAATGCGCTTAGCGTTCGAACACAGCAGGGATAAACCGCTATGCGAGATTCACTAAAAATGCTCGAGTGTCCAGCTTACGTTATTGATATTTTAATGATGAATCGTCACAATTATCTCGGCCTTTCAATTGCCGTTACAGAAACATTTCCGTGAAAATCTGATTACACCGATAACGCGCAACAGTGGGACCGTCATGAAGGTTTGCGTTGCATCGAAAGCCAGAAAACAAAAGAGTCGAGGTGAAAGACGGGTCGCGAGCGAATTGTCGTTGTCAATCGCGTATAACAAGCAGCACCAATCCAGATTTACGTTTAATGAAGGTCGATCTATTGCGTTGCAGCGGCTCCATTATCCCGTGTATTCTTTCCATTAAAAAAAAAAAAAAAATGCCGCGACTGCGGCAGCTTTGACAAAGCACGCCTATTATCCCAGCCGAGAGCGCGAGTGTGGCGCGCCCGTGTGTGCACAAAGAAGTTCGCTCGACTTCCAATAGATCACGCTGTTATTCATTCGAGAGCATCGTCGTCGTTGCTCCGCTCGTAAACTTTGAATTTACCTCTCTCGCTCTCTCGATTCTTATATGTCGACTTGTACCTGAGTGCCCGTTTGACTTTGAAATGCGGGTATGAAAAATGTCTTTTTAGGTGCATTTCTTTCTTATGTTTCTAGACTTTACAGCTGTGCTAAATTCACGCAGGAAGTAACAACACCTTAACTTTATTTTTTTTAGTAATGAAGGCATATTGGTAAGACTCGATGAATTTTTTGCATTTTTTCCACTTTCATATTTAAAATTAGGCAGATATCGAATAAACAAAATTGCATACTATACGCGGACATGGAATCTGTCGGAACCGACTAACTTGCGTGAGCTACGTTTCAATTTACTGAATTACGTTACGCCTCATATATTTTTGGCTAATATTAGTTTTTAGCTAAATCAAATTGAAAAGCATGGAAAAATCCAATTAATTTTTTTAGCGTTAACTTATTGCTTCTAACCCAAGGATGCAATTAATTAATGGGCTTATCATTTCCTTTGGATATTGTAGCCATAGGCAGATAAGCCAAGCGTTTAATCATCTCTAATCGCATACGTTCGCTAATTGTCCGTTCTCTGCAATCACCAGCTTTTGGAATCCCGATTAAACTTCAAGTCTAAAACAATCTCACTTGCTAGCTCCAAATATATAATCGTATAATTGTCAATTGACGAACAAATGAGGTTTGGCAGTTACCCACGCACATTCATTAACTATACAATTCAATCGCTTTAACACGATAGCTTGGATTTTTATTAAGTTCGCATTATAACACATTAATTAATTGTCCATTTCGAGCGAAAATTGAATGAGCGTCCAATTGAAAGCCATCTTTTTGTCCCAAATGAAATTTTCAGTGAGCTATCTATTGAATTTACATTTTTGACATGTCGCGTGTATATTTTCACCAAGTCGTTGAACGAAAAGCAAAAGTTACGCACGGCGACGCGCGGAGAAGCTGGTTCAAAGAGCTCGAGCTTTAGATTGGGTAAGCGCGTGTTTTCACGAAATCTGCTGAATAGCCGCGTAGACTGAAAAGTGGTCGTGGGTGAATGGAAAACTTTTGCGTGCTCGTATTCAAATTTTCGCAGTCTTCCTTTGCCGTGCGAGCTTCCTAAACCTTTTCCCTCTTTTTTTTCTTTTTTTCGCCAAAACCGGTTTTCCACAATGGCCATTGCGAAAAAAAACAAGCGTAAACACCAGGGTCCTTAATCCAGAACAAAAGGCGAAAAACAAGTGGTAGTACTTTTACAGCGTTAATAGGACGGTCGCTGGTCGGCGACCTGGCGCGCCCGTTGAATTTTTCATTGGTATCCCCGGGGACGAACAGCGACAATGCGCCACGATATATCCGTCAAATTCGCTTGGTCGCCTCGCTTTCTCTCTCTCTCACTCTCCACTTCATCAACGCAAGCAACCTGCGTAATAATGCACACGTGCGCCGCCGAGAAGCGGAACAAGAAAATAGAATCTGAGGCTGAGTCGCTGACGGCAAAGCGGCCTCGCTGGCATTACCCCCTCCATGGCGTTCGCGTCGCGCATAGACGTCCGTGCACGCGTCACAACCGAGAGAGCGCCCGTCTCGCTTTCTCACACAGCTGCGGCTCTCTCGCTGAAATTCCAGTGAGCGCCGCGCTATATACTTCAGTGTCAGGCTAACTAGCGAGTCAGTCGGACGGTTTTAACTTTCGCTCTCGCTCGCTCTCGCCGATTCAGCTGCGTGCACTGACGCCAGGTACGTAAACGCACGTCTTTGCACGCCATAGTCGCGCTAACAACTTCACCATTATCCCGCTTGCCGAAATCTAGTGTTGCCTATCGCGCGCTTCGCCGATTTATAGAACGCGTAGCAGCTGCGTGCTCCGTGTCTGTCGCCACTATTTTCGTGCCGTGGACTCTCAAGCAACTACACGCGTACATTGCTGTCTGCCTGTCTCTCTCTCTCTCTCTCTCTCTCTCTCTGCCGTATCCACCAAGGCGCAACTATTTTTGTGCGCGTATAAGGACACTGAATAAAAGGAGCAGATGCCGGGTGACCTTGTAAAAAAAAATAAATAAATAACAAACTAAAAAACGCGGCAATACACTATTATATGGAGACTGCATCAGCGTTATTTTTAGTGGGCAACGATACCGCGTTACATCGTTTCCTTTAACTTCATTGATTTACTCTTCTTGATGCATCGTAAAGACTTAGCAATTCGTACCTCTGTGTGTGTGTGTGTGTAGGTGCGCGCGCGGTCAATTGACGAAACTGCTTGTCGGCAGACAGTTTTCTCATTGAAGTGAATGCGAGTCTCCAAATGGTGTATATTGAGAAACTCGAAGTATTTTTATCTACAATTATCATGAGTGAAAGCGGAAGAGCCGAATAGACTAAACACTTAATTGGCGTGCAAATTGATATTTTATCTCGAGCGCGCGGTTTTCCTGCGAAAATAAAGGACTATTGTGATTCGCGTTCTCTGATTTATTCTTGGTGTTTTTTAGTTGCATTCGAAATCGCACAGCATTTTTATGTAAACAATTCCGAGCAAAAAGATTAATAAACGGCATTGAGGATAGAAAACGACCTTTTGTACTAATAAACTAATTGCGATAACAAAGGCTAGCATTGTCTAAGGATGAAATGCAAAAAAAATCAATGTATATGTTTTAATAATTGACAGTTAAATAGCTCGAATGGTCTTGAGAGACGCGTAATTTTTATTTAATGGCAAGGGGATATGAATAAAAGCCGCTCCCACGTTGATATAATAACGTGCGTTTTCCATCCAATTACGATGTGGCGATAACAACGAACTCGATCAACAAATGACGAAGACGCGCGTGGTGCCAAAAGATCGAAGGCCTTCATATTTATCTGTAGTATTTCTTTTTTTCGCAAGAGCAAACTGTGACGATGAAAAGGACATTAAAGGAGGTTTCCGTGTCAATTCCGATGCGTGAAGGCGGGGTTAGCTCTTGTCTTTGTCCGCAACTCGCCCGCGCGCACACGCATTATTGGAAAAATTGCCCGATGTTTTATTTATTCACTGTACTCATCATCGCATTCTCTCATCCTAGAGAATCACGCGGAATAAAAATACAAGTGGAGCTCTCCAGCTGCTAATTGCGCCTACGAGAGCAGTCGGCTTTTATTTTTGTTTCTGCAAAGTCTTCGGCCATGTTTTATGAGCGTAATTATGCGGGTAATTAGCGCGGCTTATGGGAGAAGGATAGGCGTATATTTCTTGCGTAACTTAAGTCTCATTTATTCTGTTTTTTTCACAGGACGACCGACAGAAATGAAAACGATGAACGTCGCCGTAGTTTTGGCGATTGTACTTGCCGCGGCGAGCGCAGCTCCTTATTCCAGTGAGTACATTACAAAACATTAGCGATGAGTTGCTTGCCGCTAATTGCGCAACGATCAGATCTCCGTTTGTCCGCTCGAGTCGACACATTGCTCGATGATATTTTATTGGCGCTCGACGGGATTTTCGCGGAATAATGCATACCGTTCGGTCGGTTATTTCAGCTGGAAGTACAATTTCAACTTCACAATGTAAGTTACGCGCAAAACTAACTTTCCTCGCGTCTCGCGAGTGGCGCGCGCAAAACTTTGATACCATTCCAAATTGACGACGATTTACACTCAGTGCTGATTTGCGCGAATGATAAAAGTGATATCGCATGAAAATACCATTTCTCCGCTCTACGTTATATGAGTTGATGTTATGAAAGACAACCGATCAATACGGCATATTGTCGCAAAAGCTTGCAACGGCGCGTCATCCACTTCGGAAAAATAATAATCGATGCAAATACGTGACGTCAGCCTCCGAGGCGTCCACCAAGTTGATGCGTAAATTTTAAAATGGCCTGACGCAAAAATAAAATCGTAGCGTCAGCGCTATGTATCGGAAAATGTTCATTGAGCTTCTTTGCACGCGGCCGGCAATCGACCTTGCTTCGGTTTCGTTACCGCGGAAATTTCATGTGAGTTTATCGCTATACTATATCTCGGACATAGATGTCGATATATTAGTGGCTCGCAATAGACACGTTCTTTGCGATATCGTTTGATTTTCAACGGGTTGACGTCGAGATGAGAGAAAAAGTAAGAGTGAGAAACGAAGATTTGATTTGCCGGTCGAGCCGCAGGAGAGACGTCGATAATTGAAAATCAATTTCGATAAAAGCCCACGTGCCGAAATAGAATTATGATTAACCGCATTGAGTAGTCGTGATGTTATTTCACGCGAATGACGCGCAGTCCATCGTGATAGACGCATCGATTGATCTATTGACGGCTCTTCTGATGAGCGACCCATCGAAGACGAGAGTCAAGTAATGACAAGCATCAGAGCTGCGAGACGCCCCGTAAACCTATCGAAAAATGAATTTCCCGCATGTAGCTTCGGTGCTTGCGCAGGCATTTTTTACATAGAGATGCCACGCTTATGCTAGCCTCCCTTTTCTCGACAACGTATTTTCGTTACACGGCGAAGAGAAAACAAAAACTGATGAGAAATTTTGTTGTTTGTAGAGTTCGGGCGCAGTTGCCAAGACATCGGATGTCGCTCGGACGAAAAATGCATTATGGCTGAGGAGCCATGCAGCTATGGCCATCAACGAGATCAATGTGGTCGTTACCCCACCTGCCAACGTATCAACAGCGGAGGTACGCGTTGAACACCTTTTTCTATCTCGAGTCTCTCTCCCTTTTCCTCTCCCTCAATTCGCACGACCCACTGAATTTTCCTCAACCACGTATCGATCTTTCATTAAACAGGTGAGAGTTGCACCACCAAGATTTGCTCCAGTGGACAGTACTGTAGAACTGAAAACGGGCGGCCGACCTGCGTCAATACTAATGCTGGATTGGGTGAGTCAAGAGACGAATTTTGTTTTTTCGTGTTATCTTCTGTAGATTGTTGTAGCATTTGGTTGCTGTTTGTTGTTCTCCCGCCATCTCTGTTTTAACTCGTTCGAACGTCTCCGCATTGACGAAAAATTCGAGATTCGAACGATTTAAAGCATCGCACACATGCAAATACGCAGAGTCCGCGCGCTAAAGCCATTCGCGAGTTGCAGAGATATCCGATCGTTGTCCTTTGCCGATAGAAAAGTTAACGAGGCGAGTACAGTGGACGCTCGATTCGTATACGGTGTAGCGAGCGTGTTTGCTCCCAACGAGAACACGCTTATTTCTGCAACGCCCTCAAGCGACGTGTATAACTGTCTTCTATTGCGCAATTACGTCCGTTTGCAGTAAAGTGTAAAATAGGCACACGCAGTAGAGAGGACAAAAGATAGTCTCTTCCATACATAAAAAAAAAGAAAAATGTGCGCGGAAGACGTAAGCGCGTATGTAGGTAGACGCCTGTGCACGAGCAAAAGCGGCAATTGATGCGGTGCACCGGCTAGTGAAGTTGTTATACACGTGCGTCATTGCATGCTGGACTCGTGGTATGATTTAAATGAATGTTGCCCTCAATGAAACATCGCTCCCGATAAAAGCAGCTCCATCGCTTTTTCTCTTCCTACATACTTCACCTTCTTTCGCTCGCGCAATCTCGCACGCTACTTATATGTCTCGGTCGTTCTGTTTTCTCTTTCCATTACACTTATATCTTGGCTCGTTTGGCTCTCTACTAATCTCACGCACACGCCTGTTTTTTTACCTCCTCCAATTGTTACGAATCTTGTGTTTCTTTATACTCAGTTCGTTTGGCATTGTCCGTGCGCGCGTGTTAGCGTTTTTGTCCGTTGACCCAGCCTTAACAAATTAGCTCATGGTGATGGTAAATTAGCTGCACACGCTCAACCGAAGAACTTTGCCGCGCACTTTGTCTCTCGCACGTAGTACTTTTCCTTGTGTTTTGTTCATAACGTTGTGTGATGGCTGTAACCACTTGGCAAAAAAAGCACTGAATGGCAGCGGAAGACAAAAGAAATAGAAACAGGAGTTCCTATGTACTTTCAGCCTTTGACTCGGCTGGCATATCCTCGGTAAACGGTCACACGTTGCCGAACGGTCAACAACAGCCAGCGGTCCCGCCGGACGCCTACGGCACGCGCTACGCCAACGGCAATCCTTACGCGAATGCCAACGCTCCACCCGCCGAAGAAGTGCTCGGCAACAGGTACAACGGTCAGCCGCCAGCGAGCAGCAGTAACGGCTATCCACCGTATCCAAGCAATGGCAACAGCAACAGCGGTTATCCACCATATCCAGTTAATAGCAATAGTAATGGTTATCACCATCAGAACGTTTACCCGCCGCCGTATACCGGTAGCAACAGTCAGAACGGCGGCTACCCAACGTATCTCAACAATCCCAAGCTCAATCCAGGCTGGAACAGCGTGCATCCCAACACCAATTATAGATCGAGGAATGGCGCCAAGGGCAACACAGCGTCAGTCTTGCTGGTCCTCGCCATGAGCATCGTCGGCTGCCTCAGGATAATCAAAGCGTGAACTATCTTCTCCTCGTTGTTTCTCTTGTCTTTTGTGATTATCCAACGCAAATCGCGTCGCGCTCGGGGCGTCGTTGCTTTGCACAACAACTCCGTTTACTCCTGCTACTTTGTTGATGATGATGATGATGATGATGATGATGACAATTGTATAACGTCCAACCGCGTGCCTTCCTCGAATGCGTGCACTAGTGTCTGCGCTTAACGTCTCACTGGTCAAAACGCGTGCAACTGCATAACTTTTACAATGCAGAAGGACGAATGGACGATTGAGATTTGCATTGATACCATTACACCTTACCAGTGGCATACGCGTGGCGTAAAAGTTGTTTATAGAATGTATTATATGTAAATTTTGCACATCAATCGTCTCTTCCGCCAATGGGGACGTCACATATCGGTGCCTTGATTGTTCGAAGTATATATTTTACAAACACATCAATCTAACGATCTGCCTTTTTAATGATATAATGTTTAGAATCTCGTGTAATGATGTTGGATTTTTTAAATACTTACAAGCGTACGGAATATCAGTCGCAATGATTTGATTTTGTTTACACAAACCTGTCTACATCGAATGTTCTATCTTCGGCAGCTTTCAGTATTTTTTTTTTATCACACACGATTTCTAATCGTTATTAGTATGGTATACCCAGTATTATGTCTTCTGCGAAAGTCACATTTTACTCGTTTTTGTAGAATTTTGACGTTTTGTTGTTGTCAGTTTTGGACACAAAACAAATAATTTTGAGTTAGTGTAATATCGACACATATTATTTTAATCGATGAAGTTATGAAAATAAAGATAATGAAATAAAGCATCCCCATGGAATCGAAATTATTAAACGAATAGTATGTTCTACTGTGCGCTTCTCTTTTATTCTACCATAGTGCTTGCATCAGTCAAGCAATATGCGAGCTTGTACAACCATAATTTAACGCTTTTAATTGCATGAATCACACGAGTACCACTACAACGCCAATTCGAACACACATACATGAGGCCATAATCAAAAGCGCATTGCGCGTTACTTTCGTTATCTCCCGACCTCCGCGTGACCCATTATACAAGTCGGACGAACGCGTACGCCGCACAGTGTTGACCTTTACGCATCCGCGCGAGAAGCTTGCTGAATAAACGAACAAATCGACAGATCCAGCGTCTCACCGGCAACCGGGCTACAAATTGCCGACAACGACCAGACGACCCGCGGTGCCAACACCACCACCACGAAGCTCCTCGTACGATCATCGCTTCGGTGGCAACGGCATCGGTGGAGGTGGTAGCCGCACCTGGGATCGTAACTTTGGCGGTGGCAGTCGTGGTGGAAGCAGCGGCGGTTCCGTTTGGGACCGAAACTTCGGCGGTGGCAGTCGCGGCAACAACGGTGGCACTTCTATTTGGGACAGGAATTTTGGTGGCGGTAGCCGCGGTGGAAGCTCGTACACCACTAAGAGACCGAGCTACTATCCAGGAGGCAGAGACCACTACAACACACACACATCAACTGACTCCAAGGGGAATAGAGTCTGGACCTTCTCTGGCTAAGATCAGCCCCCTGGGATTTCGCTTCTCGATGATCGCGTTCGCCCCACTAGCTTGCACGCTCTCACTCTGCTAAAGCTTTGATGAGGAGCTTTCATGCTGAACTCGGTTTCGCGCTCTAAGATTACCTCGAGATTGTTTATTTTATTCGTTTCACGTGTATACTTTATCCGAGATGCTTTACTATTCTTTAATTATGGTGTGATATTTTTAACCAAAAATTATTCATGATTTAATTAATATTCTGATTTTAAATTGAACATTTCTTACATGATACATGTTTATTGTTTGTGTTCTTTTTAACACTGCTTACAAGGAAGAGTTCCTAGATGTACCTCATCGATTTTGATCATGATGTATTATGTTGTAATACACAGGTAAATATTTAACATCAATTTTTTTAAATGCAAATTAGCCGATTTGAGGAATGAAAAATACCCTTAAAGCTCATCACTAAAAACATTTTTTTTAACATCTTAAAAGCCACTTACATAGTTTTGAATGAAATCAACGTCAAACTTTTCTATATAAAAAGATTACAACTTGAGTTTATTTCACGGGTAAATATACATTATTTTTTTATTTATTTAAATACAAAATTTATAAAATCATCTAGTTTAATTTAAAAAAGGAATATAAGAATATAAAATCTTATAAAATATAATCAAGAATATAAAAAATTAATATTTTGAAGAAAAATATTTCCTAGGTTGTTTTAATACGACACCTATTTTTTTTTATTTTATCGATATAGAAATTTAATTTGTTTGAAATACAATTTAACAAAATAAAGATAAAAACAATTAATAATAATAAATAATAATTAATAATAAAAAAAAATAATAAATAAGCTGATAAAAGGTGTGTTCAAATGCATTTTATAACAAGAGATCTGAAATCAAATTTTTAGATTTAGAAGCTATTACATATACATTAGTTGATTAAAAATTTTTTTACTATCACTAGTTCAAAGTCTCCACTTTTTTCTTTAAGAACAATAAATAGAGGGAAAATAAGTCGATCTTACCAGAAATTATTGGTTAAATTTTTTAACTATAGGTCGCAGAAGTTAGAGATTATACTAAACATTTTACTTATCTTTCTTTTTAATTGCTAATATACGGCCACAGTGTATTTATAGTTGAAATCTACTGACAGAATTATAGATATTTTCTATTTCTTTTTCATAAATAACATTTGTTTTTCAAATACAAATTTATCAGTTTTCCTTTATAAATATTCTACTCCTTCTCCTGTTTCTAGCCTAAATTTTTATGTATACCACTTTTCCAAAACTTTACTGCTCTTGGTTGAAAATCGTAATGTAATTTATTAACATCTGATGTGCGCACTGGGGAAATTTCGTCCGTAGTGATTCTATCTTATTATCTTCTCCTCCTTGCATTTAAACACTTTTTTAAGACTATGCGAGATCAAGAGTCTCATCTCCAATCACTTCAATTTCATTAAATGCTTCCACAGCATTTAACAGTTTTTCAATATGATTTTTTAAATTAAAATTAAAATTTCGTTTTGATTAAGTGCTTGAAAGGTTATTAAAACTAAATTGAAAACATTAGGATTCAAATAATTTTCTATCTCTTCTAAAAAGTTAAAATACCCGTTTAAATTCAATGAAATATAAAATAAAACTGTGGTTTTCATTATTTTTACGAGCTACTGAATTACGTATAAAGATAAATTTATCAAGAATAACGATATGGTGCTTGTTTCAAGTACAAATGAAAAACAGCTTCTTTATACATTATCCATCATTCGGATTCATAAATTATTATTGTCAGTACATTATAAATATTATTTATCATTTACTCTGATATTAACAAATGAATATACCGAACTATTTAAATACTTATAATGATTGAACTATTTGTATTATAAAATTACAAAATAAATGCTATAATATTAGTTGAATTTGAGTATTCCTTAATAAACAATTCTAGTATATTCGTAGGGAAATGAAAATTATATATAAACAAAAAAATAGATCCATTCTTACAATTTAATATCCTGAACTTATTCATACTATGAAATAAAACAAATAATCTTTCTAAAAGCATATTGAAAGTTATATATTTTTACCTGGATGTTATATTTAATTGTAAGTTTAACGATGATCTCAAAGAAGATGGCACAGTAAAAAATGTTTTTAGAGCTTTAACCCCAATCCTTAAAGCCCAAGTTCATGGTTTTAGAGTTTATGAGTTTTCACGTAGATTTCATTTAAAAACTATAAGTATTTTTTAAGATATTAAAAACATTGTTTCAAATGGTGAACTTGAAGAGTGATTTTTAGTCCTTAAAGCGGTGAATTAGCACTTAAAAAAATTAAGTGTTAAATATTTTCTTGTAAGCTACAACACATTACAAAATAATAAAATTCCGTGAAATACATCTGGGGGGGGGGGGCCATTTTTTTAGTATCAACGTCCGTGCCATATTTACTTAAAGATACGATTAAAACTACCTTTGCAATGTACATTAATTGAATAATAAATCTGAATATAATTAGTACTTGTTCTGCACAGTGTATCATTCAGAGCGTGTATCTATGTCATGAATCATATCACTACGGAAACTTTTATCCTCCATCAGGAAGCTCGCGATAATATCTCATTTAGAAAATAGAGTGGAAACTTTAATCAAGGTGAGTGGCACATCATCGAAAATATTTGACGCGTTAAAAGAAAAAAAAATCTTTGTATGACGGATGGGAGTGATATGCCGCGCATGTAGCTTTTATAGACTTTATGGACTGGGCTTTATCGAGAGTTGCCCGGGCTTTATCGTGCTTCGCCCTACACATTAAGTAACTTCTCTGCGTATCGGTTTTTATGAAATTTGATGCATGCCGATTGAAACTCTTCAGTATTTTATTTTGCGGTATATGGCTGGGTGTGGTTGACGTAACGTTAGTTACTTTTGGTTACTCGGAGCTGTCATATTGAAAAATCGTACATGTGAATAATGTTTGCAGCGGAAGACGTGAGCAAACGCCAGGAGGAAACTCAACCGAGTAACGATCCAAAACCTTCCGCTCCTTTGCCGGACAGTAATGGTTATCCCGAGACGAAAAGTACTCCTCGTCCGGCAGCTAATTACCCCAATTACCCGTCAGCCAGTAACTCGGGCTATCCTGCCTATCCAGACTCGCACAAGCCATCCTCTCCCAGTCAAGATCACTACGGCTATCCCGCGCAATCTCGACCAGTCGGTTCTTATCCCGGTTACCCGTCGTCGGCTGCTTCGGGTTACCCATCGAGTAACAATAATTACGGCTACCCTAGCTATCCCACGCAAGATTCCTCGAGAAGAACAAGCGCGACCACGCATAACGCTGGATATCCATCTCAAAGCGGTTATCCCGGCCAGGCTGCCGCGGGTTATCCTGGCCAAGCTGGTTCGCAGAATCCCTACAATAATCCATACGCCGGTTACCGACCGCAGCAGCAAGGTCCGTACCAGGGTGGCTATTATCCACCTCAGCAGAATGGATATCCCAACCAAGGTTACGATCCTTACGGACCGCCGACAACTAAAAAACCCAGTTTCACCGATAGAATCGCCAACTACGCTAAAAACGTTGCCAAGCAGGTATTGACTCAAGCGCTCATTGACAAAGTTTCAGGAAGATCTTAAATTGTTCGTGGACATTGTCTTTGCCTCTGCGTCTATGAACGAATGCTTCGAATACATATCTTTGAAATTGTTTGTATAATCAATTACAACTCTGTGAAATACTCTCTAATGTCATTTATTGGCGAAATAAAGTAGTTTTTAATTCACATGACCATGTCATCGAAATTTGTAATGTAAGTTAACCTAAAATCTCTATAATGTCTACTTGTCAAACGGCAGAACCACTGATATTTAAGTTGTTGAGTGATTAATAGTTAAAAGTGAAAAAGGCCGCCTATAATTCGGCAAAGCAAGCTGCATTGATTTCGCGCACAGCCGATACTTTCATCCGGCAAAGTCGTCGGTCGATAAAAGCGACGCTCGAGGAATCTCGTTGAGCGCTCGCTCGATGTCAGCACGGGTCGTCGCGAGATCTTCGCGTTGTCCGAGCGAGACCGGCGTCGCGTTTCCCGCAGCTTGCTGTCGCGGCGCGCACGAGGAGCGAAATTCAAGTTGGCAGTCGCGGCGCGCACGTCCGAGCGGAGGGTGCGCGTTCCCCCGCCACGGACTCGCCCTTTTCTTTCCGCTTTGAGCTTTGATATTCGCAGTGCGCGTGTATCAGTGACCTTCGTCCCGGCTAATAATGTTCCCACTGGGAATCCTAGTGCGCCGCGAAGCTGCTTTCCTCGCGAGAAGGACGTTAACTTTCGTCAGAAAGAAGCGGCATTAACGCGACACTCGACGAGGAGTTTATAGCTGACGCTCGAACGCGCCTAAGGACGCGCGAGAGACGCGACGAAACAGTAATTGATCCCGTGATGTCGCCTTTAATAGGTGGCTCCCGCGGTGCTTCGGCCGTTTATTAGTTGCCAAAGTATTGGAGACGCAGCGGAAAAATTCTTCCTTCTCTTTTTCCTTCTATCCGTGAATGCCGCGTCGAAGGAGTGTCGGCTTCCAGCGGCACAGCTGCGATGCTTCGTGCTTAAGGAGCATCTCCTTGGATCCCCGGCTCTCGGCGAAAGTGATTTGCTATTTTGAATTTTACGAGTTACCAGCAGACCATCGTATTTGCTTGACGTCCCGCGCCGATACACTAGATTTTATACGCTCGCTTTTTTCTTACTAAAATAATTTTAGATATCATTAAGTCGAACGAAGTATATAAAAACAATCGTATAATTTTATTGGCGTATGCTCAGAGAAGTTTGCAGCTCAGTTTACAGTTATGCACTAGCTTATTGAATCGAAAGTATAAGGCGATTCGCAGAATGCGTTTGTTCCGCGAACACATTTTCTGGCATAGAGCGTGGAATGGTCCGTCTATTTTTAATCTCAGAGTTTAATTAACGCTGCGCAAGATAAACATTTCCGTGAGTTATCTGCCTGACTGTGTTGCTTTGTTGGAGAGTGACGAATAAAAGGATTCAACTGTCGCGCAGCAATTTTCACCAACGTCAGCTTGTGACGAAGAGCAAAAGTAAAGGAATCTTGCGAAATCGTATGCAAAGCTAGCAAAAGCAATTTCTCAGTTTTTTCGACAATTATTCGTTTCGATCGCTACAAACGTGTGAACAGCCGGAACTCATCCGCAAGTCACATTCGTAAGATTCTTTTGTAAAACGCAGACGAATGCAGAGTTCGTCCGCAGGGCAATGTGTCTTCAGTTATGCAAACGAAGGTTTGCTCGTGTATAATGCACTCGTAAAGACATCAAGTACAAATTCGAGCTTTATGTCGTTGCTTTGCGTGGACAATATAATTTTACGATTCGAAGGTTCCTTGTTTTTCCACTTTATCAGCGAAGCGATTTCGCGAAAATTGCTAGGACACATCGTCGCAAGTAATTGTGTGCCAACAGATTCCACGGGCGCTCAGAAATAAGCCCCTCGAGAGCGAGAGAGTAGCGCACTGGCCGTTATGAGAATACGCAGCCCACGATAAGCTTAAATATAGCAATCGCATGGAAGAGAAGCTCGACTGAATCGCCCGCAGTTTGCTAGCCGCGAAGAGAGGTGGCGAGGCACCGAGCGCATTCAGAATGTCGGCAACCGGTGGTACAGGTGTGACGACGGCGACGGCCTTGATGGGCAACACGACGCTAAACTGCGCGGACGATAACACGCCGGAATTCAACTTGGACTCGCTGCAGACGATCATCTCGATCGTGGTGCCGATTTTCTTCGGTCTGATATGCGTGCTGAGCGTCATCGGTAACAGCCTCGTCATCGTCATTGTCGCGTCCAATGCGAGCATGCGGTCGACCACCAACATATTAATCATCAATCTGGCCGTCGCCGATTTGCTGTTCGCCGTGTTCTGTATACCGTTTACCGCCACGGACTACGTACTTCCCTATTGGATCTTCGGCGACGTGTGGTGCAGAATCGTCCAGTATCTCATCATCGTCACCGCTTGCGCCAGTGTCTACACTCTCGTTCTCATGAGTCTCGACAGGTAGGTCGCCGCTCTGTTTTATTAGCTCCGTACGCCAATTCTTGTACTTGACTGCGATTATTTGTCTCTGTAATTTCTTTTTTTTCCCCCGCGCCCGTCAATTTTTCAACGCGCCATTACTTTTAACTGAAATGCTTGCCTTTTTAGGACCTTTCTAAAATCTCTTCGTCAGAACAATTCTTTACACGGTAGCTTTTAAGCTCCGCTTATTATGACTCTAAAAAAAAGAAAAAAGGGAGAATTACAGTGCGCGTCTACGCTAGCAATCCAAGAATAACTGGATTTCGCTCTGACGTAACCTCTTTACTGTACAGATTGAAAGAGACGCTCACTCAGGGCAGAGCCATATACAATTACGTTGCTATTAATTATCAATGCAATTGATTGTTTGAATGAAAGGTAATATGCTCATTAAAACGCGGTCTCGCTATGAAATTGACAAATGGAAATCTGATCAAGTTGTTTCAACAAAGTCAAAGCAAGCAGAAGGGCGGAAAAAGAGAAGGAAGAAAAACAAGGCGCAGATGGCCGATGTGATGGTCAATTTCACGCGCAAAGAAAGGAAAAAGTTGATCGGTCTTTTGCCGTGAGAATTCAATGACCGCACAGACGAAACGAGCTCCTTGTCTTCAAACGTGTATATATATATCCATAGGGTGGAAATTTAACGGGGAATCCAGAAGTTCCATTATGATAACGAATCAGTCAAGCGCTTCTTTAACCTGATGTCCGCTTAGATGCCAAAATTCCGAGGAACTTTGTCCCCTACTATGTCTTATTTATTTGTCCGCGGGATCAACATACGTACTTGTGTGTGCTCGCGCTCTCTTTCTCTCACTCTCCCCCTCTCTCTTTCTGTCTCGTCGCGCTGAACTCTTATTCGAGATATCAGATCGAACATATTGAACCACTTTGTCTTCCTTCCTTCCTTTCTGTAGCAGCTTTGGTAGCTGTTTGCTCGTTCCACGTGGTAAATTGATCGATTATCAGTGATGCCAAGTGAGCGACTAATTCGATTTCCTGGGATTCTTGAGTATTAGTGGTGATAACTACTGGCCGGCTAGTTCTGCTTCGACTGTCTGACGGCGAACAATTAACGACGCATGACGCACGATAAGCTCGTTATGATGTTTTAGTAATACCGCAGCTGGCGTTGATCATGTCTCGATTATTTTTTTTTTCTCTGACACTATTAGAATCATATTACTTTGCAAAAACTGATTATTACAGATTTTTACGTACTAGCAATCTTTACATTGTCGTTTTGCTTTTTTCCACCAATCACCAATAGGACATTTTTTGTGCTTTAGGTCATTTAATAATAAAGTTACGTACAACTTGACGGTCTAATGAACATTTTCTTAACGGTGAGAAATTAAAAGATGCCAATAAATTAATAATGTAATTTTCATACGCTGTATATTGTACGATGAATTAGTGCAAGATCAATCATCTAAGTTTAAGGGGAATAAAATTCCATTTTCTTATTTAATTGGACGCAAGCTATGGAGAAATGGAGAAAGAAAATCTTGTTTTCTTGTATTTGCAAATTGAATTTTATTTAAACTATGTTCAAGATTTATTCATGATTTTGTTTTTCGTTCAAAAATTTATTGACACTTTTTATATTTACATAATTGGCATTGGTATTTCAAAAAAATTGCGTTAAATTAAAGATTTTAGTTTTATTTTCGATAGACAGAGAAGACAATTGTATAAAAAAAACAGTGAAAACGCCGCGGAAATGATTAACATTACCGCGTATTCTTTATGCAGGTAGTTTGAATGGAGCTTTTTAGTTGTTTGCAATAAAAAAGAACTAACTGCACCTACTGTTAAGCCTTTTTTTTCCAAGCCAATATACTCTCGTAATTATTTTCCGAGTACGAGGAAGGCAGAACTATTATGAAAAAAGAAATAATAATAAGCAAATAAAAATGGCACTTTTCTAATGATTCTCGTGAAAACAATGTTTACTACGTAGTAGAGACAAGTTATACTGAGAAAGTGATTTCAGCGCGCTTAAAATTCATATTTGTTATTTGACTGTAACAAGAATCGAAGGCCATTCTGCTTGTTCACTTGCCCACAAACCTAAAGACGACAGACAAATATACGTGCGAAAATGTTTTTTATGACAGAACGAGGAAAAATTGTAAAAAAGCCCGTCCTGAGGCAATCTGAAAAACTACAAAATCAGGCGCCTACAAGCTAACACCAACAGCTTCTAAGCGTGTTCGCCTAGAAGCAAACACAGACAGCGGCAGTGACACGTGTAAAAAAAATGACCCTCGTTCGTTATCATTCCGTGTCTAGATGAGAAAAAGAGGGGAAAAGAAAAAATTGAGAGAGATTTTTCAATTTTGCACTTCACCGTCGCCAAAAAAGCGCCAACTTGGCATGTGATCTATCATTCCTTTGGGTATTTTTCTATTATCAATGTCGGCGTCATTTTATCGAGAGTAAAGAAAAGAGGTTCAGCACGTGTTATATGAGCTAATGGTTCTCTTATTTCCGGTCAATTGCCATATATTGTGCCACTGACATTTCTCCTGTCTCGGATCGCTCACTTTATTTCGTAAGTGTCTGCAGCGTATCAATTGTTTAACTTTCGGCCCGAGTCTATTTGGGCCATCCTCAGAGAGAAAAGAGAGAGATACTGCGGCGCAGTCAGCTATACATTGTATTCATAGATCTATGGGTATAACTTCGCTAATTGGCACAGATACTCTAGCGATTTCCAATTTTCCGTCGTTTTGAGCTTTCCCAAATCTGAATTTAATGAAAACGTGGATTACTTTTGGTTGGTTGGCAAATGTTTCAGACGCGATCCGCTTTTGAAGAAATAGCATTTCATGTACAATCACTGCGCAAAATGTACTATGCAAAGTACAAATAAAAGAAAAAGCAATGAAAAGCCTCGTGGGAAATATCTCGGGATTGAGCGTGATTTATAGCAGATTATGTTTCCTTCGGCACAAAAAAAGAGGAAGAAAAAAATGGATAAAAGCCATCGAGAATCGATATCACTTTAATATGAGAGCTTTTCCGAGTCGTTATTATAAGCTGAGCATACATGCGTTTTTAATCGGTTATTGCAATAATCTGTTAGTTGGCTATCTCATAACAAAGCAGTACACGTGACAGGCATTGAAAAAGCTCTTTATTAAAGTTTATCATATACACGTTTTCTCTGCTAGAGAGAGAAAGAGAGAGAGAGAGAGAGAGAGAGAGAGAGAGAGCAAGTGGTAAATATGTAGAATGGACGAGCTCCTTTATATGTTACGAGTGTGGCAAACCGTAATTGGCCATATAATTAAATTTCTCTTTCCTATCGAGTTGTGCGAAATAAAAACAGATAAAATTCTTTGTATCTAGCGAAAACTTAGGGGTTTATCGTGATATAGGTCAAGACGAAACACATAATTTTGGGTTTCTGTTGTAATTAATAGCGCCACGCGCGCCCCCCTTCGACTTCTGCAATTACTGACACTAAGTACAAGATGAATCTAACATTTTAAGAAAAAGAAGTTAAAAATTCAGAGGTGTCAGTCGGATAAAGTGAAGTATAAAGTATTTGATGTCTGATCGGATTTCGTGGATTTCAGGTACCTCGCGGTGGTACATCCGATAGCATCAATGTCGATGCGCACCGAGGGTAGGGCGTGCATCGCTGTTGGGATCATCTGGATCGTGATACTCACCTCATCTATACCCGTGCTATTCATTCACGGCGAGGTAAGTGTCTCCTTTTTCCGCTACCCTCTGCACGTGCTTCGATTCGCGATCGCTACGCTTTACCACGACAAAGTCTTTGGATTTCTATTATTTACTTTCAATTGACTCCGTTGGTTTCCACTAAAGTAAGAGCTACATTCTTCTCTCAATTGCATTGGATACAATGACGAATATATTTTTAAACACTGTTAAAAAAATATCAAAAGTGGAAAGGGTAATAGATGTTAGTGTCTGACTAAACTTGGTCTACATCACTGTATTCATTAACACTTTTTTTAACTAAATTTTCACGCAGCAAAAAAAAACTAAATTAATTAGATAAATAATATTCGTAGACTATGCTTACGAACTTTTTCCTAAACAAAAATACTCAAAAGAATTACGCAAAATTTAACAAAGAATAACGTTTCTTTTACGTTTTGTTAATTTTTATAGTAAGCAAAATTTTATACAAAGAACAAATGCGCGTTCAATCTTTATTTATTTGTCGAAATGAAAGTTTTTCAAAACTTTCTAAAAGGGCAAATGCATTTTTCAGAAAGGCCTGTGATCTCTCTTCGTTTGGATATGGTTGCAAAATTTCTATTTTTTCCTATTGTTCCCTTTTCACCCTAAAGATACTATCTCCTGTCACTTCATATCCAACACTCATGCGTTCTTCATGCAATGTTTTATGGAATACATGCGTCAAAGTGGTATTTCTGTCGTACGTACTAAAAAAACAAAGAAAAAACAACAATGCTGTTTTCTTTTTCTGTTTAAAATCTATTTTTTTCTCTCTTTTCCCGCATAGTGGACGTTTATGTAAATGTAAAAAAGGTGGGTGAGAATTACAGTTAGCTGAATGGCTCTCTGCGACATATGAAACCAACTCGCGCTACGTAAAAGCAGAATACGTCGCTGGCTTTTTCACGAGCGTACCCATGTATTGCTATGTATATTCAGCGACTACACCGCAGAGAGCGAGCACGTCGCCATTTTACTATTTTCGTAAGACAATTTCGTTATAAAACAAATCGAACGCCAAGCGAAAGGTTGTGATCGGGAAAGCATATCTCGAGGGAATCGAGTCCGTATGAAGAGCTCATCTTTTATGAAACTATTACCATACCGACTTTCCACAGTTTTGTATTGCATGAAAACAAAAACTATTCGGAATATATTGGAAATTTTTTATTTCAAATTTGACCAGTAATTCGCCTCTTGCATAGATTAAAAACTTTTTTTTTTTTGACGAAATATAATATTGTGAAATCGTATCGTAGTACGATGAGCCACTATCACCATGCGACACAACGTCAACGAGTCAGGCTTATTGCCGAATCCTGCCTGACGCCAACTGGCCACTGTTCCAAGCGACTTTCTTCGGTGCGAGTTACGTGGTACCATTGACGCTTATCAGTGTCCTCTACTTTTTGATGCTCATACGCCTGTGGAAGGGTACGCGTACGAGTGTCGGCAGCCGACGAGGCAGAAAAAGAGTCACGAGGCTTGTCCTCGTCGTTGTCGGCGTTTTTGCACTTTGCTGGCTTCCTATTCAGGTGAGGCGTTTTAATTGGCGACCTTATTCCTCTGGTTGTAAGTGCGCCTTTTTTGCACCATCGAATGAAAAAAAAAACAAACAAACATTATAGTTGACGCGACCAAGCTTTAGCTTTTTTCATTTGAGACGCAGTTGCTTTAGGAGCACAAATCCGAGGCAGAAAACAGCACATGGGACTAAACTGCGCGTGATTTCAACTTTTTAAGGTTTTATTTTTTCCGTACAAAGAAAAAGATGAATATTCTACGGTTCGTGGCTTACTTAGAGGAAGCTTTCACAAGGATGCTGTTTATGATTGTACGCCCGGGCAAAATACACTTATGTGCTTGCAAGTGCTTATTTTGACTTGATTTATGTACGGTACTCGGCAAAAGTCAAAAAAAAGAACAAGTTAAATGCCATTGACGTTAAGTGGGGCCGCACGTTAACTTAGTATCTAGCGGCTGACCAATTAAGACCTCTACTACTTCATTTTTCAAAGCACTAACATTGCTTCCCACCGTCATATATATTTCTTTTTATAGTTTATAAAGCTTAGAGCCGATGTAATGTCTATTTTTATATCTTTCTTTATTGATCGTATAAACTGTCAACATCGTAAACAATATAGGTATATCCAATCACTGCTCGTAAATCACTGTTCTTGAAAATTATGAAGATGTAACATCGATCAGGAGGATTTGGTTTAAAAAAGAAACAGTCTTAGCTACTCATTATTGTCGTTATTTTCACGTTGGGAATTATAATTTAAAAAATAGAAAAAAAACACAATGGTCTAAAAAGACGGTTGAAATTGGGAAAATGTGGTTTGCAGGTAATCTTGTTGCTGAAGTCCATGGGACTGTACACGATGATTTCGTCGACGGTAGCACTGCAGATACTCAGTCATATATTGGCCTACATGAACAGCTGCATCAACCCAATTCTGTACGCGTTTCTGAGTGAGAACTTCTGCAAAGCATTCCGCAAGATCATCTACTGTAGATCAAGGAAGAGTCGACAAACACGACTTGGTCTGACAACTAAAAGCTCTAGGGCTGGACCTAGCAGCGCCGACATTTTATAGGTAAGCTTTGCACACACACGCGCGTGAACATGCGCATACATGTACACGCGTCACCCTGACACGACGGACTTATTGTATAGTATACGTATGTGCACACGCAGCTGCACGCAACGCTTCAATCATTCTGCCACATGCGCGGAGATTTGGGATTTGTGTTCACTACATCGCTTGCTTCGCTCTTCGGCTCGGACCATCATTTGCGTTTGCTATTTGACATGAGAATTCGTTGTAAATTGCCTTGCAATCCAGTTTATATTTTATTTCCTACGCTTTCGAGATTAAAATACCTGTTCCGTTGGACGGAGTTAGAATTGTAGTAAGAAGAAATACAATTTCACGGAGCTTTTTGTACGCGAATGCCCGCCGGTTATTTACAGTTACATGCGCTTGGAACACATTACATTTTCTGCATTTTCAAAGAAGCCAGATTTTCACTTACTGTAGAAATATCAAAGGTAGTGACGTTACTTATTGTCTTTCGTATGAGCGAGAATATAATTGGAAGCATTGGCCATCGTGTTCTTATATCTACGTTGCACAAGTAGCATTGTATAAGTATTATAAAAGTAATTTCTCGTATATAGATGTATTATTTGCATTCTGTCTCTTTTTCACCTTGCCAAAAAAAATAGAAAAATATTGCTGACGGATTATTCACGAGCAAAAAGCTACCATCAAGATTCCAGCTAGACGAGCTATTCGAAATAAAGTCGGCGAGTTGTCCAACAAATGGCAGTCTTTCTTTTTTCAAAGGCTGCAACTACGACGCTTCATTACACTGACGCTCCAGTTTTTGCCTTCTCCACAGTCTAACGGTGTTGCTTTCTCGATAAAAAACAATCTCCATCACAGTCGACTTTTAGTTTCTTTATCTACAGATGGTGCAACGAAAATATCAAAAGCTTTATAATTTATCGATAGACAGAAAGACAGAAGTAGAGAGAGAGAGAGAGAGAGAGGCAAAGAGAAAGAGAGCAAGAGAGAAAAAGAGAGAAGAATTTTCCAAATGGTTGGAGATACAATTTCAGTTGAGATTTACATTTGAGTACTTTTCAAGGTAGTCTGACTAACAATCAACTCTTCACCGTTTCTTTTTACTTTGTATGCTAGCCTTTGCGCTATTCTTCACCTCGCAATTGTTGATGAAATTATACTGACAAGGAGGCTGAATGTCTAAGTTTCGCAAAAGCTTTCATTACTGACATTGGTTTGAATTCATTGCCGCGCGTGGATTCTCGAAGCTATGAAGACAAAGCAACAGTGATATCGGAGCTTCACTGGATGCATTAATTAATACATGTCGCGTATACGCAGTTTGGCTACGCTAACGCAACTGAAATAGTAATTGAATACCATGCGCCTTGCAAGAACAAAGTGAAATGAAGTCCAGGGGAGAGAAAGCTCATTTCTTCATCTCGACCGAGTGCTCGAAACAATTTATAACGTCAAGGGGCCGTCATTTCCGCCTCGAGAACCTCGATAAAGGGAGAATGGCCGCGAGTATTACGAAAGTGAACGAGAAACAGCTAAGGGAAAAAAAAACAAGGAGAGGAGCTTTGCAAGCAGAGTTTCTCATTTGCGGTTGAGCCAAGTAAGGCGGCGACGACGCTGTGCAACCTAGAGCTCATAATGCGCGTAACGTAGAAACATTTACCACGGTACTGCATTTCTTTCTATCCCACGATAGAAAATAAAAAAATCAGCCATTTTCCAGCCTATAAGATATTGCTCGATGCGAAAAGCGCTTTGCCGGATAGATTTATGGTTCTTTTATTGGCCTCTTCCTACAATTTATTTCTTCTGACAACAATCGCTTTTGTCGATTCGCTTTCTCTTTCTCTCTCTCAATTCAACGGCACGAGGATAGCGTATTTTCAAATAAACTACAGCGTCGCCAACCATTCCAATTAAGCGCGCTCTCTCTCTCTCACTCTCGATTGTACTGCAAAAGACGAATGACATTAGACCTCGAACTTTTTATGAGATAGCCCCGCGAATAGATGACCATGTACGCGTGGGTGACGCGGCGCTCGTACCACGAATCTATTGAACTTGCCTAAAATTACTGTGCCTTTTTTTCTCTACTCTCTATCGGCACAAATTAATTAACTTGCACGCGGACGCGCGCTAGCCTGAAAAATGTTTAATGAGCTTGGTTATACATACAAGTTTGAAGCTGTCAAGGTGCGGCGAGATTTCATCATGGCGAACAAACATTGTAAACAAAAGTTTTCTATTTATTTGCTATTAAATGTCCTTGTATGATTATCAAGGTGAGCAACTTTTCATTGCAATAATAGAGAGCGAGCGATTTATAGAATTTACGAATCTGTCCAACATTCACTTCGGATCAAATGTGTTCTGAAAATCGTACGATCAGCAAGTACTTCTCGTGTATACTGTACGTTTCATCTCGCAGTAAAAAGATTTATTCCATTCAAATGATAAAAGCCACTCGATAAAAGTTGTTGCAAAAAATGTATTTAGTTGTTCGGCTAAATTCATATTAAAAAGTTATATCTAAATTGAATGCAAAATGTATAAGTGCTCTCGATTAAGTAATAATACTAAAATAAGTATGAAAAAATGATGAAATGATGTCAGAGAAAAAAGTAAGACTTTTTACTGTGTTCAATAAACATGACGTATTAATCATTTAGCGAGCAGTAAAGTCCACATATTGCGGTTCGAACTATCTCCAGAGTAATCTTCTCTGGATGAAATTGACCTGCCAATAACTGCACACGACGCAGCTCGCCGAAATGAAGTAGCATTTCCATACCAAATACGCACGTTCGCGTGCGTCTAATTGCGATATAAAAAAAAGAGTAAAATAACTCGAAATGAAGTGGTATCAAAAGATATTCAAGCAAAAAGTCGGGCGAGGCGAAAGAGCATTTAACAAGAGGATTATGCCGCGACATCCGAACAGCTTTTTAACGTGGGCTGCGCGATAATTTTACACTCGGCAGTATAAAACGCTTTTACACGCGACAAAGCTCCCCAACGGTCGCAGCGGCGCGGCACGAGCATTCTACTATTCGGTTATCTGTAGCGCGCAACAGAGGACACTTTGCATGCGCGCGCACACCCCTTTGTACCTGTAGCGCGTAACGTAGATTTGCTTTGTGCTCGCTAAAAATGAGCTCGGAAATTACAGGCTTTAGCTAGCCACTGGCATATATGTATTATTCATACTGCAACGATTAATAACTGAACAGGCGAGCTTAATGATCTCGACCTGCGTATATAAAAATAGAAAACATAAAAGAGAGGAGAAATATGCCGAGTCAGTGTATAACCGCAGGTTTCGATAATGACTCCAGATGAATAATTTGCAAGATCAGTTAACTCTCTCTCTCTCTCTGGCTCTCCGTGATGACGGATTATTCCTGCGTGCTTTTATTCGCTAAGCCTGGGATATTTATAGACAAGGAAACATGTAATTACGTATAGCCGACCTTACGAGCGCAACTTTGCAACACGAACAAATAATGCTAAAAGCTTGCCGCCGAGTAGAGTTGAAATTTACTTTCATTGTGCGTGCTTTATATTTCCCGTATAGTGCATTGTACTGCGTCTTATAGCTTTCCAAGATGTACAAAAGCTCTTTACAATTGCAATTTTAAACCAGTTAGAGAATTTTCATTGTTTCTTTAATTTTTCCCCCGATTTCTCTTTTTTATCAATTATTTATAATATATCAGCCAGTTATCAATTATTTTACGTTAAAACTCGTTTTAATAAATTTTCAAAATCACTGATTTTTCGATTATCGCTTGACAGGCGTGTAACGAATGGTATCTTTAAAAAATAACACGGGTATTCGTATTCGGGTATGAGAAAATAAATTATCAGATATAAAACAGCGAAGCAATTGTATCTTGATCGTTAATACTTACGTCGATATATCATTGCATGAAATTTAACTATCTCTGTGTGGTACCGTAGAATTTGTCGATTAAGAAACCATCCAAATTATGAAGCGTAATATTATAAACGTTAAAACATTTGAGTATCGGGCTTTTTCATGTCATTAGACTGGACTGATTTTGTTATATAATATATACGTAACTCATCGTACTAATCAACTCATTCTTTTATATCTGAGACTATTCTATCTTAGACTTAATTACAACGTGTAATAATCATAATCAGCTGTTGTAATCGACAGCGATAGCAATCTGATGAAATCCGGGTAAGAGACACTGAAAAACCATGGGGTGTCGCGCGCATGCGCTGGGCATAAATAGTTACACAAGCTAATTTCCACTCAATTCGTGCGAACGATGCAATTTATTAATGATTAACGGATGAAATTACAACCCTTGAAATAATTGCTACTCAAACCGAGTGTCAAATGATCTACCTAATTTAAATTTTAGCTTGGCTTTAAGCTCATATGTTGGAGATTAATTTAAATGATATATAAATAAGATTACTCAACGGTTATGGCTCTTAATCAGCTCAAGTTTCATTATATTTTAAATGCGTGTAAAGTCCACCTTTTTTTAAACTAAGTTTTAGAGAATTAAAGATAGCACATTCAGAAGCAGTTCTGAAAAAGATATTTCATAAGTTTTTGATACCAAAAATAAAAACATGATACAGAGAAAAAGTTAGCACAACTCTTAATCATTTCCAACCAGTTGCTCACTTACGAGTTTTCTAACTGAGATATTTTCAACAAGTTTTGTTGAGCTTTTATTTGATTTTTATTTCAAGAAGAATTAAAATGAATCTGGAGATATCGTATTAATATCGAGACCGTAAATAAATAAAAGTTAATTTGTTTTTCAATATATCAAATATAGTCGAAACGTAGCGGCTTAAAATGACAACGAGACTAAAGTACCGAATAGCTATATGACAATATTATGAAGCAAAATCCTTTGGTATATTTACAGTTGTCAAGGCCGAGCAGCACCGGCAGCGGAGCAGCAACAGCAGCGGAAGCGTTGAGCATAATCGAACAAGGGGAACTGTGAAGTGTCGACGCGAGAATGCTTAAAATTGCGAGCTTGTTGTTCTTCCCTTCAATAAGTGGATCTCACTGTTAGCAGCATACATGTATAAATGTGTAGCGCGCCGACAACAGCAAAGTCGTGCGTACAGGCAAACTCGACAGCGGTTGACGTCAAGAGGTGTTTGATATCGATCCTCTTTTTCCCTCATCCCACCATATCTTTCTCGATCATTTTTCGGTTAGACTTGGACTGTCGCACAGAGAGATGGCCTCGTTCAAAAATGAAAATAAAGTAACAGCACTGTTACGTCTTATATTTCTACTCAGTTTCATTGGACCCTTGGTGGACGAGGTTTGGATAACTTGATTGTGATACTAAATTCTGTATATTATTTGTATAAAGTTTAGATATTTTATCCATATGTTGAACATTTATTGTAAATAAACTATTCATGTTGCAGATGTGAAATTGCTTTTTAATAAAAAAATAAACTTAGCTTCATACTATTTCTCGCCAATTGACGCGGAATATGATAAGCGCAAACATTCAATTTCAATCCAATCGGTCAATAATCGTGTTTAATCAAATTTTTGTCTTGTTTCATAATTGTTTTCTTCCCTCAGAACTTCAAATAAACATATATAAATAAAGCAGCAGTAGTGTCACTTGCTTTCGTCGCTCGGGGGCGACGCTTTGACGCGCCGGAGTTATACATTATCATCGAGGCGCCGCACTGACCCCAATAAAGAAGGATCAGTGAGAGACTGAGTATACGTGGAAAATCATCCATGTAATTAGTATACATTCGAGGCTAACGTTGATTACGATAATAACTATCTGTTCACGCTACTCTGACTTCTCAAATTTCCATTTGGTTGCTCCTATTAATATCGAAGTTTCCAATATCTTTGAACTTTCAGTGTTTCAAAACATAAATTTCAAAACATAAACAATATGAAATGTTGTTCGAAGAAATTAGATATATTTCAATAAAAAATTGACAATTGGAGAGTAGTATCCAGAGGAACGACTCGTTATTGATGACCTCTGTGATGCTGGGAAGTTTGAGGCAGTCTTTCATTTGCTCCAATAGATACAGTAGAAGATAAAGTCAAGCGGGTATTAATTCATGATTGATAACCTCGAACTGAAGAGTATGAAACTAAGAAAGTAATCATTTTTAAAACGCTTGCCAAAATTAAAGCCATCTGGAAAACGACATTTCCTATAGCCTTTTTACTGCTCGAATGAATCAACTTGGTCGTTTCAATTACGTCCACAAACAAAGAAAACATTCCAGACAGTCGTAAAATAAAAATTAGCCCCTTGCGAATCACTGTCGCCTCAACGTTTACTATCTTGCCTCGCATGTACGCCGACGCATGAAACGATAAATCAAGCGAGCTTTTATTGTTTTTCCAGATTGCCATAATCCTAGTGAGCTTGTATTTTTTTGCACAATTTTGGGATAATATTGCATTTGTAAGTGAACATTTTTCTGAAAGATAAAAAGAACGTAAAATAACATTCGACTCCTGTGAATACCCAAAAAAATCGATATTTCATCAATAAAAGCTTTGAAAGAAGAGACTCATTACCTCGATTTTCTAGAATAAAAATATAAAAGTGCACTCGTCGAACGTTTGAAATGGTTTCAAACTACGACTTTTAACAATACTTTACCGATGAATGACTATAAAAAGTAAGAACTCGACAAGAAAGACAAGTTCTGTTGAGAATGGGTGAGAAGGCTTAAATTTTGATGAGGAAAGGGATAAAATGAATAAAACGGCCATCGATTTACAATTGTTTCTCTTTTCTTACCTTGCATAGGGCGTATTGTTAGTGTGTCAAACAAGAAAAAAATTTCATATCGTCGGTGACAAGTTCAAGTGCTACTCTAAAGAACCCAGCTAACTGAGTATATTTAAAAGCGATGCCAGTCACATCCCGGCTTTTGTATGACAGGTATCAGAAAACGTCATGCTAGTGTAGCTTTGCAAGTAGCTGTCAAGTTTTTAATTCAAAACCGCTTCTGGGAAGAAAGTAATTTTTCGAACATGTATTTTATTTTTGTTTTAACAAATATTTATAGTCTCCTTTATTACAATTTTGACAGTAACGCCCATAAAAAAAGCCATTAGAATTCACCTTTCACGCTTTCAATTAGCTTACCGGCGATATAAATCTGAATTTCACATACGTGATTGCCATGTATAAAAACCTTTTGTTGTTATTACCAAACCATACAATAGGCTTTTAATTCGTTCGTTTTCTTGAGCAACTTATCGTTCCGTGTTGTCGTTATGAAAGAGAGTTAGCGCGAGGCCAAAGTAGAAGTTATTGCGATGAGAAAAGGGCGTCAAATGGCCGGTACACTGCGTAGACTTTTCTACGTGAAATGGTAAAGTATACGATCCGTGAGTCCGACTTTCTCTTACTCCCTCAACGAATAAGGAAGATTATGTCGTATAGGTTGCTTCCGCACTGAGTAGAACATACAATAGTGGCTGTACTAGTCTTTGCTATTAGAAGCAAAATTAAATTGTATTCGACACAGTTAACGAAAAAGCTATTCAATGCATTTTGCCGAAAATCGCGAACATGCGGCGCTTATTCGCTTCCATTATTATTGATCGAAAAATATCATACTTTCTTTTGCTATTTCGAGCCATAAATTAATTAGAAAGATAAAAGTAGCCAGAAAGAAAATTCACCAATCTAATAAATGTGTTTGCCTGGCGTCACTGTCATGGTTGTAAAAGTCAAGTTAACGTGAGTTTTTCTTCTCTGTTCGGTCAATCAGTCGACCGCGTCGCTTTCGCAGCGTCAGCCTAAATAACAATATCGACAAGAGCTATAATGGTATTAAAAGCAACCGGCAATATTTCACAAGTATTTTCGTAGTAGATGGCTCCATTTGAAAGAAACCCGTTGAATTCGAGACATTACACTCGAGCAATTCCAGCAGCAGTCAATCTCAGTCGATTGCAGCATTGAACGCAGAAACGCGAAACTGGGAAATGTCGAAAGTATTTTGCACCGAGTGCGATAGGCAATTTAGTCACGGGAAAGAACAGAGGCAGAGGATAAAAGTGAGAAAGGGGACGGAGGTAAAGGAAAAAAGAATTCTCGAGTACACGTAGATAGATGCGGGCGTGTAATACAATGTCGTGCTCGAGTTGTGACGCCCTAGGGGAGTCGCTGGACCGCTGACTGCAGAGCGCTAATAAAGCCGGTCGTGTATGCATGTGACAGCATGGTCCTGATGAAGCAGCCGCGAGCAGCTGCTGTGTGCGCGCGCGAGCCGACTCATGGCTTATTACAAGACGCAGCGGAATAGGCGTATATTACGTTGTCCCCCCCCCCCCCTGTCGCAAGATGAATTCTTACCTCTTATTATGTGTTGCCCCCCGGATGGAAGGTTCGAGTATATCAGGGTGTACATCTATGAGCTGTCGATATATATAGATATATAACTAACTCGCGTATCTGATACCGCAAGCAAACATCGCCTGTGAGAGACGCTCGTCGCATACTCAATCGAGTTTTCCGCTAAGATGCATATTGTCTAGAGGCTACGACTGCGCGGACTCGCTGCGCAGCCTCGTGATAAATTATGCTGATCACGCCATTCATTAATAAATCAGCTAATCCCGTTGTGCTTGACGCAACTATTACCTCTTTCAAGTATTTTACTTGTATCTCGATGCTTCTGACTCCGAGACCCGTGATTTTTTGCCGTCCACTTAATCAGCTCCACTCATAAGCTGATACGATTAAAACGCAAGCTATGCTTGAAAAACGAGTGTCGATTTGAATAGGCGTTTGTTATAAAAATCAGTATACTCGAACGGAGTATTTTTATTTTTGAAAATCAATTCTATCCAAGAGCTGGATGGTGTTGCGTTTTTCATCTAATGGTAGAGGGTTTGATACGTGCTCGATCAACGTTACATTGCACGCATCACAAATGTTGCAGCAAGCTGGAGAGGAAATCAGAAACTAACGTAAGATCATGCAACGAAAGGAGTCGATTTTGCACGAGTGCAGTTGAGAATTGAATTTGTCGGTGATCTCTCCGAGATCTAGAGTGCTAATGTTAGATGGCCATTATACACACACTTACACACACATACATACACAAGTTACTACCCAATGGAATGAAAAAAGCTAAGAATGCCACGAGGGACCTTTACTCACTGCACTCGGCGTAACTCGTTGACAAAGAAACTGAAAATAAAAATAATAAAAGAAGAATCTCCAAAGAATTACTGGCTCATCTTCTATAAAAGGCGAGCAATAAAGTATTAAGATGATGCGAGCAAGGGAATAAGACACCAAGACGGGCTCGTAGTATCTCAAAAATCAGATTCACTCTTTGACATATCCAGAGTTTTCGTTGGGACTAACGCGTCGAAATTCATCGATATGCCATGAGATGTAGGGAGAAGCCCATATCTCCTTATTTTTCCATCTCCGCGCTTTCCATTCGCCCTGTCTTCGAGCCGCCTCGGTCGCCGGTAATCGAATCGCGTAATGACTTTCACTCGCGTGCAAGTTAAAACGTCGGCGTAATGAACTTTCCCCTTTTGGTCGAGTTGACGCGTTGTTCGCGCGGTGCATCGATATTTTTTCGATTTTTCTTTCGACTTCCAGCCAACGCTTACTGGAAGCCCGTTTCAGCGGTGGTCTTTGACTGCTGCTTGCGGCGAATTGAAACCGAAAGACTGAGTGGCTTCAGCGCCTGAAGGGAACCAAAGGCAAATTTGACTTGCACGTGGATCGAGATGGTCGCATGTGCATAGAACGTCTGCTCCTAGCAGCGGCAAAGCCCTTAGCTTACTGCTCGTTTCTTATCTATATCAAGGCTATTGCAGCGACTTTCTCGTCCCACTCCACTCTCGCGCCCCTACGTATCCGCTTGTGCATCAGCAACGCGCCTAATTTGGAAAATGATGAATCGGTTCGCTCGTGCGCTGCTCAATAAATTCCCGTCGGCGCGCGCGCGCGCAACATCTTATACCACATGCGTGCTACCGCAAATATAAAGTCACGACATCCTAATAATCAGCTTGCGCTCGAGATGATCACTTGCTGGGATACCTTGCCGAGGATCGATTTATAGGACCATATCGTGCCTTAGTCCATTTCGACAAAATACATTAATCAACCTCTATCACCATTCGAACTAGTTGGCGCCGTGCAAGAGCGTAATGTAGTTACGCTTAGCTCGTCGTTTCTAAATCCCTCATGACGCGCGAGAACTTTGCATTCAAAATTTTATATTTTATCGCACTAGCACATCGCAAATTAGAATTTCCGTTGAGGTTTGCACTCGGTTGACATATCTACAGTTTACCTGGTTACTCGCTACTTTTGTATTCAATTTCTGCCGGCGCCGGCAACTAAAATAATCAACGTTAGTCAAAAGTTTTCCGTATACGCAGCTTTCTGTG